ATATAATGTTTTGTGGTTCGGTATCGTCGACGGAGCCCCAATTGGCTCCTCCATCACCCTTGTATATAACCAATGGGTCGCGTACGCACCGCGCGCGACCTTGTATATTTCGGTGCTAGCACTGCTACGAGTTGCAGGCATTCATCACACCATTGTATTATACAACACGACCCGTATGTCGTGTCTAGAGGGGGAGAGTGTAACGACCCAGGATCGGGTCGTTACGGGCATCGTACATCCACGAGCCCAGCGCCGTACGCGCTGGGCAGAGATAAGATAATGATGTATTAAATAGACGCGTGCGGCGTGCGGGTATTCGGAACCCGCGCGCCTAGTGCGGGCAGCCTTTCTACCTGCCCCACTATCCTACGAGTACGCCGAGCCTCAATAGAGCCCGGACCAGAGTACTTGCGGGAAAGGGGCTACAGATTGCGCCCCCCCATACGTGAGTTTTACACTCAGCTAGCAGAGCGATTGTGGGAGAGGCCCGCAGTGGGAGGAGAGCTGATGTGCGGCGCGAGTGCTCACGGCGAGAGGATAGGCGGCGTGTGTGCAGAGGCGGTGGAAGATGTATGGTACAGGGGAAGCGCGCTCGATATCAAACGTCCAGCAACGTTGCGGGCCGGAAGGTGGAATCCAAGTTCGTCGGCTATTTTTGTCGCGGGCTTGTATCTCTTGCTAATGTCATCAGGAGAGCTGCGCACACCCACACGAGGCGGCGAACCTCCGGCATCTGAGGCCTGAGGCGGCGCACATGTGGACCTGAAACTGAGAAGAATCTGCCTGGCACCTTTCTGGCAGCCGCTACCTAGGTATCCAGATATCCCTCCGTGGCGCAGCGGCGAGGATATAGACTTCAAAAAGTGAACGGAAGAAGCTCTTTCTGCCATAATCCTAATATCAGATGACAGCACGGGAGCTGTCTTCCGACACGCACCTTGGTAACAAATAGTCGAAGCGCACGGCTTGGAAGACGCTCCAGGTCACAAGGGGTGGCAGGCGGTGAGTCCACGTTGCAATGTGTCCTGATCTGAACCGCACATTGGCAGATCATCAGGCCACCATTGCGGCGACTGTCACCATCGAAGGCGAGGATGTCGGCGGTGAGGCGCAAATGAGCTCGGAGGCCAAGCACATTCCTAGCAGTGCACGGTTCCTCCTTTGACAGCTTAGATGTCGGCACACATGGCGGGGTTGCTCCGAAGATCTTCCAGCCCAGCCTAAGTGCGCGGAATCGAGCTGCCAGCGGCAAACGTTGGGGAAGACCTCTGGAGTCGCCAACGGGAACCTCTGCGATAGCGCCGCCAAGTCTTCTCGGTCTTCTCGGTCACGATGTGGCGGCGGTTGGCCCGGCACCGGCGCCGCTTTGTATCCGTGTCTCGTCCTGAGACACGGACAGAGGACGCCACGAAGAAGGTTCAGATGTGCCGAAAACACCATCCGCTGACAAACGAGGACGCGGCTGCGCCGGTCACTTCAAGTATGCTGTTTTTCGGCCGCTCCTCGCTACTTGGCCGGTAGGAGGAGATTCCGCGCTGATGTCCCCGGGACGCACCAATCACTCCACCCAGTCCAGTTCCTCCTTCGCCTCCGGCTACGGCACTTCAAGTCCCATTACAGACCATCCCATGGGTGGGCATAACTTCGACATCGGCTTGCAGTACAACGCCGCGGACCTGAGGCCTTGACATCCCCGACAACAACCAGTGAAGCGGTATGTCTCCCGCAATAGCGCCGCACGGTTTTCTCGGTCGGTTCGCTGCTTGCGATGATGTAGTGAGAGCAGTCATAAGGCGCCTCTGCATGCGCGTACTCCCCTCACACATAGAGATGGGGAATTTGAGGTACGCTGACTAGAGGATGTACACATGCTCAGACTACATAATGTAAGTGCCTCTACTTTCTACGTGGTGCGCTCATCATGAACCAGGATACCACCCTCGAGGGCAATAAACGAGGATCCAAAGAAAAGAAAGAACCAGGATACCTAGGAGGGTCATTGATCGCAGCCGCGGTCATCGCTGCCATCAGTGTGCATGAGACATACGATCAGCCCGTGCACATCTCTCGCAGACCTGGTAGGCCTGGTGGAGGAGACGATGGGGTGATGCGAGACGCTTGTATAGAGGGACAGAGTCTAATGGATGTGAAGGCGTGTGAGACACAGGTGTGTCTTCGAACAGGGCTGTTCAAATATACAGCTGCTGTAGCGCAGAGGCCGTGTGTGCCCAAGAAACCTGTATCAGCCCTATTGATCGTAAATTTTGTTTATAGCGTCACTATACGGTGCAGTGGTGCAACTGGCCCTAGAGCTTCGTCGAGCAGGTTTGAAGTTTGAGGAGGTCATTGTATGCTGACGATCTGCTATTGTGATCGCTCCTGCCAGTGTACTGCCGATATCCAGTATATATCACTGCCGCCTAGCTGCAATGCTCGATTCTCGATAGCTTCCTGCCAGAGTCAGAGAGGTGATTGCTCTTATAACGCGGCGGCCGGCCCACGTGTAATATTAATGCATACATAGATCGGTCTTCCGTGCAGGCGAATGTGTTTGTTTTTGCGCGTGAGACGATGAACACTAAGCCGGGGAGCTTTAAAGAGCTTCCAGGCAGATGACCGCATTTTCGCCATGACTAGTGATGGTCCTCGTTAGTCGGGGTGGTATGTGTCGGGGAAGTACGTTAACATACAGTCGCAAACCAGCACTGTAGTACTGTGGAAGACCATCGTTCGTTTGTATATGTGAGAACCCCGAAGGGCCTTCACCAGCCGGCGAACCACAGGGTTAGTTGGCGCCCCCTCCCCCTCCCCCTTCCCCACATCCACTATCCCCCTCTCTTTCCCCAGTGACTCGTCCTCCCTCCCCATTCCTGCTTCCCTGTCTCCTTCCCCTTCCTATCTCTTCTTCTTCTTTTTCTCTCGTCTTTTCTCCCGTCTCGTCTCGTAGTGTTACGGCCCCTCGGGCCCCTTCCTCCCACTACTTCGGGGACATCAGTCCTCTCGGCTCCATATATTAGGAACACGCCGCCCCCTATTTCGCGCAAGAACTACCTTACACTATAGCTCAAAACCACTTTCACATATCCCCGCATTCCGCTACGTTCTACCATGTCTATTCCGATCACGCATCCCCCATATGTCCCTTCACTTACGATACTTCCCTCACGGTAGTCATTAGAGTGCTGTAGGCGCTCGCGTAGTAGTCAGTGGCACCTTCGGCCGTAAACGGCCTCTCTGCCACGATAATCTTTGAATCTATCTATCTATCTATCTACCTTCACCAGCCGGGCCGCAGTCATGAGCCAAGCGACGGAAGGCGACCGCTGGGCTGCCAGTGGCGACCGTGACCTTAGAGGGTTCCGTTGTGCTGGACCAGAGTTGCTGGCATTGCCCACTTCGCCTACACATTCGTGGACGTCTAGAACATGAAGCAGTAAGTCTGCCGGCGGATACCGGCATGCCCCTGGGACGCGCGGGGGACGAGGCTAAGCGCTGAAGAGTCGTGGGTTCAAAACGAACATTCAACATTGAACGTTGAACCCTTGCTGACGTCTTTTCGCGCGGGCGCGAAGCCGAGCGCTGAAGCTTAAATAGAATTCAGCCGCGGTTGAGCGCTGAGCGCTGAAGCTTAAATAGAATTCAGCCGCGGTCGTTAGTGCCATGATCATCGAATCGTCCTCCCCTCCTCGACAAGATCACACATCGTCTGCGCCGCGGTCCGTTGACTGGATTTGGGCAAGTGTCGCCCTTCGCCTCCGGCGCGCACACTCTCAATCTCACGCACTGTCTTTCCCGGACTCGGAGAGGATTCGGCTTGCTTTCATACCCTTTCAATGTTGTGTATTTTCCTTATAAGCGATATGGGGCAGACACTCACTCTGCACTTTGCGACACATCCCCCGCACGCTCTTCATGCACCCTCATCTTCTCCCTGCATCTGAGTATCAGGCCAAACAGCATGTTACCGAACCCACTGCTGCTTTCTACTCGATGCCCTCCATGATCATGGATCATAGTCTTGGCGCCACACTCCAACAGCCTACCTTCGATACTGCCCCGTTGAGCTCGGACGGTGCTTCCAGTGAGTTGAATCCGGGAACACCGCTAAATATTTCCCCACTGACCCGCTGGTATTCTTGTGACAGTGTTAGGAACCATTAGCTATCCTTTCCCCCGTGACTGTGTCAGCCACAAGCGACACGGGGGCGCCCACCCGCTAAGTCCTTCCGTCGCAAATGGCAAGCCAGATTCAAGTCATTTCAGTGGTGTAGTACGATGCTGAACAACTTGATTGTTAGGTTCATGTTATAATCCTCCATTGCAATTGGCTACAGCGCGCCAACGCGGCACTCGCCGCGGTGTGCCTTCGGCTGTAGGTGCTAACTTTACGCGCGACCGTGCAACTGTCCGACATTTCATTTAATGTAGTGTACAAACTGCCGCGAGGTGAAGAAGAGCTGCGACAGTGGCGAGCCTTGCAATCGCTGTCGTCAGTCTGGCAAAGCCGACACTTGTGTCAGAGCCACGAGGAAGGTTCGCGCACGCCGAACCCACCTTCAAGTTCCGCGCACCATCCAGGATGCCACCCAGCCTGTCCATCATGGTAAGCTCATCGTGGGGCCCTCCTTTTACACATTCTTCATTGTCTGACGACTTGGTCAACAGTAGTGCCGTACATTGCTACGCAACAGGAAGTGGATCCCGCTTTAGCGTCCCCGGAACGCACCGGCGGCCACTCCATCTACCCCTCTCACTCCTTCGCCTCTAGGCACGACAGCCTTGACTTCACGACCAACTCACACATGTACCTCAACCATGCCACCGGTCTACAGTGTCATTCTACCGGCAGAGACATCTTGCCGGATGAGGCTGGCGGGCAGCCTGAGATCGGCTTGGCCAACACCGCGCTTGAACCCACCCTCGCCTCCACGTGTTGGCCGTATGCTCAAGCCGCGGGACCCAGCAACCCTCCGGATGATAATTTCTCCATCCACACCTACGGAGTGGCCGCAACCTCCAGCGCGGCCTCCGTGGACAAGTTGCGGTTCCACCCATATTAGACACCGACTGGTATACCCGTCCCAGTACTTACCGTTCCCCCGTGCTCGTTCGCATGTTGGTTCGCTGCTCTCGCTTCTGCTGTCCGCCCTATGTGCTAATCGTCGACCCGTGCCGAGACAACCCTTGCTATATGTATGAAACCCCTCCTGACGCTCTGATCCGTTCTGTTTTGTATTCGTGTTCCGTCCTGGTGGCGCGTTCCACGTCATCCATGTAGTATTTCGTTCGTAGTCTTTCGTCCATGCATTATTATGATAACGTCATGACTTAGATCTCCGCAAAGCAGACGCATCGTACGCAGCGACAGAAATCAGCCCTCGTGGAAACCCGCGGTCGGCCTAGGTGCTATTCCATCGCCCGGGCACCGCGCCGCCACGTTAAATTGTACTACCTACCTCGTGGCACTGTGGCAGAGCCTCCTTCGTTCTCTGCCAAAACATCCACTATAAAAAGTGCGGCCCGCCGCCGTTAGTATGAGCGCGAGTGCATATATGCTGGCACGGGCCGTGTGCGCTCACGCACCTGCCGGCTGTTTCCGCTCTTCCTCGCCCTCGATCTCGCTCTCGGGCTCGATCTCGGGCTCCGGCTGCGCCGCATGCATTCGCGCGATCGCTTCTCGCGCCTGACGTGCGTGGCGCGAGCGCGCGCGTAGCGCGGGCCCGAAGCGCACAAAGACAAACGGGATGGGGACGAGCCCGAGCGAGATGAACGCGAAGATGGATACTGTCATACGAGTCGGGTGAGTGGAAGTTCCAAGGGACGAGACAGCAAGTATGATACGAGTACGCACTTCCCCACTTCGTCCCGAGGGCATCGACGATCGAGTGCGCGATAATGGGAAAGATGGACGCGACAACGGAGCGAAAGAAGGTATTCGCCGCGGCGGCGCTGGACGCGTAAAGGGTATACGTCCGTGAGGTGCTATGGGCTTTCGTCAGCGTGCCGATAGATACAGGTCTGGGGCAGACGCACTATGATGTGAAGGAGAAGAATATCGCTGTGTTGGCATAGCCAAAGGGGATGCCCGCGAGGGCCGGCGCTATCCAGTGTGTCTCTGGGCCGCTCGTCCTATGAAGCGCGCCGGGTTACTGGAACGAACAGCATGCGGCTGAGTTAGAGACGTACCAAGCAAACCAGAAGAGCGATATGGGCAGACACAAGCTACATTGAAGATATGAGATGTTAATTGCCTCCATATATGCTACACATAGATATGGCACCCAAACAAACGGACGCACCAGGCGATGATGACAGACTTCAGTTGTGTCTCTTCCATAGGCATGGTCTCCCCTTTCCGCTCAATTATTGGCAGCCGCACCCGTTCGGACAGCTGAACGAGCGGGCCAAAAACGATCACAGATATGAGCATCCCTAGCGATATAGACAGGAAGAGGAGGCCGCAGAGCTGGAACGGAATGACATGCTAAAAGTGAAAATAGTAAGCTGAGACTCGTAGTGATTATCAGATGTCCTACCTGCACGATAAACACCACAGGATACACTTCGAAGTAGAAGCTATAGAAGGTCAGCGCGAAAGAGTTCTCCATGACTTCGCGGACGACTTACTACAGGATGCCATACGTGACGGTGACCCAGATAGCGGCGCCTTGCACGATGGGCTCATAGATAATCATGGCTGTTCCCAAATTCAAACAAACGCGCTCGTTCCATGAGACATAGAGAAACATACTGAACGGCCGGACAACATGTCCCCGCAGGACTTGCGTGATCGTCTTGTGATGCAGCTCGTGCGCCGCCCAAGCATTCTCTCTCCCAGCCTTGCGGAGGTGTTTAGCCCGCTGTTCGAGAATCCTAGGGCCGTACGTCTCGGGGAAAATGAATACGAGCGGCCAGACAGCGATGGCGAAGAGGAGCTGCACCCGGAGGACCCACAGGCTATACAGTCGGTTAGTAAGTATCAGAGCCCGGGAAGATGAAGAAAGTCGGTTTTACCCTCCGTGTGTATTTGCGGCGATGAAGAAGCCGAAGAGCGTCGCGAAACATGGCCCAGAGAGAGCACAGAACGAGCTTGGTTAGGATAGTTGGTGAGGACGGTGCGTAGCTTATAGGCGGCTCAAGCACATACAACATGGTCGTCGCTGTGTAAGAATACCTTAGAGAGAGGCCACCTATCAACGGGGGTGGCACGTACCTAGGCCCATGGCATGTAGGTCCTTGGCGTACATACTAATCATATGTTAGTAGACCGCAGTTGCTCGGTGGCCCAAGGACGTGATGTGTGACTACTTACTCGGCGATAACCCCAGGGCCCCTTCAGTTTTTCTCAGCCACTTTCGAAAGATGCACAGGAGGATCCACCTACATATTCAGAGAGCAGGCAGCGGCGCATCCTGTGAAGAAACGGACTATGCAAGGTCAACATGTTTTCAGGATGATTTTAAATGCGAACGCACATAGCAGGATGACAGCGATGTTCTCGACGAACGCCGAAACTGCCGAAGTCGCTACCATGGCGAGGTCCACGGTCAATATGACACGCCGGGTTTGCGGGTAGTGCACGACATACCGATGAGAAGGACCCATGCGATATGATATGGAATTTTCCTTCCCAGGAGCTCGCTCAGGGGACCTGCGACACTGTTAGATCGCCGTAACCTGAGAAACGGCTACTATGCCAGCTTACCCCCTAAGAAATTAAACGTAGTCAACGCAAAATCAAGCGCATTGGTTGCTATCCATCGGAAGAAGACTCACAGATTAATGGAGCGATGCCAAACCCAAGCACATACATCGTCAGCCCGGTACTGGACACGTCGGCGCTCACACCGTACTTCTCGCGAATCTCCCCTTCTCCCGGGGCCTATACACAACGTCACCTTTGGCCCGCCTGCGCCCACGAACCAAGGTCGGAAGCGAATGGGACGTACATATATGGCCGAGCCGAATACCGCGCAGAACGCGTAGAGGCACGCGAGGGCGACCGTGCCCCGCTTCTTCCGCCGCGACCACTGGTGCGGATCGTCCGGGTCATCCCGTTCGAACACGACGAGTTCGTGTTCCTGCTTGCCCTCCGGCGGCAGGGCGACGATGGTAGGGGGAGGCGAGGGAGACATAGGGGAAGGTCAGGACAAGAATCGCTCGCCTTGAATATATATAACATCGCGCCAACGCACCCGCAGTGGATCATGCAAGGCCCCAGGATGAATCCACCACCTGCCGGAGGGGACAGCTGACAGTACTACGTCGGCCATGGGATAGGCGGATTCCGAGGGCTGCGAGTAGGATTGACAAAGCTCAGGAGGATGGCCGAGGCCTTGCCCGAGGATTAATACCGTGACCCGCTCCGGCAAGTAACCGGTGTCTAATTAGGATCCCGGCACTGTAGTAGATTGCCGGAGAGCATTGACCTGCAGACATATCTGAACACAACGTCAATAGCCGTAGAAAACATGAAGAGGACAGCCTAACGAACCGGCTGTTGAAGGCGCCCGGGCGCCGCCGAATAAGCCCGCACCGTTGACATACACACACAATGAACCGCGCCCGCGCAAAACGTATGTCCGAGTCATAAACGTCATTGCTTCTCATAGAACGAACAAGAACAAAGGTCATAAATACACATCTGCGCCACGCTCTCAATTCGTCTGGGCTCCCACAGCCTATGAACAACACAGTCAGCAACCAGGAATTGAGCCCAAAGGTGGAAGGGCGACGTACCAGACGCTTCAAGTGCTCCATGAAAACCTGCAAGCTCACGTCGTCCGTGAAGATCGCCTGCCCCGTGCCCGCGCTCGCGGCCGAGCCGTACATGCTCGCGGACATGTGCGTCGTCGACGGGTTCAACTTCGACAGAAGGAAGCGCGCCTGACTGCCGCCCTGGTCGCAGACGATGTACCGCGGGATCGGGAAGCGATCGGCGAGCAGTTCCTACAAGTATCCGTCAGTCATCAGCACCAAGCGCGTGCGAAGCGTTGTTATGACGAGCACGAACCTGTGCGTCCTGGACGGGCGCCTCGAGCAACTCCTTGAAGTTCTCGTAACCTTCCTGGTCCTGGTATCCTGCCTTCCGCCACTGGGCGACTGTCTCGCCGTGGAAGATGAGGATGTGGAAGAAGGTATCGAGGAGAAGGATGACGTCCGGCTTGATCGAGACACTGTCCAGCAGCACGGGTTGTGGTGGTGTGTCGAACGTGTATGACATGAGCGTTGGCTGAATCATGATCAAAGAGTTGTTCACGTCCTGTTCATTCAGAACATGGCTGTATGCATGTCAGACGCGCCCAGCTTATGATCACACGACACTGCTCACCGGTAGAACGCAGTCTCGTCAGGACTGTTGTTGAACACCTGCAGGAACTGACTCCTCCGAAGGTGGAACATGAACTGCGGGTAGATGCTGAAGTTATCCGTAAGCCGGAAGCTCGTCGGGTCCTCCTTCCTGTAGTCCGCGAACTTCTGGCACAGCCGGATAAGCATACGATCGAGCCAGCGCAACACGTCCGGCGAGTCGTCAATCTCCGCCTTGAAGACAGCGATGCGCGCCATCAGTACCGCCGCGGCCTCCTGGTCGAACGACGCCGCGATCGTCGGCGAGCCCGCCTCCGCGAAGTTGCGCGCAATTGTCGTAACGCGCAGCCGGTTCTTCCCGCTCGAGTGCTGATAGTGCGTCACGAACTGGATTAGGCCCCGCGAGCCGGGCTGCAAGGGTTGACCAGCGGGCGTGACAACCTCGAAGTAGACACCCGCGGCAGTCCGCGGGTCGATAGCGTTGATCTTCCACGCAGAGGTTTGGCCGATACCGATCTCGGTCTCACCCACACATGGTGACTTCTTCGCCGCTGAGATACCGTGACCGATCATACCAGAGACCTTCAGCTCTTTGGTGGTCTGCATGCAGCGTGAGTATATGCGCATATAGTCAGGAAATATATCAAGCGCACCTGCACGTCAAACGTCGCGTTGAAGCCCATCTCAAGGAAGTTGTTGGCATCCTTATTGAACATACGAAGGAAGCTCTGCTTGAAGATCGACGTCGCAAACGAATCGGACAGCACGATGACGCCGTTCGTTGAGTTAGGCATGGACTTCATCTCCAGCAGGCCAACCTGATCTAGACACCCAGCAAAGAGGTCGATCACATGCCCGTTGTTCGATGCCCGTTTCGCAAGTGCTTCATAGTACTGCATTTTGGTCAGAAAACATGGGTTTTGACGTAAGTGAGTATACTCACCTTCGAGGCTCGCTTGAAGTGCTTGGCGCTGTCTCGGTCGATGTCGTGGTGAGACCGAATAGGTTCCTTCAGCTCGTTGCTGACGACTAGACCCGGGCCTTCCGTCGCTGGGCCTCCAGCGAACACCATGATCCGCGCACCGGTGTTCGGGAAGGTCGTCTCGAGAAGACCCACGGCGACGCTGACGGCAACTCCAGTGCAACGGAGCGCACGCTTGTCGTTTGCCACCGGCCATGGGTCGCGCGCAAGTGCTTCCAAAATACCCGTTAGCTGGAACTCGCACTGCTGCACAGGCATGAGGAATCGCGCAGCGCCGAAGGTTTGAGGGGGCATGGGCTGCCCTGGACGCGGCGCGGCGCGGTTTTGGGAGCTCAGCCCGAGCATGTCCTGGATCTGCTTCGGCGTGTACTCCTTGCCTCCGCGGAACACATACGACTTGCTGCATTCTGCATATCCCAACTCGTGTACTTGCGCCTGTCCGCGCTATGATGAATGACCGCAATGTACGTAGCATACGGAAGACTCACCATAGTACCGAAAGTGATCAGCCCCACTAGGGCGTAAGGGGGGAGTAGGCTGAGACTGACAACGAGGGAGTCGCGGAGAGCCTTGAATTCATCCTCGTCCACACAGGTGTCGACAACGAACAGGAAGGTGGGTGGTACTGCGGCGCCGCGCGAGAGAGTGTATTCGATGGTGGTGAACTTGGGCAGCAGTTCGGAGGGGAGATTTGTGTTGGAGATGTCTTTGTAGTGAGGAGGGAAGGCATTGCGCTGCAAGCAGAAGGGACAGATCCACAACTTTCCGCGAATATCAATCTGGCTGCGAAGCAGGCGAGCTTTAGATTGGATAACGGAGTATAAGATCATCCAACTCACCAGTAGGGGTTCAAGACCGCACGACACGGCGGCTTGCAGGTCACAGGCTCATACAATATCTCCGGGAGGTCTTCTCGAGGTTTGAGGGGTGCGTAGAGGGCTGAAATGGGCACAACTGTGCGGGTCGCCTCTATCCTGGACGAAGGCCAAACGTTCCAAGACAAACGAACGCCTATATGCCGGAGGTTTGAGACAAAAACGGTGCGAAAAGGTGACCACATTACTCACCATCGCGTTCCTCGACGTCCTCGAAGTTCATGGCTCGATGCAAAGGATGCAAAGGATGGTAATTAGTGTCGGACGTGGAAGAGTCTCAGGCGTTGATGACGGACGTGTCCAGGGCGCGTACCAGACCTTCCCAGTTCTTCATATGGCCCGAAGCGGAGATTGCCTAATTTAGCCAATATTTCATCCGCTACCCTCTTGCGTGCTCTCACTGTCAGACACGAAGTGCTAAACTAGTTGCTCGCGTTCCCTCGAGAATATGTCTACTCTCGCCACTCCCACTGCCGCGGGCTACATGCAACGAACGGGATTACTGTCATAGGCACACGCTTGGCAGCACCACGACTCTCACTTTCTGGACCTTGACGACTTGATATTCCTGAGCTTGAACTGTGCCGGTGTCATGACTTCCTTTTACGAATGGCAACTTGTGCTCCTGGTCCTTGTGTGTGCTGCGTTTCTGATGCTTCAACGATATGTCTTTGCCACATTCAAACCCATTTCGCAAGACGGTGTCACCCAATCCGAGGTCGTTGCCCAGTTGTCACGCCGGTATCTGTGGGTGTATGGGCTCGCCATGGGTATGTGCTTCCTTCGATCGTGTATCTACTCCAGCCTTTTAAGAGTACTGACTCCTCACAAAGGTTCGGATTGGTTACAAGGACCTTACATCTACTCCGTCTACAAGGAGCAACACGACCTTCCGGAACGATTGGTCGCCCTCTTGTTCGTCCTCGGTTTCCTGACCGCAGGAATATCTGCTCCTGCTGTTGGTGTCTGGGCAGATCAATAGTAAGTACGATGATTCACCATGGGGACATGAATCCGTGTGAGCACTTTTCGGCTCCATAAAAGATGTGTCACGATGCTGCGCGAATTTGTGCCCTCGGTGCCGAATTCACGTCCATGTTACTGACACACTATGCAGCGGGAGGAAGAGAATGTGCATGGTATTCTGCGTCACCTATGCCATCGCTTGCGGAATCATCCAGATTACCAGTCTGCCACTACTCTTTGTGGGGCGTTTCCTCGGTGGATTCTCTACCGCAATCCTCTTCTCCTGCTTCGAATCCTGGCTAGTATCCTCGGCAAATACACTCTCCATCTCATCGCACGACTTATCGACCATATTTGGGCACGCAACGCTTGTCAATAGCATAGCCGCGACCGTGGCCGGTATCGCAAGCAACAAATTGGTGGAGTACAGTGCTCTTCTTAGTAGCCCCTTCCTGGCGAGCGGGGCTCTGCTGCTTTTGACTCTAGTCGTTATATCTATCACCTGGCAGGAGAACTATGGAGGAACCGGAGTGTCTGCGGGGAGCATTCTCAATATACAACACCTCTCGCAGGCTTGGGCAGTCGCTTGCGCTGGTCAGTTTGTATTTACTCTATCAGGTTCGTGTCGAGGCTAACCACGGTACTATCACGACAGATAAACGACTATTCGTGCTCGGGTTCATCCAGATGTGCTTCGAGGGGTCCATGTATCTCTTCGTGTTTCTCTGGGTACCTTTCCTCCAAGAGGCCGCTTCGCCGAACCACGCCCTTCCGCTCGGGTACATCTTTTCCTCCTTCATGCTTTCGATGACCTTCGGTGCTCTCCTATACGGCGCCGTTGTCTCGCTGAACGAGCCAAGCCCGATGGCCGACGTGTCTTCGTCCAGCCACGATGACGAGCGCACAGTGGCTTTCCACGCGAAGCTCAGCTCCGCCGTCTGCGCCGTGGGGGCATTTGCGTTTATCATCAGCACTGCGACAAGACACGAACGCTTACGGTTCTGGGCGTTCTGCGCTTACGAGGCGTGTGTGGGGGTGTATTATCCGGTGCAGGGCATGCTGCGCGGGAAGCTCGTACCGGATGAGCACAGGGCGACGGTACGTGTTCTTGCAATGTGAGCGAGAGGTAGCCACTCACTACGTAGCAGCTGTTCTCGCTCTTCCGAGTGCCTCTGAACGTATTTGTCGTCGTGTCGCTCATGACGGGCGTTGCTTCGGCGCGACACTTCGTCCTCTCCGCCTGTTCCCTTCTCCTCCTTCTCTCGGCACTCGTCACTGCCTTCGTGTTCCTCGGTAGCACTCGAGGTCCCGCGCTGGCGAGCCTGCGGGTGGAATGAATACAGCCCTTGCCATGCCCCCTTAGCGACCAGGATGGACCACACTTCCCTGCGAATCTCTTCGTTGTTGGTGCCTCAGTCATTGCTAGCGGTTGCGTCATCCGTGGCTACGCGCCTTTGGTTGCACCACACATCCCTGCTTGTATTCCTCAGACTAGAGCACGGGCGTACTGAGCAATCTATTTTAGTTGTTCGCCACTACACCTCAGGATCGCTACGCCACAGCGCGCTTTCACGCCGCATGGGACCTTTTCCAAATCCCAGCATAAGCTCGGCAACGTGGCAGTACTGAGCGGATCCCCCGACCACCCAGCGCCGTAGATTTCGTCTGATGCTTGCGATGCATGGTGAAGCTGTCCAGGATACCATTCCTCGGGCACTATGCCACTAGACAAGCGGCTACGGTGGGCATGGCACTGTTGGTGAGTATCGGCACGTCCAGAACTCCGTTGAAGTATGGAAACGAGGATAGAGACAGGGCTTCCCACGGCAGATGCACGGACGGAAAGTTCATGTGTACATCCTCGCGCAGCAATGACGCCTTCCTATCTGGAAGGCATGGATGGAATCGTTCTGTGTGTCCCAGCGGTGACCACTCTGTCTCCATCGCGAGGTGGTCTCCCGGTGAGCCCCATCTCCATCCAGATATCTCGCACTGACCTTCCGGAGAGCAGGTTTCCGAGCTGAATCAATGGATCTCATCGCACTCAGCGGTTGACCAACATAGTGACTAGCAAGCTTCACTATTGATTCCGACGGCTAGCGCCGAGTTGCACAGTGATGTGTCGCCGCGTCCGTGATTTGGGCAGTGCCCCCATTGCTATGCTCTGACGGGATCTGTTATCCCAACAACACTCCAGTTTCAGAACATCAGGTGATGTCTCGCCCGCGCACACACCACCTGCATCGCATGCTGCTCACTCAGTTCTTACCGCACTTCCGATTTGCGTTGCGGGCGGGGAAAGGTACCCACGGATGGGTTCGCAACGAGCGTGCTTCCGAGCTCAGGTGCTCCCCGCTGTCACCGTTTCAAGGATAGAAGGGCGCGAAGGTGTGTAGCTGTATTACGGGCACCCGCGGCTGCTCATTTCAAAGATCGAGGAAGGCTAACGCCGCTGATAATACGAGATCTTGATTGTGCTTCGGCTTGCCGTACGGGCGTCCTTACGGGTCACGGGCGGCGATGAGCATATGTATAGAGCGCGGGTGGTGTCTAGGTTTCGAGACTCCTCCCAGTTTCTCCGCATACGTATTCTCTACCACCACCCCAAAGTGCCCGGGACCGGCGCGTCCTCCACTCTTTCCTGGTAAGTTCCTCTTTGCTAAGTGGGGTGCTGTGCACCGATCGTGAGCTAACGTGGGATCTCGCTTCGCGGGGTTGCCGATGACAGGATATATTGCCTATGGCATCTCCGACGCAATTTGAATCCGGAAATGGCAGCCTGCTGCTGCAGATTGATGACGCGAGCCCCCGACTTCAATATAACGGAAACTGGGTCCAGGGCGGAGCCGAGCAGGACTACCAGAAGACGAGCCATTCATCGAACGCTACGGGATCGTTCGTGACGTTCACTTTCAACGGTGAGCAGCGGCGCAACTGGCTCTTGCAACGCATACTTATCGTCCGGTTGCTAGGCACGTTTATCACGGTCTATGGGTCTGTCGACACCGCGGGTAGCTCGAGCAGCTACAAGCTGGACGACGCCCCGCCTGTGGTCACCAACATCGGTCGAACATCCCCTACTCAATTCAACTATCCGTTCTTCTTCCCTTCAGCACCGTTACAACCAGGCCTGCATGAGCTGGTAATCACAGTAGTTGGCGGCACTTTCAGCCTTGACTACATCGAGTACACTGGCGGAGTCAATGGGGATGCCTCGCAGGTTTCAAGCTCCTCATCATCTTCGTCATCGTCTGGAGGCACCGCGTCCCCAGACTCCGCGCCACCGACGGCATCCCCTTCAAAAGGGCTCTCCGCTGGTGCCATTGCGGGCATCGCAGTCGCGGCGATAGGCGTGGTCCTCATCGTGGCGCTGACGCTATTCTACGTGCGTCGGCGGTCGGCCCGGAGGGTGCGCCATCGACGACATATACCGGAGAAGGGGATCGACGTGCTGTTCGATGGTCAGTCAAATGTTATCACCAACTCCCTGACACAACATGGACTCACATCCCTCTCGCGCAGCTCCGCCAAAAGAGCCACCAACAGCAGAGATCAGGAGTCCCTTCCGGCGGCTGAGCAGGATATACCGCCCCACGCCTGCTCGGTCTGCGCAGAGCTCGAAGACGGCAACTTCATCTGCGCCGACGTCCATCACGCAGTCTTCGGCGATGTTTACCTCCGTCATCATGCTATCGCCTGCGTTGTCGGTGGTGTCAGAAGAATCTGGCCCACACGACATATCGCGAAGAGTATCGGGCTCATGATCCGTATTTTTAGTTTGCTTTCCATGTTGCATCCTTCATACCCCAGGGACTCCCTCAACGGACGTTGAACTATTGCACATTTGTACAGCTCGAAGGCTATTATTCCTGTCAGATTAATTAATCCCAACATGTATCCTTACCAGCAATGTCTCTACGTCTTATCATATAGCACCTCATTTCCGAGTCTAGTCATATAGCGAAACGCCAGTACTTACCAGTACTAGTGTCCCGAGGACGATGCGACGCGATCGCCACCTTCAGTTCGCGCGTCTATATTTGGCAACATAATCACATCTCATGTTCCCTCCTCTAGCGATGTACATGATTCAACGGCCATAGGTACCGCTGCGGAGGCTTCCGTACTCTCTCAACGTGGAAAGGAAGAAATTATGGTGAGCGATGTTGCGCAAAACGCAGCGAGTAGGTATGTTCCCTAAAAGGTTCCTTTCAAACTCCGACCACAAAAGCGCTCATTAAGTCAGGAGCGAAAATTCCGCTTGTCTCTTCCCGCCACATCGCCATTTCACGCTTCTCTGATACTCTTGCCATGGACGTCGATATGCAGGTGAAGGAAGAGGTGGACGACAGGAAGGACCGCGAGAGAGAGCGGGAAAGAGACCGCGACGCGGATCGCGATAGGGACCGCGAGCGGGACAGAGACCGGCGCGAGCCTCGCGACAAGGATCGCGACAGAGACCGCGACCGTCGCGAGTCTGGTGCGTAACCTCACTGTTTGTGTCGTGGAGGGTGCTCACGCTGCCGGTAGGCCGCAGTCGCAGGAGCGGTGGCGACCACTGGGAGCCTGATGACAGACGCAATGGGGAGGTGAGTACCGCACCTGTCGCGCGAAAGGGTACCCCATAGGTCTTAACTACTGTATTTTAGCGTCGCCCGCGTCGTTCGCGGAGTCGTTCTCCTTCACGTCCACGGAGAAGGTCGGGTTCCCCCAGGCGCAAGTCACGGCGCTCGCATTCGAGATCTCCTAGTTCCCGCTCTCGCTCGCGCAGTCGTGACCGCAGAGCCTCCGAGCCGTTCGCACGCTCCCTCGGTGGCCCCATGAACGCCCCGCACGAAGAAGCCGTCGAGTTCGCCAAGCAAAGCAAGAGAGAAAATCGCGTCTACGTCGGTAATCTCAGCTACGATGTCAGGTACCGGGACCTGATGGAATTCATGAGGGGAGGTGGGTGGGGGAATCTCAGATCAGTTTTTTGTTACCTTTTGGTTTGGGGTACGGAGAGGGGTTACTTCGCAGGAGGAGGAGGCCGCGTCATGAGCTGCGAGATCAAGGCGAGATCGTGCGATCATTCCATCGGAGGCCGTCGTTGCACCGGAGTCTTTCGCGGGGAGGGGTTTCTTGGTTTACTGACGGGGCAACTGGTTGAGAGGATGGTTATTGATGGGAGCTTTCTTTTTGGGTTTGGTTAGCTGGTGAGGTCCTCTTCGCCGAAGTCTTAATCACTCCTACTGGCGTCTCGAAGGGTTGCGGGTACGTATTCTCCCCTAGTACGCTCGTCAAAGACTCACCGGCTCTCACAGTATCGTCGAATATGCCAACCAAGAGGATGCTCAACGCGCCATCCGTGAACTCTCTGAACAGCTCCTCCTGAGTCGTCCAGTCTTCATTCGTGAAGTGAGTCGCAGCGCATATAGTCTGTCGTACACCATTCTGACGCTGCCCAGGACCGCGAGCATGAGTCTCGTTTCGGCGCCACGCCCGTTCCGGGTAAAATTGGCATGGCCATGGCTGGACAGGGGCTGAATGCAGCACCCCCGCCTCGCCCTGCCTCTCACAACCACTTTGGTGGTTTGAACCCTGGGAACCAACTCTACGTTGGTAATGTTAGTGGCCACCAAGCTATCCATCCCCCGCTTGCCCTAATCTATCTTTCGCAGCTGCCTTACCAAGCCGGCTGGCAGGACTTGAAGGACCTGTTCCGTTCTGCTGGCAACATCATCCGGGCTGATATCAATATCGGACTGGACGGTCGCCCCAAGGGCTCCGGCACGGTCATCTTCGAGACTGCGAAGGACGCGCAGCAGGCCATCAGTGCGTTCTCTTCCCACTTCCTTTACATCCCACGATTAACTTGAATCCAGGCATGTACAATGGCTTCGACTGGTACGGACGCACCCTTGAGGTCCGCGAGGACCGATACGCAGGCCTCACTGGCCCGGGCTCGTACCGTGGCGGTGTCCGTGGCGGCGCGCGTGGAGGTCTCCGTGGCGGTCTCCGTGGCGGCGGCTTCCGCGGTGGCTTCCGGGGCGGGTTCGGTGGAGCTGCAGGTGGGCGGGACTTCTCCAGCCAAGACTTGTATGCGGACTACTCTGGGCCAGACTCTCAGGGAGGTTTGCGCTTGGGTGCATACAGCGACACCGGCGCGTATACGGCAAGTGGCGCCACCGCTCCTTATGGTGCCGCTGCTGGTGCCGCTGCCTTTGAGCCCGAGCCGTCGCAGCAGATCATGGTCCGCAACGTGAGTGTTCGGTCGTTCAGGAGCGTTTAGGTAGCATATACTGACGCTCGTGTGAAAGCTGCCGTGGTCCACTGCGAACGAGGACTTGGTCGAGCTCTTCGAAACCACTGGCCAGGTCGAGCTCGCCGAGATCCTGTACGAGGGCACGCGCTCGAAAGGCTGCGGTGTTGTACAATTTGCCCTTGTTCCGGAAGCGGAGACCGCGATCGGTACGTCTCGTCAGCTAGCTCTATCGCGTAGCTGCGGTAATAACGCCGTACCGCTTTACAGCAAAATTCCAGCAGTACATGTACGGTGGACGGCCGCTCGGTACGCACATCTCCATTTGTACATATATCCGAGCGAAGTCGCTGACCGCCCTCCCTCCGCAGACGTCCGCTTCAACGACCGCTGGCACACGTTCTCGCCCGGCGCCGCCAAGGGCGGCCAGGCGGTCCCCATGCAGGCCGAGGCCATCTAAACCGCCTCTGCGCTGTACCTATTTTCTTGTGCGGACACGTTCACGAACGCTTGCCCGCTTCCGCGATGCCTCTCGCCCCTTCTCTATGTATCTGTATCTCAGATGTGCGAACAGCAGTCCCGTCACTCATGCCCTGTGCTTATTCTACTACGATATGTTCTGCCAGTATATGCCAGTGCAATTGACATTATTGCCCTGCCCTACTCGGTCGGATGCAAGCAATATGGAACACGTGTGCAGTCTGTGCGTGATACGCACACCGTAATAGGTTGTCGGTTTAGGGCCTTCAACGTGAGCGGTTGGTCGGGGGACGTTGCTCCCGGACATGGTGTGCAGTAAGAGTCTGTGAGGCCGGGTCGAGGACGTCCACCATTAAATCATCCACCATGAGACATGTCGAAGTGTGGTTTACCGGTCGGGGGACCAAAGTGCGGAAGGGGTCACTGGCATGCGCAAATGATGAGGACGGTGAACCGATGAGATTGTGTATGTCTATGCGTATATTGGTACAAAATCAAGAAAGAAGTCCACAACTACCACGTCGTCGTACGCCCAGGCGGCGTCGCGCCGCCATTACAGAGGGATGGTAAGCACTGGGCGTGTAAGCATGGAGCCCGAGAGAGAGAAAACGTCCGCCCGCCGAGATATGTGAGAGTCGTCTGTATGATACACCTTTGATGATACACTGTTGCTGTTGCTGCTGTCCCCTCTTCGCCTTGCCGTTCGTCGCGGTCGTGATTGCGCGCCTCGCATCTATAGGCTGCTGCTGGGCTCGGCGGAGCCGGCGACGCGCACGAGGTAGAGCATGTGCTCGACGACTTCCTCGGGCGTCGTGACGTGCCACACGGCGAGCGTGCGCTTGCTGCTGTGCCCGACGGCGGTCGTGAACACCGCGTCGCGCTCGATCGCGAGGTCGACGGTCTTGAACTTCTCCGCCTCCTTGCCCGTCGCGAGGAGCGTGACGGAGAGCGGCGGGTCGAGGCGCGCGTGCGTCTCGTTGTTGGGGAACAGCAGGAGCGCGCGGAACATGTCCTCGTCGGTCTTGTCGTCGCCCGCGCAGAAGACGAACTCGGCGTCGGGGTGGAAGTAGAGGATCCGCTTGACGATCTCGCCCTTGTTAATCGCGAGAGGGCGAACCTCGAGGTTCTTCTTTCCGACCAAGACTAGATGGACGGGATTAGCACGAGTATATGCGCATATAGTCAGCAAAGTATGCGTACCTTCGATGGGCCGCTTGCGTGCGAGGTTGTTCTCGAGAAGATCCTGGCACTGATGGCACTGGAAGAGACTACGAAGGGCGTCAGCGAGGTGTATGGTGTCTGCCGTCGGATATACTTACCCCCACTCCGGATCTGCCGAACGGTAGTGCCAAGTGATCGAACTCTTTTTGACCTCGATGTGACTGCCCGTCGTGCGCTATAACGACACATGTTAGCACCTTGTCCATAGCATATCAACGGCAAACGCACCTCAGTGTAGTACTTGAAGATCTCGAGCGCCTCGCTCATCCAGCTCATGTCGAGCGACTCGGTGAAGTTGGACCACGTCGACGAGCCGGGCTCGCGGATGAAGCCACCGTGCTCGGCGGACATGCCGAGGTTCTTGATATGCCCGAGATGCGTCTCGAGGAACTCACCGTCGCGCCCAGAGATGATGTACACGATGTTCTGCGGGTCCGCAGCCAGCGTCTCGAGGGCGAGGAGCGTGTCCTTCGTCGGCGTCGCCGCACTGGGCGTCTTCACTATCGGCGCGAGCGTCCCCTGATTGTCATCGTGGCCATCAGCATACGTCAGAACATCGTCACTCGATAGCACGTACGTCGTAATCGAAGAGGAAGAGGCGCTTCTTCGCCTTGAGATAGTGCTGCTCGAGCTGGCCCTTGGGGATGAACGGGGTCTGACGCGCCATGTTCTGGCTTCCGAGACGCTCTAGAAGTTTCTTCGTGAGGATCGTGGCCCAGGTGTGCGACGTGTGCGTCGTGACGGTCTTATATAGCTGCAGGTGGCGGCGTGCCTTCTCGTCATCCGGCATTGTCAGCCCACGGTGCATGGCAGCCGCGACCTCCTGCCAAATTGAGATTCCGTGTCAGCCGCATTCGCGCCACGCACATCCAAAAGACGCACGCTCAGGTTCCATGGGTTGATCTGGAGGGCCTCAGTCATGGTGCTCGAGATGCCCATGAACTCCGACAGGATCAGCGGGCTCTTCTTAGAGCGCTCCTGCGAAATGACGAACTCCATCGAGGTGGTGTTCATACCGTCGCGAAGCGGGGTGATGACGCCCAGATCGGCAACAGACAAAAGCGCATAGAATTCGTCCTTCTTGATCGTCTGGTGGCTGTGCATATAGACCGATGAATACCGCAGAAGAAGGCCGGGTGGATAGAGTACTTACTAGTGATGCACGGGGATGAAGTCTAGCGAGCCATATTCGCCGTTGATGTGGGCGACGAGCTCAGAAACCTGCCGTTCGAGCTTGGGCGAGTCCGTCAGGGCAGGAGACGTGACCTGGATAAGGACGACGTTGCCAATCCACTGGGGGTAGTCCTGAAGCAACTTCTCGAAGGCGCGAAGCTGGAGAGAAGCGTCGTTAAGATTCATGCCAAGGCTTGCTCAATGAATATCCTGACCTTCTGAACAACTCCCTTGACAACGTCGAGCTTGTCCCGGCCGACGATGATCTTCTTGCCCTCGTATAGTGCACGCAGGGCGTTGAGCTTAGGCTCGATGCCAGGGCGAAGACTGAATCTTGTGTCAGCCTCATATAGACACCAACCCAACACCGGTACTTACATGTCCTTCGCAACGCGATTCGCGTCGACACCTACAGGGGAGTATCCGATGGCGGTGACATGCCCCTGCACATCGATGCCCCCGCGCGGCGTCACCTCGTATCCACATACCCGAACACACGAAGATGTGAAGTGCCGAGAGTACGAGTACGTCTGGAAGCAGATAAGGTTCGCGCCGAGCATGCCGTCCAGGATCTCCTTCCTGCGAGGCAGGCACCGGAATACCTCCGAACTCGGGAAGGGCGTGTGCACAAAGAGGCCGACTGCGGCGTCGGGGACTGCCTGCCGCAGGAGTGCAGGGACGAGGAGAAGATGGTAGTCGTGAATCCAGACGAGGTCTCCGGGCCGGTACACCTCGGCGACGCGACGAGCGAACGCGGCGTTGACTGCCGAGTAGGGTGCCCAGTGTGCGTCTGCAGACGCGTATTCGGTGGCGACATCTTGCCACAGCAGATAGTGGAAGAGCGGCCAGAGTGCTGTAGGCAAAAGTCATCAGTTTCTGTACCATCGTGATATCAGAGCGGGACACAGGTGATTTTGTACGTCACGCGTCGGCTGCCCAGATGGTGCAGAGGCGATGCACTAACACCCGTTGCGCATTAGGCAATTGCACAGTGTCGTTCAATCAACTCCGCGCAATTCAACGAAGCTTAAGGGGATTCGAGGTCCGGGAACCTCCCGGCACCGGCCCGACAATACAGCGACAGCGGCCGCGAGCCATGCAAGCGCACGCGCAGATCCAAGAAGCACCTAGACCACGCTACCAATCCGGTGGAGAGTGCCCGTTATCAGGCTCTAACGGTCGGATATAGGAAGGCCATATCCTCCCGGACGGAGAACGGAAGGGCGAGAGGAACGTAAACTCACTTTGCTTGCAGTATCCGTCGTAGTGCCCATGCGCGTCCTTATCGTCGAGCCATACTGGGACGTAGCGAATCTTCTTCCCGTCTTGGGGCTCGTCGCGCGACTTGTACTCGTCCAGGAGCGCCTCCAGCTCCTTCTTGTCGTCTCCGCTGAGTTCGCTCGCGGAGACCTTGCTGGTGGGAAGGTCCGAAGGGCCCGAAGAAGACTGGGCGGCAGCCTGAGGGACCGCACTTGACGAGGACTCGATGTCTCCCGTCCACCCGATGAGGATTTGCTCGTGCGTGCTCGCTAGCGAGTCGATGCCGCTGACCATCGCAGAATGGCCGTAGCGGACGTTAACAGACCATTGAGACGAAGGCGGCTCTGGGACCGCGCCGCGCGGTGCTGGAAGTGCGGAGTCGGTGTGCTCGGCCTCTACGGGGGAAGGGGGGATGTCGGACGCCTTTGCGGGAGGCGTGGCTGGAGGACTAGGGATGTCTGCTGGGCGCGCACGGCGCGAAAACGCGCAAGTAACTGGCAGGTAATGGCATACTTGAATGATGCGTCCGGAGAGTGGGACGCCCTTCTCGTGGAGCTCGGCCTCGAGTTTGCGGACTTCAGTGCGGACGTCTGCGAGGGCGACGGTGTGGTCGATGGGCCTGTGTGGCTCCGCGAAGCTGTCCATGGCGGCGGGGGAGGTGGGGGAGGGGAAGAGGGGGGTGCAGAGGCGAAAAAGGGAGCGTGAAGGTATATGTAGTCGACGGGACGCGGTATCGACTCTGCATCTCTATCGCCTTCCGCCCAATCCAGTCGTCCCGTGCGTCATCGCCTAATCCGGAAAACCCCACCAATTATGTCCAAATCTAGACCACTCTACTCACCGCCGCCCGTAGGCGCCCACAAGCGCACGTTCTCTCCATCGATGTTCTTGCGCCCTCTGTCGCGGATCCCGGGTGCAGTGTGTCTTCTGTTTGTCGAGTGCAACGTACGACCGCTTCTTCGGTGGGAAGCAACGCTCGCTTTCAGTGATCACCGCTCGTCGAAACGGACCCTCTCCTGGATGGCCCTGATACCCAGCATCAGCACATGTTTTTTTCGTAAACCTTTGGCCAGCACCCAACACATAACATGCGTGCGGCTATCAATATTCCACTATATACCTCACTCTTGAGACAACAGTCGTTCTGGGGGTACTCCTGCAGAGTTCATCGACGGTTAGGCGCAGATTTACATGTCAGCTCTTCTGCAAGATACGATACGCTCAATCAATTCTACCAATCGCGGACATCTGCTCTCTTCGAACGCAGTCTTCGAAGAACAGCCTAGATACAGAACGGTCAGCGCTTCGACAAAAGAACCCCCCGAAAAGCAGCGACCTCGCTAAAACTTCGGCGTAAGTCTGTCCGCCTTCTGCCATAACCGGTGCCGACCGTCCTTTTTGTCGAATGTCAGAACACCCAGAAAACCGCGCGCCCAGCCCGGAATGCACCCCTGACCGGGGAATACCCGTTGATGCGCGGGGTGGACGGCGCGGACGTACCGCTGCTGCTGGGATCCCAGATGTTCCACTTTCTCGCATCGGGATGTGCGCATGAGCGAACGAGCTCTGATTTCCCCCTGAGCGTCTCTAGAGCACAGACATAAATTGAGCTGAGCGAGTATCAGCACACGAATGACTCTGCCGTGCAGCTCACCGTTACATTTCGCACCGATCTTGAAGGCTTACTTCCGGTATACAAGGACCGGATTGACCGGCGTGGTGAATTTTCCTCGACATACACCTGCTCACCACCAGCGTTCATCACTCACTACTACATGATATGAGTTGTATCATGAAGTGCGTGAGTATAGTTTCATACGGGTATCACCAAGAAACGAAGCCCTAACAGTCGATATACAGCAGCTAGTACTGCGGAAGCACGATCAGCGACATAACGCGATAGCAGGTCAAGATGGAACGATAAGCAAACATAACAGCACTGGAAACCGCGTACGAACACCCAGCGTATGCCTAGTATGATCCAAAGCGCAGAGTGTCCGCTGGGACCGCACTGTCGTTGGCGCAAGTGGAGGTATCCTGACCGCCGGGGTGATCGCTAGGTCCTGAAGCTGAAGTATCATCCCAGGACCAGCTTTCGTTTGCGGGGGAACGACCAGGAGGCGGATTCATCACGCCACACCACGTGAGGGTTGCAGACGGGTCGGGAGGATGATACTGTGAGCTGACGATGAAGCTCTGGTCCACAGGGCGGTTGACGGTGAGGTGCGGAGCGCCGTCAAAGGAGGTGGATAGGTTGGAGGAGAGGGCGAGTTGGTCGCTGTATTCCGGAGACTTCAGGACAGGCGCTGTGGGCGCTGCAAGTGCATGCGTAAGGCAAACGAGACTGAATGAGGTTGTTGGACACCAACTGGGATGCGCCGACAGGGAGGTATCCTGAGTAGCTTGCACCGGGAGTCCACTGCGACTCATGCGAGTCTTCTTTTCAGCTCTGACGCACGTGTCGGCCTTGCCGTGCTTGACGCAGGTCTCGCAAGGAGTGTGTTGGCTGCATCTCTTCTTTACTGCACGGCAATTGGTGCACTGTCCGAGCGTTGGTCGATCAATTTTGCTGCAGACTGCGTAGCATATGGCGAACGAGTCCACTTACGGCTATCTCGACCCCACGGGTGCTGCGGGTCGTCTTCTCTGGAACGACAGGGGGACTCGTTACTTGCCACTCGGTGCAAACCAGGGTTTGTGCGGTCACTATGTTTTGGGCGACTGTTCCGAGTCCAGCATTTTGACCAACAGGTCCGGGTAAAGCTTGTACTGGTTGAACGAATTTTATGTCAGTCTGTACACATACAGCCGCAGATGGGTGACGCGGTGATCGAGACTCGATTGGAAGACTCACCCGCGATATGAGCTGGGTCCATATACCCGAAGGTGTTGTACACTCCCTGTCTGAGGGTACACGGGTCCAGCGGCGGCTGGAAAACGCGCCATATATACCATCTGCGAGGGGTCGTACGCCGCGTGGTAACCGCCGGAAAGCAGCGCACTGGGAGCTCCTTCGAGGGTTGTATTGATGGCCGATGGGTACTGTTCAATAGGATTATAGGTGGGGGAGACTGGAAGGATGTCGCCGCCGGAAGGGGAAAAGCGCGCATCCATCACGCAGGACGGGGGACGGGGCGGGGCGAGGCTGGGGGGTGCCGAAGGACGACGCCGACGCCTCACCACCCTTTTATACCTTTCCAGGGCACCTGGCGGTAGAGTTTGCGCGTACGTACGCCTCGCGCTGACGGGATGCGGAGAATCGCGCGAGCTGCCCCAAATTATGGAGCAGATATGCCAGACCTGGCACGGCGGCAACGGTTTTTCTAAGCTGGTAAATTCTTTGGCGTGCTTGACATTCGTAGACAGAAGGGTAAATGGGAGGGGGGTCTCAGAGACCCCCTCCGCATATCTCGTTTTGGGTTTGCAAAGCAGAAGACGCATGCACCTGAATATAGAGCCTTGGTTACTCTATTAACATAGCTGACAGGTTTACCAAGCTGAAAGGACACTGTACGCACCGTGAACGGCTTGCAGTCTCGCAAAAACGAAGGGCAAACGCACGATTCGTACATGCCCAAACCGGGAAGGGGGTCTGAGAGACCGGGCGCTTGTGCGTTTTGCTTCAGGAAATCGCGCAAGGGGGTCTGAGAGACCCCCACAATGATTGGCGCGAAAGCTTCCTTGCTTCTCTCCCACGATGGGTAGAGGGGTCATCCATATCCAGAGTGCGGAGGGCCGGTTTTGGACCATCTCGATACTGTCCGGCATGGGCATGCCGAGTGCATGGAAGCTGAGGCGGCGCGCTGGGTTGACGGACGTGTTCTGATGCGTGAGGCGAAGCAGCGGATCCCACTGAGATGCGCAGGGAAGCTCGTGTGTTCCCGAAAGTCGGCGAGGATAGGACGAGATACTGAACAGCAGAGGGTTGGACGGTAGTGGTTCAGGAGGAGAATGAGGAAGGTGCCAGGAGGATGGATGATGGATGATCTGGGAAGAGCCCGGTGTAGGCACCGAGACGGGACAGCGAAAGCCGTAGCACTAGCACGTCAACTATCGTCAAGTTAATCCTATGTCGCTTCAGTGGGGTGAAATACAAGCATGCATAGATAGTTTACCGGAATGATACTGTACAGGTGATAGACTGAATGAGTGTGGTATACACAGGGTATCAGAACAAAGCAAAACCAAACCAAAACCTTCCTCACCCCCGCGTGCCCTACTTCTCCCCCACCTTCTGCGCCCCAAGTCCCGCGGCCATCCCCGCGGCCATCGCGCTGCCCATCTGCGCCCCGAGCCCGTCGGTAGGCACGAAGACCGCCTTGGACCCGAACGCGCGCACGCGCGTGACCTCCGTCCGGCGCAGCTCCATCTCGCGCGCGAACTGGTCGACAACCCCCGCGTCCGCCGCCGCGCGCATGCGGATTGCCTCTGCCTCTGCCTCCGCGGCGAGGCGCGTCGCCTTGGCCTGTGCCTCGGCTTCGATCCGCGTGCGCTTTGCTGCTGCCTCGGCCGCGGCGACGATGCCGTACGCTTGCGAGTCGGCGATTGTCTGTGTGGAGAAGTGTCAGTAAGTGTGGTAGAGTGAGGAAGCGCGAAGGCTGACGTTCTGCGACTGGGCCTTGATGCGGGCGACGGCGAGCGCACCCTCCTCCTGCTTGATCTTGTTGCTGTTCTCCCTGTCGACGTTCTGCGAGTATAGTATCAGTGCACAAGGACTTACTCGAAAGATGGGGGCGACTTACAGCGGCCTCGACCTGTGCTTGCAATGCACGGGTAGTCAGCTTGTCCATTGTAGACGCGATGTCGCCCTTGAATTGGCGATCGATGACCGCTGTATATCGAGTCAATGAGGTCGTCTGGTAGCAGAGGAGATGTGCGTACCGAGATCCTTCATGATGATACCGTACTCGAGCGCGGCGAGGTGGAGGTCGTCCATGGCGCGCGTCCGGAGCGCATCCAAAAACGCGGAGGAAGCGTCGGTGCCGTCGTCCAGGTTGTCCGGTCCGAGAGACCGCTGCTTCACCATGGAACTGTAGTCCACTATCGGGTGCATAGCAGGAGTGAGCTCAAAGCGTGGAGAAATACGGGGATGTGAACTTACAGTGCGCGACAATCTGCGTCAAGATCGACTGCGTCTTGTCCCTGAACGCAGGTCAGGCCGGTCAAACCCAGCAACAAATCGTGCAGAGCATACCTGAGCGCATCGTAGGGCGTGTTGTACCCGTGTGTAGTCAGCTTGAGCGGCTCCGTGAGCTGCCACTTCAAATAGATCGTCAAGCTGACAGGGACCTGGTCCCGCGTGAAGCTATATCCGTCCCGTCGCTCGTCAGCCAGAGTCAAGAACAACACAAAACACCCGGCGGACGTACATATCCTTTGTCGGCATCTCGATCTGGTTCTCCCCGAGCGTGAACAGCCCACGCAGCGTCACATTCGGGGATGTGATGTAGTGCTGCCCTGCAGGGAGCAGCTCCAAATCGTCACCCCGCTGCAGAATCGCGCAGTTGTTCGCCGGGATGTTCAAGCTACAGCAGACAAAGTCAAACCGCACGTCAGCGTCAGGCAGCCGTCCCGAAGCCCCGAGCCTGAGCGCGCGCGACGTACAAGAGCGCGACGACGTAATCCTGCTTCGTGCCGGTGCCGGTGCGGCTCTGCATGGTGACCTCGTGGCTCCAGCCGAGCACGACGTTCGTGATCCTGTCCTTGATCATGGTGGGCAGGTGCGTCTGGTCGACGATCGAGAGCACGTTGTACGTGCCCTCGATCGCGTACGCGACGAAGCCCGAGTTCTTCACGACGAAGACGTGGTTCTGCGGGTCGGACACGACTGCGGCCTGGTTCTGGGACACCTGGACCACCGTGAGACCGCCGAACTCGATGACCGTGTCGGAGACTGCGTGTCGCGTGCGTCAGAGAACTCTATCGCGCGGTGTTTGTGCCGCGTACGCACGTCCTAGTGTCCCGACCCACTTGCGTGCCCACCAGTTTCGGAGAGGCATGCCAGGGTATCGTCCGGGGCGCGTTAGGACCTTGGGCAGACCACCATGGTTAATGAGGCCGATTTGTCCAGGGGTAACTTCCTTCCCAATCCAGTCCGTCGGTTTCTGCAGTTCCCCTCGGTCAGTGCGATGCTAGCCTGAGGCCGAGCACGTAAACGGACCTTGCGCGACAGGATGTGTCCGCGCCCAGCCTGTCAAATACGGAAATGTTAGACTGCGCCCGCTGCACGGAACCGAACAAGGAACCGTACGTACATTCTTGAGCTGCCTATCGAGCTTCTGCAGTGCGGCGATGAGTCCGTCCTTCTCGATCTTCACGAAGAACTGGCGGTCCTCCTCCATGTAGTCGAGCGCGGACACGAAGTTCGCTGCGCTCGCCTTGTGCGCAGATGGCTTGAACGGCTCTTCAAAACGCGCCTTCCCGTTGCCCGACACCACTGTCGACACATGGCCGTCGACCACAGTCGTTCCGTCGCCGAGGCTGGACATGACGCGAATGGGATGTTCAAGGGTGGAATGGGGCGGTGTGGTGGCGGTCGGTAGTCAGGGTCTGTCCTTGCGTGACGATGATCGACCCTGGAGAGAGTGTCGAAGCTGCTTCGTGAGAAGGTAGGTAAGTAGACAGGCTTCCCCGCACGCCCCGCGCTTTATAGTCTATTCATGGGCGTGTGCACCGCCTCAATTCCAGATCGTCAGTTGACCAGGGCGGCGTGTGCAGTGTGCACAACAACTCCGATGCATTCCGAGCTCGCCCGGCCGGCTGCCGTCGACGTCTTGTTGACAGTTGGGCAGCAGCACCGACCTCGCTTAGGCCGGGCGTGGCACCCTGATACAGCTACTTTTGCCTATTCGAGACGTTCGTGCGCTAGATGCGTTAGCAAACAAACAACTCGGCAGGCACACAATCGCCCATGGTATATGGGCGTGCACAGCTTAAGTTCGCACCTATGCACCGCCGAAGCGCACGTTTGACGCCCCATAGCGTCGAATCCATAGGGGAGTCATGTCAGTGGCGCCGCATGCCGTCGCCCGAGACGGCCCGAAAGTCGCTCCCAGGCGGCCACTCGGCCACTAGCAAGCGCACGATCGAACTCAGCTACGATAGATGAAGAAATGCTGTAGCCCAAATCCACTTACAGCACACGGTTGCGCGTGTCACCAAGTCCGGCGCATCGCAACCACGACAGTCGGGGGGAAACCCATATACAATGAATTCACAGCCGGAACGACAAACCTAATAAGCGACGACGGTCGCGACGCCTCCACTGCAGCGCATTACGCGCTAAGAGTCCACCTCCATGCTCATACTTGCATCCTCATGCGCACGCTGCGCGACATGAGGACCCGCTTCTGCCGCTACCGGGGCGCCAAGCGGAGGCGCGAACTGGCCGTTCGGAACTTGGGGCGCCACAGGCGTGACTGGAGAGCGCCCCTCCGGCGACTGCGACTTCTTCCCCTCGCGCAATTCACGCATCTTGCGTGCCGAGGGGTTGAAGTACCCGCACTTTGGACACACGTATTCTGCGGATGAAACGTCAGTGACACATGTTGAGCCACCGGAGCTGAAGCATTACTGACGTGCGTCCTCCCACACGCTCTCCTTGACAAGTCCATTGTGCGAGAAGCACTTCTGGCAGATGAGCGCGTAGCGCGAACCCGTAGCTGTTGTAGACCCGTCGTCATCTCCGAGGATGGCGTCCGCAAGCTTGTCAAACCATTGCTTGCGCGGAGGCGGAAGAGGCCGTTGCGGAGAAGCTGTGCGGCGCGAGTTTAGCGTTCAATCGCGCCTGCCGGCACCATGAAGACATACGAGATAGCTGCTGCTTAAGCCCGGGCGACATGGTCCTGGCAATAGGCGTCTGAGGCATAGCCTGCGGATTACGTTGAGGAGTTTGTGGGATAGGCTGCTGAATCCGGCCTTGTTGGCCTTGGGGCGGAATACGCTGGCGGAGGCCGGCAGGAGTGTCTGGAGGAGTAGGGCCTGGTCCGCCTTCGTAGCGCTCGATGAGGTTTCGCATAGAGTAGTAGTTCGTCTTCTGCTTGACTTCTTCGATCTTTTCCCGCTGCAACTTCCGCAGCTTCACCAGTGCCTTCTCTGTAGATAACCACGTTAAGTGCTTCCTTTTCGAAGATAATGCGGCGAAGAATCGGTGACCAGTGCTACGAATGCACTAATGTCCACTCGGCACAGGCCTCGCCTCAAATGTCTTCTTACGCACAAGAGAGCATACTTCAGCGCGCCCCTCGGCATATCAACAGCTGAGCTTCGCAAATGCTCGTGCAGCTAAGGTCAGGTAGCGAAACGGCCATCTTCCAGGCATCGACAAGTATTGAATCGGGGCACGTGGCTATATGCATGCCTTACAGGCTAGTTGTGCTCGGGCGAAGGTGAGACGCAGCTAGCCTGCAGACAAACACTATTGACACGTTGTGTACAGTGCTTGACGTCGTGCAGACAACATGTCAATAACGTCTGCGCATATGGAATTCGAGGCAAGGGCATTCTTGAGGCATATGAACAGCTCGCACAGTAGACGCGTCGCTCACCTTCTGCATCTCCTATGCGGGTATACCAAATTTGCACAATCCTCCTGATGAACAAAATACTGCGCGCACATAGCATGTCAAGGTTGAGTGTATGTGCATCGAGGTCGGGACGTACACAATCGGACCCAAGAACACCGGCACGCCTTCCACCGTCTTCTCAAACTGGCTATTCCTCTTGTGCGCGGTGAGGGTCGGGAGGAAGTCCTTATACCACATGCTCGTGTAGACAATCCATAGGAGAATGGCGTAGACGGAGAACAGAAGCGTGGCGCGACGCTCACGCAACCGGATTTCGGACAGGTGAGTCTGTCGCTTCTGGATGTCGGTCGAGAGCGCAGCGAGCACCTGCTCGTAATCGTCGGGCTGGCTCTGCGAATGAAATTGAGTTTCATGTATGTTGCGCGGATCTATTTTGAACATACCTTCTTGAACCACCCGCTAAAGAGACCCATCTTGCGAGGGTAGTGTTGAGATTACAGAGTTCGTCGGCGTCGTACCAAGGCAGAAACGCGACTAGAATACAGCGGGGACAAGGAGTGGCGGCGGCAGCAGGGCGATGGACAGAGTACGAGGGCAAGGTGGCTTTTCCGGCGAGCGCTGGCCACGCGCTACGTCAAGCCTTTCCACCCCACGTGATACACGCGTCGCACACGCGTGCCACTGCAGGCGTCTCTTTCCCTCTTGCTCCGCAACCACCATGTTCTGCCACTCAGACTGCTATGTCGACGTCGAGGACGCAAGGCCCCTACTCACGAAGCTTTGATGTAAAAAAATTGTGAATCATGGGAAAATTCGCGGTCATGTCGAAAACATCGTTAGTCTCTCTTCCCATCAGCTTCAATCCTCACGTCCACCTCCTTCTCGTCCTCTTCTTGCATGACCTCTACATCCCGAGCGGTCCGTCTTCGCTCTACCGTGCGTCCTCCTGGGCTGCTCCAAACACCCCCAGTGATGCCACCCTTCTCGAAGATGTGGTCGACGTCTTCGAGTTCCAACCCCTTCGTCTCCGGGAAGAAGATGTACACGAGCGGCACCCAAAGCGCGTTGAAGATCGCGAAGATGATGAAGACACGCCAGTTTATGTTGGCGATCGCGGGAGGCGTCATCTCCACCACTGCGAAGACACACATCCAGTTGAAGAACGACGAGATCGCAGAACCCCGCGCGCGGATCCGCGTAGTGGTGATCTATACAAGAGAGTCATTATTCCGCACACCGTAGAAGCAAATTATGACTCGCCTCTGCTGGATAGAGCCAGGGCTGTCCGAGAATACGGTTGGTTTGATATGTATGTGCAGACGGAGTACTCACAATGGGTAGATAGCCGATTCCGAGGAATATCTGGAAGATGAATACCATCGCTGTTGCACCGTAAGCGGCGCCCTTCGTTCCGATGGACAGCAAAATCGATGCTAGAATGAAGCACACAGATAGTCCTGTGGCGGATATCATCAAAAGCGCACGTCGTCCGAAGCGGTCAACGGTCTGCAGCACGACATGAGTCTGGTCCAATTTTTCGCAAAGACGAGCTTACCCAAAGCGGGATAAACGACGCGATCATGTAAGTGACTGCCGTGAATCCCCCTAGGATGAGAGACAGATTTCTTGACATCCCCATCGTATTCTGGTAGACAACAGGTGCCAGGTAGCTACATATCGCGTCAGTCTATGAGTATGTCGCGACGATTTCTCGCGTACTTGATCATGTTGGCCCTATCCGAAAGTCAGCACGCATATTCTCTCTGAAACAAACGACCACATACCCAGTAAATTGTTGCATAACGTTGACCCCGATGCACAGGCATATGCGCCTGAAGTTGCCAAGGGGCCCGCCTTGAAGCAGCTCGCGATAACGGAAGGGACCTCCCGCGCTCTCCTGCGCCAAGGACAGTTCGATCTCCTTGCGCTTCGCGACGACGTCCGGATGGCTTGCAGAATCACGGTCCTCCAGCTGTGCGAGGATGCGGGCGCCTTCCTCTTCGCGGCCATGTGCCATGCACCAGCGCGGACTGTCCGGGAGCACTGCGACTTGCAACAGGAGGCAGAGCGCGAAGACGGCCTGGAAACCTGTTCGCCGTACGTCTATCATTGACCACCCCTTTTCGAGATATGCATGTGCTTACCGATGGGAAGTCTCCACTGCGCAGGTCCATCCACGAAGGACATTCCATAGTCCAGCCAATATGCCTAGACATATGGACGTCTAGTCAATGTGACTCCCATAACGGACGAGGATCACTCACAAAGACAAGTCCGATGATGGTCACGGTAGAGTTCAGGCAGACTAAGGCCCCTCTCACCAATCCTCCGCACGTTTCGCTCTGGTACACCGGAATGGACGAGGAGTTGAAGCCGTTTCCCTATACTCTGATAAGCTAGGCGGACTTAAAGGAGGCTGGGTTACACGTACAATTCCTGTCACAATCCTCCCGACGTAAAGCTGAGCTAATGTTGTCGAGCTAGTCAGGATCGCCTGTGATACAGTCTATCAACGACGACCAGCCTTCGACGTAAGATAGAGCACGTACGGTTCCGATGAGCATGGTTATCGCGCCCGCCATAATCATACGCTTGCGACCGATGCTCTCACCCCAGAAGAACGTGATCAAACTTCCAACCGCGCAGCCGATATCCTGCAAAACCAGACGGAGGTGAGTCGTTCTGCGTTTGAGGGTCCACTCATGCGTACATATATCGCTACCTAGAGGCACGTCAGCAACGCGTTAACAGCAGCGCATACATCCACGTACGATGGTCCCCTGCGTTGTAGGGTCGGGGTTCCCGAAATCCCTTCCGAACTGGTTGTCTGCTCCTATCTACAGCGCCGACTCAGCATGCCGCGGCGGTAAACGGCGCTCCATATACGCACAATCCCTGACATTACACCCTGGTCGTAGCCCAGGAGGAGGAATCCCTGGCAGCAACATGCTATAACAAGACCCCATACAACGTCAGTCGCGCTGCCGTGGCGTTGGCAGAATCTGCCAGTCTGAATGCGCACCTGTGATTGCCCACACGAGATACTTTCCCCGCAACGGCATGATCCACATATTGGCCTACACTTCCTTCGTGGTCGTCGTTCAACTTCGTGATCCAAGGGGTCGACGTGAATCCAGGACACAGAGGCGAGTCCTCGCAAAGATGGGCGGTTTCGCAGTCCCTAAACACGCACGCCCTGCGTTCCCCACGGGGTACGAGGTATATACCCCGCAAGTGAGGGCGCTCATCATAGGTACGGCGTTCACGTGAAGCAGCAGTATGTTCCACTCGAACGGCTTAGGACGGTCCTGTCTCTAGGCGGCGGCCCGGGGGCGTCAGCGGATGGGGAGCTGGCATGATATGCACGACGTCGGATGACCTGGATGAGCTTGGGTGGGTGCAATTGGTGTGAGAAATGATCAGTGCTCCGCGGACGGGTTGTGCGAGGGACGGCGGGGTGGTCACTTGACCGCGCTGTGATGTGCGAGCCTCAGACTGCGAAGTTCCTGTGGATATTCCTATGATTGCAAAGAGAACAGGGCGTTTCAACATATCTCGAAAACGATTGACACAACTCAAAAGACGTAATGTTTGATTGCAAACGGGAGCCCCTTGCATAGGTATACCAACGACCCTTGCGACGTAGCCTGACGGGCGCGGTCAGCCATGTTCTCAATATCTCCGACGATATTCCAGGCGAGGCTCACCATAAAACACTCACCAGGACTATCGTGCATTCCAGCGTATGCCAGCGTTCCCTACTCCTCTCCCGGGAGCGTCGTTCGCAACAGCATATACTCATCCCACAACTCATCCGGCTTCTCCTTAATTTCCTTCTCTTTCGTCAACCCGAGCACTACCTTAGCATCCGCTATTCCGTGGCCTTCCTCCGCTCGCTTCACGTAGTCGGCGATCGTGGAGACCCATTTCCGCGCGATGCCGACCTGGTCGCCTTCGAGGATGGGCAACCGGATCATCCACAGCGAACGGTCAGTGCCGTGTGTAACATAGCCTACAGACTCAAAGGTGAGCGACGTCCTTCCGTTTGTCTGGTCGTACGTACCGAACGGCCGAACCTGCTCTGGCGTCCACGCAATCTCGTACCTCACCACCGGATAGCCTGCGTTCACCAAATCGCGCGCAAGCAGCCTCACAGGCAGATGGACCTGCCCCTCCGCCAACAGCCTTCCAAATACCTTCTTCACCTCCTCCGAGTCCGTCGGTAGCTTCCCGTACACCTCCAGCATCTTGTGTACGACCTCTGCCCTGTAGTACCGCTCGAGGCTGACCTCGATGTCCCCGGGCACTTTCACGGGGTGCGAGAGCGAGTAGATGTACCACTCCTCGGTGAGGTCCCCAACGACGACCGCGCGCACCCCATGCGCCTTCAGGCCCGCCGCGAACCCGCCCGTGCGCTGCCACTCCATAGTATCCGAGGCCCCGATCCAAGAGGGCTCCCAGGCACCGCGGAAGGTACCGTACACGGCGCCGAGCGCGTCGTTCTCGATCGCGTAGGTGATTGCAGACCAGGGCACGCGATGGGTGTCCCGCAGCGTGGCGAGGATGTCGGGGGACTTGGCGTCGAGAAGCAGTGAGCGGCAAAATGCTTCGAACTGGGGACGGGATTCGGCAGGGGTCTTGGGCGTCGTGCTAGGGCGTGATGTAAGTCAACATCAGACGCATGAAAAAACCGATGAAACTGACACGATCGCGTTAGACTCTAATATGGCCGTCTGGAAGGGCGCCTTTTCGCCATCGGGAAGGCGAGATGCATGGTGCAGCAGCTGGTGCACGGAATGCGCGCCTGTCAGAATCGTAGTGTCAATGGCTACCTTAGCAAAACGCATACATGGATGCCATACCTGCGGACAACCCAGTGATCTGAACATTGTCGGGATCTCCGCCGAACGCCTTGATATTATCGCGGATCCAAAGCAACGCGAGCCACTGGTCCTTGAACCCAAAGTTTCCGTCGATCTTCGGCTCGTCGCTGGCGAGGAAGCCAAACGCTGAGAGCCGGTAGCCTATGTTGACCCAGACCTCGCCGCGCTCTGCTGCGACGAATTGTGCCTGCGCGCTCAGGCCGTGCGGGGACCCGAATTGCAGGAACCTGAGAGTTGTCGATGTAAACCCTGCGAAAGAGTCCGGGTATATGCGTGTGAACGTACCCTCCGTGGATATAAACCTTCACGGGAAAGTTGCCTTGGGCCGGGAAGGAGGGCGGCGCGACGATGTTCACGAACAGCCTAGTAAACACATCAGCTTGATCACTCTCACTTGTTCAAGTTGTTGTCTTACGGGTCCTCGCTAGGCTCGCCAAGCCCAACCTTGTCCTCGAATGGTATGCCTTCAAGAAACGTTAACCTGTTGTAGTAGATCGCGGTGAGGTAGATCACATACCTGCAGCTTGTCCGTCATTCTTCGGCTGGGCAGCATCTACGCATAAGTCACTATAATCAGTACGAGGTCAGGGGCTTTTAGAACCGATCACCTACATTTGCTTTCCAAGATGTATTCCTTATCTTCGTATCGAAAGTCTGCTGGGAGAGGGACAGGGTCCGCGAACCTCACAGGCGGCAGTGCGTATGGCACCTCTGGATAGATTACGGTCAGTGTAAAGATCGCAGAAGTAGATCCAACACCGCGCCGCAGAGATTGACGCACCCAGGAAGACCGCAGCTCCATTAGCTGCGCGGCGACCGCGGATGGTGCCATGCTGCGTCTCTACGGTGACCTTCGCGCCCGATTGCGCTAGCTCTTCTTGCAAGTGAACTCGAGACATCTCCGTCTCTCAAGTTCGTGAGGTCAGCGATGGAGGGGAGGGCGGGGTTGCTAGCACCCCTGAAGCGTATATCCCTGGATGTCGTGCTCGAACGCAAAGGTCAGGAGACTGCAGTGGGAGTGGCCTGGCATATATTTGGAAGAACGGCCCGGGAGGTATCTTATCTGAAAACGGAAGCTCTTTCGCGCTATCCAGCGTAAAGGATGTCCCTAGCTGCTCGCAGCCATGACAGCAGGGATTGTGACAATGCTGCTGCTGCTGCAGTCGTGTTGCACTGCGGCCACCGTGGAGCGATGAAGCGATGTGTGTACGCAGCCTCCTAACCCCTTTTGACATATTCGCGGCGGTAATCTATGTGGGGAAGATGATACCGTACGCAGCTCTTGGAAAGTCAAAACATGATCAAGGCACCATACTACGGGCCTTTCCGAGCGTTCAAATTAGAGAAGTGGCTTCTCATGCGGCTGGCTCCAGGAGATGTCACCTGAAATGTTTTCCTAAAGCACATGCCACGCACGATATACGCCTGCGACATGGTAAACCTGCAGCACAAGGTGAATCGTCAACAACGCGGCGGTACCCAATACTGTAGTGCCTTACAAGTATAATCCTACCACTCGGTTATCCCCGCGCCACATGCATGCATTTCAGGCATAGGAGAACTGAAACCAAGCTTAGGCTGCAGAGAAGGTCGACTAGAAACTGTGGGGTAGCTGGAGCCCCTCATTTGCATTCGATGGGGTACGAGTCTACGACTAGTATGGTGTGCAGCCTATTATGAATGGAATCAGCAGGAACACTCGAATAGTAACCGGATACGGACGTACCTTGTGTCCTCGTGCATCGTCCTTCCCGAACACAATTGGATTATCCACTGCTCGCAAATCGAGAAGCATGCCGTGTCGAGCGACCTTCTCACCACTCAAGTCGCTCTGGGCACCATCATCCTGGAGACCGTACCAAGTCCAGAATCACCAGCTGGAGCCGTACTGAATGGGACGGGCTTTAGAAGTTACTCGAGCAGAGGGGCCCAACTAGATCCGATCACGACAGAGAGGGTCGGCCTAAGCGAGAAGGTACCAGGCGCAAATCGATTTCCGCCGCAGCCAAGCTCTCTCACTCCCGCTGGCCTGTGATTTGTGCAATCAACTGCTCGCAAGATCTGACCAACCTTGCGAAAAATTGGCCCTGCGCACGCTGCAGCACACCGCATCGCCGAATGGCGCCGTCGGCAGCAGTGATGGGCGTCGTCGGGCGGCATCCCCCGAGCGACGGCGCCAGTTCGAGCCCGGGCGTCGAGTCCCAATTTGGCACCGAGCGCCCGCCTCGGCATCTAGATGCGGGCGTCTACGGCCACGAGGCGATCTCAAAATGTGAGATCGACAGAAATCACATGTGAAGCGGCGCGTTCATAAAATGCACCCAAAAGACGCGAGCTTATCTTTCGCAAACGTCTCTCTTCCCAACCTCCACCTCCATCACCTCCCTATTTCCCTCATCGTCGCCAGCAATGGCCACAGAGACTCACGAAGCGACCCCCGCGCAGCCTGAGCTCACCATCCTCTCCCGGGTGGGCTCAATCCCGCTTGTGGCGGACTCCCTGAGCACCATCCACTCTACCCTCACCAACAACGCATACACTCGCTCGCCATACGCAACCGCGCAGGGTTTGACCCAATCGGCCCTATCGTACACAGAGCCCATTCAAAAGCGCCTCGCGCCCATCCTGACGAAGGCGGACGGCCTCGCGAACAAGGGTCTTGACGCGGTCGAGTCCCGCTACCCCTACCCCTTCCAAACCCCCACCGAGGACATCATCAAGGACCTCAAGGGGCACAGCGACCATGCGAAAGACGTCGCCAACAAGACTCTTGATGACAAGGTTCGTACCCCGGCGTATCAGGTGGCGCAGGGCATCGACCAGGTATGCGGCGCGCTCTCACACATTGTAAGTTAAACGGCACGTGTGTGCTCACGACCCCTTCCGCAGAGGTTCGCGCCTATCGTTGACTACTTCGCCGTCGCCGTGAACAAGTTCCACTCGAACGGCACGGAGGACAAGCCGACGGAATCCCCCGAGGCGCAGTTCCAATACCAGCGCGCGTACTTCCTCACGAAGGACCTCCGGGACCAGCTCTACACCTACTCCACCGAGCAGATCAACCAGATCAAGACTCAGAGCGTCCTTGTCCAGCGCGCGTCTGCGACCGCCAGCTCCCTCAGCGAGCTTGCATCAAGCAGTTATGGTGCGGCGCAATCTCGGGTGCATTCCCTCAGTGACACCATGGTAGCGGAACTTCAGAAGGTCCAGGTGCGTCTCGGCCCGTTGAAGCCTAATCAACACTCTTCTCACATCTTTCTTTGGCGTTGGCGCTCTTATCATCATGCGTTTTATAGGCTTCTACTGCCGCGCTCCCAGCGACTCTTCAGGCTTCGTTCCACGATGTTTCGGCGAACCTCACTTCCACCATCAACGAGCTTTCGGCTATCTTGACGTCGCCGGAACCTGTGCCCGAGAAGGTCCAGAAGGTCCGCGATACCGTTCAACAACGCGTGCAGCCGATCCTGGATACCGCGACCGCGCGCGTGCAGGAGGTTCTCGGTGCGTTGAAGGCGCGGGTATCGGAGGAGAAGGCCGAGCTTCACCAAAGTGCGACGACGACTAGCGGTGCCACCACCGTCAACGGCGTCACGAATGGCAACGGTCATGCGTAACCGCTCTGGTCTCCCCCCCTCCCCCTTATGCATGGTTGTGTCGTACCTCTTCCCCGATTCCCCTGCACCGCCCCTAGACTCGGTTATGACCACCGCGACTTCACGCTTTCACGACCCACATAGACGATTATCTTTTTTAGTATAGAGCATTTGTATATTTACCGCCTCATATGTACTCTTGGGTTTGTTCACTTATCCGCCCACCATACTCCTCGCTGCTGTGAATTGCGTTACCTTGAACATTTCGAAGACCTAGACCGCCAGGTTTACCCGTGAATTGATTCGACAGCTAGTATCTCATCATGTGGTATAAGTACCTGTAAAGAGTACGGCTTCGTTACGTGGATGGGGGGCACCGACGATCCTCTTGGTGGACGCATTCGTACATTTGCATGCGGCTGAGTTACACGCTCAGAAGCAGAACGCCTGGAACGAGACGATGAGGTCATAGTGTGGTAGATCTAATCTTATCTATAGCTGTCCTTTACGTTTCCTGCGTTCATCTGCGACCGACGGAGTAATACCAGCGGCATTTGCGGCCTGGCCTTCTTGGCATGTAACGACCATCCTCCCCACCCCCGCCTCGTCCTCTTCTTGCACCAACCACACTTGGCTCGACGCGCTACCAGCACAGGGAAGACACGACGACGACCCGAGCGACTACTGGCACGGTGGCGCGAAGATACACCACACTCCCAGTCCGACCATGTCGATGAGAAAGAGACTATCCGTGTCGAGCACCCGAAGCGAGTCGCCGCTTGTGTTCGCGACGACGCCGAACGCGGATTCGGAAGAATGGGTGGCTGCGTGGAAGCAGATCCTTGCCCAAGGTGCGTACCGAGCAGCTTCTAGCGCGATTCGCATGTTGACCTTCCGAGGCTAGATATCATTGATTCGCCTGTTGTGGCAGTCGATGCCGAGACTAGTGTGGAAGAAGCATGCGAGGTGAGTGTGTTCTGGACCCACAATATATGTTCCAAAGGCTGGTTCGACACGGAACGCTTGGGCGCTCCGTGTGGTCCCACCCGTCCTCCGAGGGAGGCGCAGTCAGAAGCAGTTCGGACAATGGAATCGTGCACCGGATACTCTTGAGAATCGAGTTTGTTGAATTTGATATCTCGTTCACTCGGAGACGATACAATGCGCGTGGAAGCCACCGCCGTAGTGAGGCCCGGTTATATCGCACCCGTCAATGTACTCCGAGCTCAGGGCCCGAGTGTTCAACAACCAATGCCGCTTGCTCGCAGGTGGCGAAAGCAGCTCGTTTGAATAAACGGTGGTTGATGGGGAATTCCCGCATCTTCCGAAAACCCGTGCGGTGTCGGAGCATGAAGTATATGCTCGCCGGATACTTAGTCTGGATAAAGCCCAAGTTCGGTCCCTCGCCCTGCCCTGTAATTAGGCGTTTGCGACGTTCACATATTCGCATTATCTCTGCGTTGTACGATGCGAAGTATACTGAACTTTTTTCTTCAACAGGTATTGCTATCGCAGGACCTCTTATGCTTGGCGGTGAAGACCCCGCAAGGCCGATCTCCCCAAGCGTTGCCATTCTATGGACTCTTCGATGTAAGTAAAGATGCATATATGCTATGGTTTATTGACCTGATGCGTCGCTTTTTAAAAGTTCGCAGACGTGAACGCGTTTCTGACTTTGGCGGCGACGAGGCACAAGATAGGCGTAGACGAACTTCGCGAGAAACATCGAGTGCAAGAGATATTGAAAGCAGCGCGAGAAGGAAATGTACCTGCGCACCTTATCAGCAGTATGCGGGTCTGTCATTGACGCGGCGTGCCCTGCACTGACCGTCTCAATTTTCAGATCTGTCTGAGAAGAACCCGCTAGAGGTCCTTCCGCATGACGCCAACGTTGTATCTCTCCTCACAATCTTCGCTCGTGGCGCACATCGTGGTAAGTGCGCTGATGGGGAGTCAAGTGATAATACTAAAGCGCATATACAGTGCTCATCCAAGCCCCATCCTCGACCTCCGAGTATCTAGGGATGGTCTCTGATAGTGGACTCCTCTCCTGGCTCACCGAATACGCACAGAAGACCCCCACGCTTCTCAAATACCTCTCCGTGCCTTTGGCGTCTCTCGCGCTCCCATCACTATACCTCTACTTGTCTGTGATCGCCACCAAGGCCAGCGACAGTGTACTAGACGCCATGAAGCTTATGAGCGACGAGGGCGTTAGCAGTATTGCCATTATTGATGACGAAACTGGCGGCCTTCTCAGTGCGGTCAGCGTTACGGATATAGGAAAGGTGAGACTCGCCCATGCTCTATCTTCTGCACAAGTATTGATCGCATGTACAAGGTCGTTGTGCCTGAGCAGAGCAACCAGATCCTCACCACACCGCTGAAGCAGTTCATCACGCGAATCAAAGTAATTTGACGACGTTCTGTCCATATGCCGGTGTACTTACTGAATCCTCCCATCCATGTAGGAGCCAGACGGGTCTACCGATGGCGTCGACAAATTCCCAGGTGAATCTTGTAGTTCATCGTACCGCGCGATGAATGGCATGCTGACCCGTTCGATAGTTTATAGCGTCACCCCCAACAATACACTCTTCTACACCATGCAGAAGCTGTTGGCTAGTAAGTCGTCCATATCTCATGCTCATTGATTAGACCACTTACTTCGCAATAACCATCAGCCGGCTCACATCGTGTGTTCGTCACTGAGGAGTCGCCAATGTCGAGCTCTCCGTCCTTCAGCTCCATGGCCCCGACGAACCTCTGCGGCATAGTGTCCGTAGTCGATGGTACGTTGTCTGTCTCGCGACTATCGTACCGAGATTACCACTGACGCCCCCAATCGCAGTGCTCTCCCTCTTCGCCCGTATAGCAAACGTCCCCGGGGTGGATCCGACGCGCATGCAGCGGCACCGCCGCGCGTCCTCGACGTCCTCGAACGACTCCTACCGCTCGTCCGGGTCGTTCACCCACCGATCGCGCTCGAGCAGCCGGACGAGCCTGCAGCGGCTCGGGTCCGTCGGGAGCTTGGAAGGCTTCCAAATGCGTTGGGCGGACAGGGTGCCGGTCCCGGAAGCTCACCGTGGATCGCCGTGATCGCGTTGCGTCAACGTTCGAATACATGGCGATTCGGTGGACACCATTCCGCCGCGGTCTGCGCTACAGTATGTAAGATACCTTTCGGGTTTGGTTTGTTGTATCGTCTTATGCTTCTTCCATGTATGTCCACCATGCAACTTGTACTCAATATTTGCGGAAAATGCATCACATCTGTTTGTATACTCGTGAATTCGTCATTTTCGTCAGATCATGGTAGTGTACATGAGAACATCTATATGATACAGTTCGTTGCGACATCGAAATCGTCAGAGCATAGTGCAGATCGTGGACAGGGGACATCAGAAGATCATAGCAGAGACCACAGCAGCAGAGAAACAGCACAGAGCGTCCGGGACGAGAAAATACAAACCCAAGAAATACACGTGAGCAAGCTCAAATCATCGTCAACAAACAGCAGCATGCACTTCCGTGCATGCAAACAACGTCCACCTCGCACCAGTGGTGCAAGGATCAAGGGCCCCGGCAGTGTGGAGCCAGTTCCGACGGCGCGACAAGCCCCAGGTTGATCTGCCACGACCGGTCTGGGTTGTGGGTATTCCACGACCCCCAATAATTCACCTTCTCCCCCAGGCAGTCGACGCGCCGCATGCCCTGCCCCCACTCCACATCGGGGATGGCAATGTGCGGCGCCTGGTGGCAGCGGCGCCGGAACGCCTCGACCCACGTCTTCCAGACCTCCGGGCGTGCGGTGCGGACGGGCTCGACCTCGTCCGCGCGCAGCGGCGTCTGGAAGAACTCGTAGATCCTGTCGAGCGCGTCGCCGACGGTGACTGTGCGCGTCTGCCTGATGTGGATCGGGCCGAAGAGGTTGGGGCTGCCCCAGATGGTGTACGAGATCTGCACCTCCTTCACCTCGGGGTTCGTGAGCGCCTCTTTGAAGAGCGCGCCGCAGGAGAGAATGCGCTCTGAAGACGTGATGCGCTGCGCCAGCGTAGGCGGCGTGCGCACGTCCCACTTGAGCGGGGGCACGTCCGGTCGTTCCGGGTTGGGCATGATTGTATGGTGCAGCCTCGGCCCTGTGAATGGGGAGACGGAGAGGTGCGCGCCACGGATGAGAACCATCGCCGATCCTGGCATGGTCGGTTGTTGCCCCACAGATTGCCCCGGGACGTACACCATTTCGTTAGAGAGCAGCATGTTGCCATTCTCACTGGAAATAATAGGCGTCACTAGTGGCAGGGACCGATCAGGGCTCGGCCGGTTGGGGGCAACATAACCCATTTGTCCAGGGACAGGATGAGGCAGGACACGACCCATGCGCAAGGATGCTGCTGCTGCTATGAGGTTGTCAGGCAGAGGCCAAGGGGAATCTCCTTGCAGGAAGCTCCCATGCGGCGGACGGAAACCTGTGTTCGGGTAGTTCCACGGAAAGGGTGTGGGCAAGTGCGGCGGAGGTATAGCAGGATAGTACGGGAGAGGCGGAGGTGGCGGAAAGGATCCCAGTGGAAGAACATAGGGTGTGGCAGCAATATATATTGGAGGCTGCTGAGGATATTGTTGATACACCGGGTGCCACTGGGGGTACCATTGTTGATATTGCAGAGCGTAAGGATATTGGGGTACATAACCGAGGCCATCAGCGGGACGTGCGGGCGGTATCCTATTCGATCCTGCGCTAGACCGACGGGGGCGGGGTGGCGACGGGGGAGGGCTAGGAAATAGGTGGTCGCCTCGAAGCGATACGCCTTCAGGTATCACTGGCCGATGTCGACCAAACGCCTCGTTCCGCGGCTGAGGCTGGTGCACTCGGATCGCCGGCTCCGTATGCGGTTGAGGGGGTGGACGGGTAGGAGGAGGCGCCGCGGCTGCAGCATTCCTCCTGGTGGAAGTCCGCCTGCGTGGACTTGGAGACTCGGGTGAAGGAGTACGTTGTTGCACTGGAGGTCGATGTGGTGAGGGTGTTGTCCACGGAGACTGCATCGCCGATGATGCCGGCGTGGCTCGGTGCGACGGCTATGATCAATCACTTAGCTCAGGAAAGCTGAAGCCTGGAAGTGAGCCGAGGCACGTACATCTCGTGATTCATTTGACTCTGTCGCGCTAACGTGAGACTCCTAACTCGAGAGTACGCGTGTGAAAGACGTACGTGAACTGCCTTTCTCCCAGAATGAATCCCCGCTGTCGTTGGAAACAGGCAGCCGCGGAATGAAATGTGATTCGCCTCTCCGAAGCGACGGACAGGTGGGAGTGTGATGCTGGGCCATCAAGCACTCCCCACACATTCCTGGGACTACGTCGGGCGGTTGTTCAGGTTGAGTCTGCTGCGGTTCACTGTCTTCTTCACTGTCTTCCTCTAAGTCCGAAATTCGCTCCTCCGGCCAAACACGATGCGACCCAGTGCCTGGGTGCGGGGTATGAAAACGCTCGATGTTCTCGGCTACTCGCTCGAGCATTTTTTGGGCTTTGTCGCGCCGAGGAGTGTTCGCTGTCGTCGTAGAGAAGCAACGCAAGGCGTTCCGTCAGGCGCGCTGGTTGCGGGAAGGGCGCGCAAAGATCATGCGAGGACGCACCGGTGGTGTACCCCTCATCCACGGTACTGGCTCCGGACTGCGGGCGGCGGGGAGTATCAGGCTGACGTGCTCGCGCACCGCTTCCTACGATCGTAGACCATGAAGTGAGCATACGTCTTCCAAGATGCTGACAGTTCGTGAACGCACCTCCCACCAGGATGCTCTGCGGCGGAGTCGCTACCCGATGCGCTGGCTCGTGCTGCCACATGGCGCCAGAGTACACGCTCGGGCGCACGGGCGGGGGCTCGCTCGGTCCAGCTTGCGCATTCTCCCTCAACCGGTCTCTGGGTAGTCGGGGAAGGGGATTGGTCGCCGCTGGCATGACGGGGTGCGTAGCATCGGTAGGACGGGCACCTGCATCCCCTTGGGCATTAGAGCGATCCTGAGTGGGGGCTGTAGCAGAGCGACCGGACGCGTGGCCTCGCGCGTGCACATGCGCGTCTCCCGCGTTATCGATCCGCGTGTTTGCACCCGAGTTGCGCCCGGAGGAAGTCCGTACAGAGGCAGCGAACGCATCGCCTTGATCGGCGGCTGGCGAATCTGTCCTATAAGACACGACAGAGGATGCGTCGTCTGGCGTTGGCGGTCCGGGCGGGGGCTTAGGCCTGTGGGAATCGGAAGGCCTGTGCCCGAAGCGTGGTTAGTGACGTACTCCGAGAGCGTGGTGGACATGCGGCGTACGATTTGTCTATGGACATCTTTGGGTCGCAGAGGTATGCTGACGCGTTATTAGTAGGTGTGATATTGTGTATGTTAGTGGTGAATCAAATCATAGACCGGGCGGCACGCCACGGGTGCCCTGATCAACAGGACGAGCGGAGGGGATTGTGGCTCTCAGCGTTGTTGAGCGCAGCCTTATGAGCATCCTTGGGTAGCGGACGAAACAGCATGCGCTTTTGTTTCAGGGGACGAAGTATCGCGCCCCAGCTGCCGGATCGGGATGCTTGCGAACGCTCTGCGGGCGCGACATCGCCCACGCGAAACTGTGCCTGTCCCCACGAGAGCGCGGTGGACCCACAGAGCAACATAGAGACCGTACGGGGAGAACAATACGACGGGGAGACCCGTCGTAGTGCAAAGACAACAAGATGAAAAGAACAACGACGAGGAAGCGTCTGAGGAGCGCCTGCTGAGAAGCTGATGCAGCGCCACCTCACTCATTGCGGCCCAATTTCGGCGAAGACGTGCCCTCGAGGAAAGGGGTGGGAGGCATCTTGCTTCGTGGATGTTCACGAGCCAGCTCTGTGATATTCAAGCGAATGCACATAACGTTTGGGCCGAGGTCGGAAGGACGCTAGAAGGCGCTCAGCACACGCTGGCGCGCGACTATCGCCGGCATCTGATGATTCACATGGGTCAGCGCGATTGTAGACAAGCACGTCCGTTTGGAGACATAAGTGGAATACCGAACGGACTAAAAGGCGGGAATATCAGGAATATTGTCCGCGTCTGCGTCCTCCCTCGCACTAGGCTCCGGCTTTGGCGTGCCTCGTCCTCTGAGGAGCCGGACCGGCGTTGGACGCAGCTTCTCGGTCCGCTGTGTGCTGGGGATGAAGAAGCCGTTCATGCACGCGATGAGCGCCTTCCGATCTCCTGAGAGCGGTGATGGTCCTTCAGGGGGCGCTGATATGACCTGGACGATGGCCTGCGACTCGACGCTATGGATTTCGACCGTGCCGTTGGGGAGCAGTGTGGTGACGTATGGGTAGTCCAGCGCTGATATTCCACGGCGCTCGATCAAATTCGGAACGTCGACCGTATGAAGACTGGCGACACTCACACACAGCCTCTGGATGGCTCGGCCACTCGAGCGTCCCACGCACAGGATCGCCCTCCCCGGTGATGAAGACACCGATTGTGCTTGCGCCGGTCCATGAGAGTATCAGAAACTCGTTCTCGCTGATGACTGTTATCGACGGCTTGACGACGACGGTTGAGTCCATTGCCTGAGATATGGGGAGGAGAGGTACGAGTGACGCTTGCACGAGATCGATCACATTGTAGTTTTCGCGATCCGCGACACACAGGAACTTCCCAGTCCGCCGCGCATGCAACCCTCCTGAAGGAAGCGGTATCTCCTGTGCAGTAGAGTCGTGAGCGGATGAGCAGAGAGAGCGTGGGCAAACCCAACTTTCTGGAAGAACAGCCTTTCCCGTAGGCTATATAGCGCGATCGCGCTCCTCTTGACTACGCAGAACTCGATAGGTTCGACCGGGACGGGTATGTCGTTTGCATACTGTGGTGGCCGTTTCATGTGAAGTTCATCCACGGCGAAGGCTACGACGTTTCGAATAGGTTTGATTAGGTTGAGGGAGACCATGTCCAACGTTGGAAGCGTATAAAAATGTATTTGGTGACCTGCGGCCAGCCAAAAGTAATTCAGTAGGCTGTGGCTCGTGTAAGTGAGCAGCAGATACCAGATAGAACTAATGCCCTGGATATACTTGGTGCCAGTACGATCTCGTCAATAGGCTTCTCGTTTGGTATCGTTTGTCGTGACAAGAGGGTATATGCATCGGTCTGTCACAAACGTGTGAGGCTCTTTAAAAATATACGCAAAGCTATAGCACGTACTATATCTGTCGCGTTCCCTTGCAAGGCGAAGCGAAGGAGCTCTCCGTTAGAGCACCCGACGTAGATCTCGGAACCTAGAGGTGTTTTGGGTCATTGAATGATCAAGGTTACGTCAACGTGTACAACGTACCAATGGCTTGCGCGCACCGGACGGTTACGGGGTTTCCTGCCGCGCCTGGGGTGCAGTGAGACTATGAGAGCGGTATGGGGGCGTCCGAATAGCACATACGACTGAGTGTGTCGGTGAATCCGGAGACTAGTGACTGTAGTTGGTATGGAGGAACATCGAGCGGTCTCTGCGGTGCGTAGGTCATAGCTGCAACTACTGCTGTCACAGAGCGGTTGGTTCCGCACAGTGCTACAGAATGAACGCTCAACGAAGTGATTCGACCCAGTTCAAGGGAGCGTACCTCAATTACGACACTTGCGAACTGAACCCGTAATACCACTACTATACTCGCAAAGTTTCAGGGAAGTTGGGTGCGAACTTGTTCTCTTTTGTCTCCCTTCTTGATTTCAATGCGTTACTTGATGTCGTGTATTGTCTGCTCCTCGGGTGGCGCGTAAATCGTGAACAGAAAGCTCGGCGAAACGATGTGGTTCTAAGCAAGGTGACATGTATGGGCGTCTGAAGGATCTTGGCAACTATGCAGCAAAGATAAGATTAGATTATGCCGTTCCCACGCCTCGGCGGTAATCAATGCGGCAGTTAGCGGCAATTATAGGTAGGCGCCCGCCCGTCCGCCCGTCCTCCTCCTGCTTTCCTCCCAGTTCCTCCCTCACCTTCTCGCCTTGAGTTTTACGCGCGTGCCCTCAATTTCTCTCTAGTCGGTATAAATTCCGGATGAACCACTAATGGCTACGCTACAATACCCTAATTTCCCTCGGGCGAACGTCTTGGTTCTTGCGTCTGACGCGGTGCAAGCTTTACTTCCGTCGACACTCATCTCCCAGGCAGACGCACTGCTAGAGGCGCACAGGCTCGAGGATGTTACGGACCTCGCAGAACAGCACTGGAAAAGGCTGCAGTCGACGCTCAACGTGGACAAGCATGATGTGAGGTGTCCCATTCCCCGCGGCGTCTCTCGTACTCAATGCATCTTCAGCTCGACGAGCTGCGCTACGTAAACCAAAGACTGGGGTTCCAGTGCTTTCAGGAGACCCGCTTTGAGGATGCGGGAAACCGGTTATACGAAGGGGAGCTCGATCCTCGCGTGCTTGTGAGCTACTATCCCGAATTGCGCGGGGACCTCTTCCGGGAGGACGACACCGTAGACGTCATGGCGGGTGTGGCAGAACACATGCCATCTGATGATACCGTAGACGACATCAGTGAGTTCTCTGTCCGTGTCGCGCCTTGAGTCGAATATTGTTTGTGCCATATGTCTTCCCCGCGTGCTCTGCACGCGTCCTACTCTGTCTCGCCGCCCCACCCATTCACCCTCTATTGACTTATGTTGCCCCACCGCTGCCCGTCCCGCCTGCCATCTCCCGTCGGGACTGATCAGTTGCCGCAAACCTAGTCAGGAACTATTCGCCGCACCTCGAGCCGAACACCAAGGAGGCACCGCCTGCCGTAGAGCTACGAAATCTCCTGAGCATGACCGCGCGAGACATGTTGGAATCGTACTTGCGCAAATGGAGGCGGAAAGCTGCGGTTGAGGCTACAACACAGCAACTGCAGGTTGTGCGGATGGTATAGTTTCGCGCGTTCATCTAGTTCTCCAGTGGATCTCATTATATGCTAGGTCGTCGACACGGTGCTTGCGAAGCTTCATGTCAACACGGGAAAGCTACCCGAGCTATACGCTCTTATCGACCAACCCAATGCTATTGTGCTCTCCGAACTCGAAACCGTGCTCGTCGAGTCACGACACTTCAATGCTCTGTGTAAGCTGTACCAGCAACGAAACGACGATGCGAAACTGCTGGAAACGTGGTCGAGGTTAGTCACACATGACACCTATAGGACATTCGCTAACGGACCCTCAGACTTGCAGGGGAAGAGTGGAAGGATCCCGACATACCCGATCCATTATCACTGATGCTCGACTTGTTGACCAACAAGAAAGATCGCGCCCTCATTCAGCAATGGATGCCTTGGCTTGTGAAGAAGGACTCAGATCGTGCGCTGAAGGTCTGTGCTTAACATCGCTTGACGCCTCGCGCGCTGACGCCCTCCCAGCTTCTTCTGTCAACCATGTCTGCACGGCGGAAGGCTGAGGATGATCGTCAGCTACTACACGAGATTCGAGAAGCAAGCCCAGAGGCGGGTGCGCAGCTGCTCGAACACCTCGTCATCCAAAGACGAAGCATAGTATGTTTGCGTCTCTTCCAGCCATGGGTAGTCCATTCATCCCGCGACACAGGATCCGGAGCTCCATACGCAACTTGCGACCACATACGCAGACCAGCTACTAGTATGTCTTGCTGACGAAACCACGTCGAAACTTTGGAGAGCAAAAGGTAGGATCGCGCTTTCACTATCATGAACCTACTCTCACCCATGTTAGCGTCATCATATGCGTCCGGACGGTCTGAGACACCCTTCTTCTCCTACTTCGCCTCAACGACACCCGATTCCGAGCCTAAACGTGACCGCCTAAAGACCGTGCTCTTCCTCCAAGGCTCCACCCTCTACGACCCCGAAGCGATCCGCGTACGGCTTTCGCCCAACGCAAAACTCCTCAAGCTCGAGCTCGCCATCCTCGAGGGCAAGGTCTGCCCGCCACCCTTCCGCACTACCCCGCTTCAGTCTGACTATATGCGCGTTTGCAGCTTGGCAATCATCGTTCTGCGCTATCCATCCTCGTGCACGACATGAACGACGCGACTTCCGCGGAGGCGTACTGTACTCTCGGCGGTGAGGTCGTCCCCGCGAAGACCGCGCAAGCGATCGGGGAGCGCGCGGGATTGCAGGCCTGGGCAGCGCTCGTCACGCCTCTCGCTGCGCCAGGAAAGCAGGTCAAGCCGGGTGCTGCACCCATGAAGAAGACGAAGACGGTGGATGACGACGTCAAGAAGGACCTTGTCATGATCCTACTCGAGGTGTACATGAGTGGAGGGTATGTGGTCTCGTGTGCTGAGAAAGCGGTAGTGCGTAGGCTGATGGGAGTGAATTTGCAGGGAGGCGACCGCGGACCGAACGGCGCAGCTGTTGAATTCGCAAGCCATGAACCTCGATGTCGTCGATGTAAGATATATCGCCTGCCTCTCACTTGCTACAGCTTATCTCATTTCACTGCTTAGGTCATCTCCATGATCCCACCAGAGTGGCCGCTGCGTATCCTCTCGACGTTCGTAACGCGATCCCTGCGGCGCACGCTACACGCACACCACGAAGGGCAGATCGTCAAGGCGATCAGCCAGGGACAAAACCTCGTCGTCGCGGACCAGACGTGGGACGTCATCCGCGAGCAGGGTGCGATCATCGAGGAGCCACTCGAAGACGACGAGGACGATGATGGTGACACCGGGGAGAAGCTCGGGCTCGAGCTTGGGGAGCGCGTGCAAGGCGAGCCTGCGTCGTTCAACGAGAAAGTTTCGCTGCACGCGCATGCTATGGGGTTCCAGCCGGATGAGGACGAGGATGGCGGGGAGAGCGTGGTCGACATCGACGTTGCGCCGGAGAACGATGAAGAACTGACGGCCTCAGATCCGGGCTCCGAGGCAGGCTCGGGGACGTGATGCTACACATTACTTACGGATTGCCAGTTGGATGGTATATGTGCTATACGATACATTTCTTGTACATCACTCTTGGGAACACTTCGCCGGTTGAACGGGACTCTCCCCCTCTGCGTCCGTCTATGCCGCCGCGCCGCCCTCTGCCGCTGCCTCCGCCTCCACGACGGCCTCCGCCGCCAGCAGCGCATTCTCGATGCCCTTCAAGAGTGTCTCTCGCTCCTCCAGCCCAACGCTCACACGCACCAGGTCCGAGCTAACGCCCCAACCCGCCGCCCAGTCGAGCTCCGCGTAGTGCGCGAGGATCGTGTACGGACACGCGAGGGTGAAATTCGTGCCGAGGCTCGGACCCTTCATGCACGGGAGCGTGTCGAAGAACGCGCGCGACGCGGCCGACGACGTGAACGTGAGCGAGAACAGGCCCCCGTACCCTCCAACGGGTGTGCCGTCCGGCCCGCGCACGCGGCAGCGCTCGTAGTTGTGCGCGGTCTCCCACTTCGGATAGTAGACGTCGCGTACGGCGGGGCGCGCGGGCGGGTTGGGGTCTGCGAGCGAGCGGGAGCGGAGGAAGGTGCAGACGGCGAGCGTGTTCGCGTCGATGGTGTGGATGCGCCGCCGGAAGTCGCGCGAGTTGCGCTCCATGTAGATCGCGTCCTCGTCGAAGTATGAGTCCTCGTAGTGCGCGGCCATGTGCGCCTTCAGCGCGGAATAGTACCGGCCCTGCGGGTTGAGCACCAGACTGACAGAGAGGTGAGCGTGAGCGTTCAGTAAAAAGCGGGCTGAGCGTGTGTGGGCTCACCTGCCGCCCATGACGTTCGCATCACCGCTGAAGACCTTGCTGAGGCTGCTGACGACCATGTCTGCGTACGGGAGGACCTCGACGTTCACAAAATTGCCGATTGTCTCATCGACCACGATGAGGAAGTTGTACTTGTCCGCCAGTGCGCGTAATCTGGGGAGGTCTGCAGCGCGTACTAGCGGGTTGGAAGGGAACTCTGTAAACAACGAGAGTATTGGAGGGGTTTCCGAGAGCTGGGACTCTTTCTCGAGAAGCTTTTCCAGGTCGTCGAGATCGCTGTCAAGACCATGTCCGAAGAAGTGACAGCCAGGGCCCCATTTCTCGAGAATTTTGAGGGTGTCGGTGTACGGGAAGCTGGAGAGGGTGTGAGCCCACCGTATATACGAGCTATGCTGAAGCAACGTACCCAAAGCATACACTTTTCGCGGCGGGACGTGTTGCAAGAGCGAGCTGGTGCGCCGTCCAGATAGCCGACATGCCGGTGGCGAAGAGGAATACGTCGTCTTCTGTTACGCCCTCAACACCTCTCGTACTCGGTCCAAGCTCGGCTTCATGGCCACCCGCCGTAGACCAGTCGCTAGGCGCATCCCTGACAAGGACTCCAGCTATACGGCGACGCATAGCGCGCTTTGCAACGGCCGCGGACTCGGGGGGCATATTGCGTCCATAGCGTTCCTCGACGTATGTGTCATGGTCCTTGCTGAGCAGCTCCGGCGTTTGTTCGACGAGCCTTCTTCCAAAGGGTGTATGCGACAAAGTAGGGGACGTTGGTGGGGACTTGCCGATGCTCTTTGCGGAGTAGTGTCGATTTCCTGGCTTGACGGGAGGTCGGCCGGGAGCTGGTACGGGCGCCTTGGGGCTACCGACTTCCTCATGAAGCATGGACAGACACCTCTCGGCCAAGCGTGAAGAGATGCAGAGCCCTGTGTGCTGCCAGAACTGCTTCGCAAGAGGAAATTGGTCGCCAGGGAAAAGGACAATGTGAAGTTCTCGACAGGGCGTGGAAGTCTCATCGTCCTCCGGGCAGATGGTGAACTGAACGAGTCGCACTGGTATGGGGGATCCTGCTTTGGTGGAGCGATCGATCATGAACTCGCGACACTGTTCTGCGATCCTCCGTGTGGGACAGAGTAGGCTCCGCTCGCCTGGCGCGCCGAACTTCTGTTCACATATCCGAGCTAGCTATGGAGATTCAGAACCTCCTCTCATCAGATCACAGTACGTTACTTACCTTCTGAATGCTAAGATGGATGAAAAACCGGGGATATCCAGAGACCATGACATCGACGACGCGCTTCTCGCCTTCTTCGTACCCGACGTTGTCTTTCCAGGTAGGGAGCGATACGGAGATCGCATGCGCGGTGAAGGGTGGTACAGGCATACCAAGGGTATGCTGCTGTTCATTCTGCAAGACCAAGGTGGTGCTCATTTTCGCTGTTGGCTGATGGTCGCGTGAGGCTTGGTGCCGTCAGTCTCGGTGGAAAGCAAAGTGTTGAAGATCCCAGAATGCTCGTGTATGCCTCAGATATTGATAGGTGTTAAATCCAAGAGATATCCAAGGGGGTAGAGAACCCAAAGTTGAAGGCCTGAGAACAGAGGGGTGGGGTTAAGAGTGAGTGAGTGAGTGAGTGAGTGGGTGGTATTTTTGGAAAGAAGTAAGAGGGTGCGGCCGCCGTCTTGCGAATGGCGAGTCAATTTCTGGAGCAAACGATCTTATCTCCCGCCGTTAATCTAATCTTATCTCTACTACCCCACGCTACGATTGATAGACGCCCATAAAGCACGACTATGACGAAGGGGCGGCATGATGTCTCTTCTTCACTTTCCTTCTCCATCCTACATACCTCCCTCGCTATTTTCCATCGTCGTCCTTGGGTACTCTTGCGCGCAGTCGTCCCATTGAGAAGCACCACAAATCTTTGGAATGGTGGATGAGAAGTCGCCACTTTCGAACAGTACCTTGGAAAGCCACGACTCCCTCAATTGGGACACCTTACGAACTCAGAGTATTCAGCCACACGGATTTGGGTTGGAACGCGTTGTAATATGGTGCGTTTGCACTATATATACAGGTGTGAATATTGTGTAACTCGTTCTAGGCCGAAACTTCTTCATGTTGAGCCCGAAGAGCTGAAGAATCGGGCTCTAGCCACAGAGGGTGTGCCCGATGATGAGGAGCCGCAAGAGAACGACACTACAGAGGAGGTTGTGCCTCACGCAGACGAGCGACAAATAGGACTGGATACCGACCGGAGCTTTGTATTGTACCCAGTAGGTGAACCACACTTCTTCCTATATAGTGAACGCAACTCACGCTCCTCTCACAGAGGAGACCAGCAACAGAGAGAAGCGCCAGGCCAGTCTTAATCACCTGATTGTCTCACTCTTCCGACGGCGACCCCGCCTACATTATTTCCAAGTACGCCCACCTTGCCTGTAAGGAGGTCCGCATATTCACGAAGGACTCCAGGGATACCATGACATCGTCTCGGTGATATTCCTCACCCTCCCAGCGGAGCTTCACCTCCCCGTCACGGAGCAGATGAGCTTACACCGCGTTCGCGATTCTATGGGGACAACGCTTGAACCCGTGGTGGGCCTTCTACGGTAAAGCTCTACCTACTAGTACCAGCTCAAACCAGAACTGACGTTACATCAGGATACTGAAGCGAATCCTGCACCTCGCAGACGAGAAGTTTGCAGCGGTCCTCGAACAGTATGCAATTCCGCAGCCCCCACTCGTTCGCCTTTCTAACATATGTATTAGGGCCGCTCCTCTCCCATACTACGCGCTCTCCAATCTGCTCACATTATTCTCACACGACATACCCACTCTTGCGCTCATCCAGCATATATTCGATTACCTGCTCAGTCGACCTCCAATAGCGGTCGTGTACCTTGCAGCTGCGGTGCGTTGGTCATTCTCGCTGCGCGCGGTGCATCACCCAAGGCGCAGCTCGATTGCAGCGCAATCAATACTAATCGCCTTTCGAAATAGCTCACGCTCACCCGTCGGGAAGAAGTACGCGTGCTTGAGGAAGAAGGCGAAGAGGGCATGATGCACTCGCTGCTGACGAGCCTTCCTGACCTTTATGAGGAGGGGGAGGAACCCGTCAGCTCCGAGCCGGAGCCTGCGACACTCTTAGAGGCATTGCCTTCAGACATCAAGGCCGAAGAGACAGAGCCTTGCATACCGGCAGGCGAAGACGTTGTGACGGCTGATACCCCACCTACTCCCAACCTCGGAACCAGCGACCTCAATGAAGGTTCGACCGACGTTGTCGAAGGCGCTCCTTCCTCATCCTCCCCAGATGATTTGGCACTGGACCCACCAGCGACGGTTTCTCTCATAGACGCTGCCGCAGTGGACGAAGTCGCACCCTCGGCCGAGCCGAAAGCAGAAGATGGCGACCCGCTCTCGTCTAAAGAGAAACCCGATCCTAGCTCTTCAGAGTCTTCCCTCCCCGAGAAGGAGCCGTTACGACGCTCACCTTCGCCCGAGCCCCGCCCACACCGTCCGCGCGTATCGCTCACCGCGCTTCTCGCGCGGGCCGACGCGCTCTATTCCCAATATCCGCCTACACACCCTGGTGTCGCGGTTTCCTCCGTACTCGGCCCCCAGAGCGTGATGCTCACCTGGTCCGAGCGCCGCGCAGAGCTCCCAAGTGACGACGACGCGGAGCGGATGGTGCTCAATCCCGACCTCATCGTCCTGCCACACATCGAATCCGACGATGATGTGGCGTCTGACGGCGACTCCTACCGCGCCGGGTCCGGGCGCAAGTCGCATAAGAACGAGAAGGAGAAGCGACGAAGAAAGCTGCGTAAGCCGCGCCGGCTCACGGACATGGTCGTGCAGCGGAAGACGATGGTCGCAGGCGCAGTGCTCGTGCTGGGGGTCGCGATGGCCGTGTACGGTTTCAATGCAGGCTTGCCAGGGTCTGGCGGAGGACATCATCGGAGCGGGTTTGGGCGGGAGTTCAGGAAGGTGGGGAGGTTCCTTGGGGGCGCGATTGTCGGTATCGGGGAGCGGGCGTTCGAGGGCATCCACCAGGTGCTGCAGTAGTATTAGTATCTATATCGCCATATCGTTCGTTGCTATATATTCACTTGATTGATTGGATAACGGAGGGGTACATTGGCATGCGAGGGTATCGGTTCGTATAACACAGAAGATTGTACAGTCAAGACTACAAAAATGAGAGCTACCTACAAGAATAAATAGAGCGTACGCGCGAGTCTACCGCACGAGTAGCCTCAGCAATAGCACCAACAGCACCAACACAGGTCAGAGGTTCAAAGGCCTGAACCTAGAGCTTCCGAGTCTTGATCTCCCAAAGCCCGTCCCTCCCTTTCGTGATGCCCTCCATTATGACCTTGCCCATAAGATAGTCCACCTTGAAGACACCCCGGTTACGCTCCGCCTCCGTCCTACACCGCTCCGCCCACGACGCCGCGATCTGGTCGCGCAAGTCGTTGGTCATCTCGATGTTGTAAAAGTCGCTGAAGGAAATCGGGGAAAGCATGGAGTTCTGGATGGCGCAGAAGAGGTCGAAGAGGGTGACGCCTGTAGGATTTGTGTCCGCCTCGACGTCTATGTACCACGGCAGCTGCGCGTGTACGAGACGCATATTGAGCAGTGGCGGCTCGCATGCAAAACGCGTGAGATCCCAGCGCGAGATATGGTGTTCGAGGGCACGAAAGCGGAGGGAGTTTGCGTCCCGGCGTAAGTCGTAGTGCATGGGCGGCTTGTTCGAGACGTAGCGGATGTACGCGTTCAGCGTAACCTTCGGCTGCAGAAAGTCTGTTGTACCGTGCTGTTGAGTAGGTATAGGATATGGGACACAGACAGAGGCAGTAACGTACCGCCACTCACGAACGACTTGGACCGCGAGCGCGTGAGGAGGTTCCCCAGGAAGCCGGGGCCGTTCATGCTGAAGTCAGACCTCCAATCGCGTGGGGGCCGCTTCGATGCCTCCGCGCCTGGCCCACGCAATGATGGCCTCCGGGAAAGAGAGCCTCCTGAGGATGGACTTGAGGTCAGCGAAAGGGTTTGGGAATGTGGCGTCGAGGACCGATGGAGGGCTCGTCGAGGCGCTCCCTCGTCGTATCGCGCAACCGTCCACTGACTTCTATCATCCTCCTGCTCGCGTGGATCTGGAGGAGAGCGTGGAAAGCCATCTGGGGTGATGCTGACTGGGACGAAGGGGTGCATTGCCGCTACGGCAGGGCCTGAGAACATCGGCGCGGGTGTCGCAGGCATGGATTGGAACGGCGTCGCGGCGGACCATGGGGTCAACGTCGATGCTTGTGAGTCGGATGGGGTTGACCAGGGGTACCCAGAGGACCCGCTGCTGGTGCTATATGAATGTGAATGCTGCATGTAGGACGATGGTGGTGGGCCGCGCTGCTGCTCGTACGGAAAGTACGGACTAGGTATCCCGACCCCCATGGGCAATGGCTGGGGCGCTGGGCCGTCAAACTCGCCAAAGCGTCGTCCAGGGTCGACTAGGTTCGGCATATCGCTGTAGAGGTCGCCCATGAGCCTGCAGACGATGTCGGAGGAGATGGACGAGGATAAAGATGAGGCGTGAACACGAGGCTCTGCCTCAGGACCGGTGAGCGCTGGGAGCTATTCAGGCGGTTACGGCGAACTGCTGCAGTCGCCCGTATACAGCATAATAGCATACCGTTGTCGTTGTATACGGATGAGATGAGCTCAATGCGCTCCACGACGGCGAGAACGTCGTGATCGGGCCAGAGACGGGACTGCGACCAATCGCCCATCTTGTTTCCTCCCATCATCACCATGAAAGGCCAATATGGCGCGCGCGCCGTTGCATTATCCAGGTATGTCTTGCCGTAGATATTGTTCATCTTGAATCACCCTGCGAACATATGCTGCTGCAGGAGGCTGCAAGTCACTGAGTCCAGCCCGAGTCATGTCAAGATCGGAGTCATGAAGAGCAGATAGATAGTGGTGGCGGCGGCGGAGGTGAGTATAAATCTCATTGCGCTCGCTGTCGGAGCGACATCCACGCATAGCCACTCATGACCGCACTAGCCTCCCCAGGATCCCAACGGTTTCAAACCGCCAACCCATACGAGAAGGAGTTCGGGTACTCCAGGGCTGTCCGACGAGGTCCATTCATCGCCGTCTCCGGCACCACCTCAATCGATCCCGTCTCCGGCCAACTGCGTTATCCCGGCTCTGCGTACGACCAAGCGCGGGCTATCTTTGCGGAAATCGTCAGGGCGGTAGAAGGACTGGGAGGAACCGCAAACGACATCATCCGCGTACGCATGTTCGTGATGCACGGCTCGGACGCGGACAGCATCGGGAAGGCGCTGAAGGAGGCTTTGGGAGAAGTCGGCCCTGCGGCGACGATGATCGTCGGTGCGCAGTTTGTGTCGTCAGAGATGCTCGTCGAAATCGAGGCAGATGCCGTGACTATGGTACGTGTCTTTCTCCTAACGATATATGCGTGGGGTCGAACATGCTCGGTTTTGCAGTGACCTCGGGTATCAAGCCGTCGGTCAACAAACACGTTTGTGTGCGCATATATCCAGTCGATGACTACGGGTGGACGTGAGTCGCCTTTCGTTTACCTCGAATGTACGCGTAATGACCAGAGCAATCTCATTAGCGGTGTCAAGTCCATCATTCGCGACTAAAATCCTATTACACCCACATTTCAACGCGATCAGCGTAACGGCTTCGCATCGACCCTGAGTGTATCCGCTTTGACGTGATCTGCTGCAGCGTACGTAAATTGCATGCTCAGGACTTCTCGTTGTGCTTAGTCTTCGCTGAAGTATGAAGTATGAGGAGTGCGTATGGGACTCAACAATTGTCTCTCCGGCTGCAGGCATCGGGGCCAAGTCCTCGCACATGTTGGGGCATGCTTGCAAGTGGTCAAGCATCGCTACCAAAGTCCAACGTGCGGAAGTACAAGAAGTCAATATGGCAGGACAGCGGTTCTCAAACCGATGCGGCTGTATGCGCTGTGAGACGTTGCCTTTGGCACCTCTCCCAGTGCATGCAACGCTCCACTATCCGTTGCCTACGAAATCTAAGGCGAGACGCGCAGCATGGCACCCCTGGCGTCCTGCGCGAGGCGGCGGCCGGGCTCCCTGTGCGCCTGTAGTCCGCCCCTCGCGTAAAACGGCGCACCGCAGGTGCCATTGTTCAATCACAATGGTCTGAACCCGTCGTTACCTCTGCCTCGAAGTATTGTCGGCCTTATCCAGCCGCTAAATATCGCTGAGCGGCTGGTGTTAGCACCACACCATACGACTCAATCGCTTCCGCTTCCTCGCGACGGCATTGTCCTAGGCCGGGAGCCAACTACCGTGCACTCGATCTCTCGGCGGCCTTGGGTCGTTATTTCCGGTCGGTAATATTGTTCTAGCTCGCTGCAGTGGGGGGCACGCCTCAGAGCATTTGCGCTAGGTACTCGCCGACGTTCATCTTAGCCATTCGCCGTCGCGCTTGTCGGTACCGCTGCTCGCCTCCGCTGGTGACGAAATAATGCACCTCTCAGCCGTCAAACTCGTTTGTCGCTGCCACAGAAACCCGCATGACAACCTTGAAGGCAGCTACGGACGGGCGCATCACTCGGACGACACCGAACGCCAGCTCTGAATAATATCGGTGCTGCGTCCGGTTCGGATCACAGCCATATCTCTGCAACGCACGCTAACGCCCTCCTTGTCATTCTGTGTTCTTAGGCCTGAACAACAGCTACGACCCCGTATGCGGTGCACATCTCGCGCTAGAGGCCATCTTCTCGCACGGAAGCCGAACCTTGGCCTTGGGTGAGGGCAGCTAAGCACTTGCTGCGGCGCCTTCCCGATACACACCCCACAGCTCGACTTAAGCGGTAAGTACCATCTCTACTGCGCTGCTGCGTTGTATTCTGCGGTGTAGCCGAGGCTCGCGCTCCGCGGGCATGTGCTGACGGACGGCGCAGATACACATGGTCCCCCCCCCACCCCCACCAAGCGATCGGAGTGAAAGGGCTGCTTCCACGCGCCGAAGCCTGGGGCGCGATGCCCTCCCGGCGTTGTGCCGTCTTCGTCTTCGCACGTTCATTTCGTCCTTCTGAGAAGCCGCGGGCCTTCCAGCGTCGCCAGGGATTCTGGTGGAGAACAAGTGCAAAAATGCGCGGGAGCCCCCAGCGTCGGACCGGTGCTTGACGGCGTCCCATCAACCAGCCGCGCTTGGGTCCCTGGGATGATGTCTGGATCCGCTAGCGCAGCATGGACGCTGCCAGCGCACACTTCGCCGCGGCAGTAAGTACGGGCGGGTGAGTTTTCACCGCAGTGCGCGAGGCGGAAATTACCCCTCGGGAGGGGACGCCTCGAGGCAGGCCCGCATGCGTGGCGCACCAGCGTACCGCCACATATGCGAAGGAGCAGTGCGCCTGCCCCTTGCGTCCCCTCGTGCGCGGCCGCCTGGTCCAGAGCACGACAGGAGAGGGGCTTGCCTCCGTCACGGCCCGTGCAAAAGGCGTAAACAATCACTCGGAGCACCAAGTAAGTCACTGCCCGCCCCTCGTTGGACGCGCGGAGGCTTATCGAGTTGCTGCACGGATTAGCCTGCGCCCGCCCGGGCCCTTCCCTTCGGGCTGTGCGTAAAATGGAGCGCACCACGGACGGCGGTCATTAGTCCCGTACACGTGTACGAGGGCGGCCACGTTGTGGAGGGGGCGTGGTCGGATGGGAAAGGCAAGTGGGTCTCTCTGCGTGTCCCTTGTAGATTCCGCGCTGACGCGTGCTTGGGTAGGATCCTTGCGAAAGAGGCAGGAGAACTGGCGCTGCTGCAGAAGCCTCGAGCTTCGCTCGGCCGGTTCATCCGGACGTATACGCGCTATCGGTGTCCATCGCGGGGCAGCGGGTGCGTCTGAGAACGCGAGAAGGCGAAAACAAGCGAGCATTTGCATGTACGCCGGTCATGTGCGCGATAGCAGCAGCGTTCTGCGCCGACGCTCCTCTGCAGCTGGGAACAGCCACTGCGGGCGATCTGGATGCTCCCCCGCACGCTCCTCTTGTCTTATGGGGCTTAGTGCTGCGCGGGCCTTCGCAGCCAACAAGGTTGCCTAGATGTGGTGGCGCGTCCCCAGGACCTTTGCAACGCTCCGGTGCGTCTTCGGTGCGTTGGGAAGCAGCCATTCTGATATGCACGCAGGCGCGCCATTTAGTCGACTCCCTGGGCGTCGATACTGCACCCCTGAGTTCGCCGCGGGACCCTCACCAGGCGGCATATGAAAACGCAAAAGGCCCCGAGCGCAGTCACGCGGAACGGCGGGCGAGAACGCTTTTCCCGCATCGCTCGCGTACGCGGGCGAGCACGTCAGAGCCCCGCGAGCTTCCTGGACTGGCCGCTACTTCGCGGGCATCCCGCGTCATGATATGACATGCGCGGCAGATTCCTAGCACGTTATACGCGTGCGCGCACCCACGTCCTGTCGTGGAGCGTTCGCCGTTTCGGGGGTTTGGCGGCACCTTGCTGGGCGTCGGCGGTGTGCCGTGGGCGGCAATGCCTTGTGTGCGCACAAGAATGGACCGTGGAGAGCAGTAGGCCTGACAAGGGAATCTGGAAGGATGGCGGGCGCCTGCACTTCAGGGAGAGTTCTGGGTTTGGCGCGTGAAGTACCCTGAAGTACCTGCTTCGTCTACGGCCGTCCGGCTGCGATTGACATGAGGTAAATCACTCGGGAGGTGGGATTGATGACCCTGCAGGGCGCGCGGGTAGCTGTAGGTACAGGGTCCATCGGAGGACGGAGGGAACAGAAAATCCCGCCCCTCCAGCGGGCAGGACAATTCTAGCATCACGGAAGCATACTGCCATCAGTCTGCCAACTCCGAGCCCGTCGTGATTTGTAGGCGCCTATAGTTGATGTAGATCTGCAAATAGTTCCGCGCTTCTAGTGTCGCTCTGGAGAGTGGAAGACCCAGAAGATGTCCGTCCGGTCGCAACGGCTATAGATGGAGGCATGGAAGGAAAGCATTGTGTGTAGTCCGAGGCGGGGCCCGTCCGCTGCTGGTGGAGGCAAATGGGGGGCCACCATCGACCGCTGATCCAGGCCGACGCCTATTGATGATGATCGAACTCGACGATTTGTTTCCGCTGGTCTGATCTGGCCGACAGCGTAGTCAATCGGATCCCAGATGTGGCGTTATACTACGCCGAGCGTCGTCCCTGGCCGCCGCGGGGGGCCCGACAGGCACAATGGGGGCGACGAGGACACAACGCACAACCTACAAGGCAGCTTGTGCTCGGCGGGACGGGCTCGGACGGATGAAATGGATCGCCATCGCTACGCACACGCACCCTGGCGCCTCCTGGCGCGCGCTCGGGCCTTGGATTCCACGCGAGAACAACACCTGCTCGAATCAGCATAGCGGAAATCGCAATATCGGTCCCACCTCATCGTCATGCTCGATGCGCATCTCGATCCCATCGTCCACCGACCTCTATGGTCCCGCCCCGCTGCGGCCTCCACCCCGCGCGGCGCGGGGGGAGCTCGACGTTGCGCCCGGTGACCTCTCGCTGGCCGCCTCCCACCGTTGACGTGCGCCGGCTGCAAAAACGTAATTGGGAAGGATAATCAGCCGGGCGGGCGGCTAGGCGAAGCGACCGTGACCTGGCTGGGAATGAGGGTTCCCTTGTGCTGGACCAGAGTTGCCGCTTCCGCGGGGCTTATCGGACAAGAAATACGTTGGAGGTTAGCGAGATTACTTCAATTCGCTGGATCGGGCAAGCGTCGACTGACCATTAACGCCTCGATTTCGGAGTTGGGGGCGTGTTCACACCCCCGTGCTCACGCCCGCTATAAGACGTATGTAATCTCCCACCAATTCTCCATTTGCGACACCCCTCCTCCTCCATCACGTCCCCGGCCTCGAGTCACCCGTCCCCTCTGCGTCCGCTGTGCACCCATCGGCATTTGCCTCATTCGGTCCTCTCCCTGCAATGCCTGTTGAACGCGTTCGCTCATCGAAGCGCTGCACAGCGCAAGGTAGCAGCACACACAGCGATCGGCGTCGCACCGGTGTGACTGATAGCGACCCCGTGCTAGATGTTCGACTGACGACGGACGTCTCCGTCAAAATCGAGTCCATGTCGCACAGTATCGCCTTCGCGCCGAACATCACGCCCGGTACCTACAACGACCCCCCCAGCCCCGCCGAGCCATGCGCAGAGTCCCTCCTCTTCCCCGCCAGCGACGACTGCAGCGCAGCCTCGCGCCGCGCAGCAGCCGCCCACGCGAAGAAGAAACCCGAGAACCACATCCCCCGCCCGCCGAACGCGTTCATCCTCTTCCGCTCGTCCTTCATCAAGCAGCAGCACGTCTCGTCCGAAGTCGAGACGAACCACAGCACGCTCTCGAAGATCATCGGGCTCACCTGGCAGAACCTCCCCCACGAAGAGCGCCAGGTCTGGCACGCCAAGGCCAAGGCCGCTCTCGAGGAGCACAAGCGCAAGTTCCCCCAGTACGCGTTCCGCCCCATGCACACGAAGGGCAAGGCGCCTGCGGAGAAGCGCAAGGTGCGCGAGGTCGAGCCCAAGGACATCAAGCGCTGTACGAAGATCGCGCAACTCCTCGTCGAGGGCAAGAAGGGGCGCGAGCTCGACCAGGCCATCCAGGAGTTCGACCGCGTCCACGTCCCCGAGATCGTCACCCGCTTCGAAGCACCGATCACGGCGCGTCACTACCGACGCTCGTCCTCCGCGCCGGCGCCCGACACCGAACGCTCGAATCCCTCCTTCCTCAGTCCGGAGCCGTCGACGCCCTCCAAGCGACAGGCCAAGCGGTCCTCGAGCTCGCAACCCGAGGCCCCGCGCGAACTGTCGCAAGAGTGCGCGACGCCCTCGCCGCTACCGTCGGAGGCGGATACGGAGAGCGATTGGTACAGCTCACCTTCGTCGCCATATTGCCCCACTACTCCTTCCTACTCGCTCCCTCCTACCAATCCTTCATTTGTGAGTGTCCTGTCGCTTTTCCTCTTGCTGGCGACGTGCTAACCTTTCCTCCGCAGGATGAATTCAACACATTCTCTTTCGACAACACCGCGACCCCCGCGATGCCGCCGTATCAGGCATGCGACCCCCTTGACCAGCAGGGATACCAGGTGTACCAGCAGGATTCCCAGGAGTCTTGCGTCCCCGGGTACGCTCCCGCCCTCCAGATCGACACCTCCTTCATGGACAGCTGGACCACTCCGTCGTCCCCGCTTTCGAGCATGCCCGGTACGCCCCCGACGTACTCCGTCATGCACGGTCTCTCCGATCCGATGTCAGTGATGGAGAACTATCACCTTCCCCAGCTGCAGGAGGGCTACGATCAGTCCCCGGAGTTCTTACCTCAGCAGCAGCAGCTCTACACCCCCGCCGGCCTTCCCGCGTACTGCGCGCCCGCGGGCGTCGAGATGTTGTTCGGGGCAGAGGGCTTCGCGGCCCCAGCCAAGCACGACTTCGCGAGCTACTATGGGCGCCCGGCCGTCGACCCCGTGGACGCCGCCGCATTCCCCCCGGCATACATGGCATCCGTGCCCACGTACGCCATGTAGAAGAACGGCTAGCCGCGCGCCCATCTTTCCCACTCACCGCTCGTTATTTTCCTCGCCTGTTTATTGCTTATCTCGCTGTTGTCGTCCTCGTCGCGCTCCCCTCTGGTCTCGTCGTCCTCGTCCTCGCATCCCCGGCCCCGCCCAAGGTGAGGTCCGCTGTAAACTGTATCATATCCCCCGCGACGCGTCGCACTGTATCAATTATTTGTCTCGCCCCAGCGGCGAGGAGTCTCTGTGGGTTTCATCAGTCTCCGTAGGACCTTTGTCTATTCCGGCGCACGCCCACGTACTCTGCTAGGTTATTTCCGCGTCCCGGATCTTTATTTTGTAAATACTTTCCCCTTCCGATGGAATAGACGTTCTCGTGGACGCACCTGTAAGCTTCCGTCGCCAGAACGCCTGCGCGCCCTATTACGGGAAGGGGGGAGCATGCGGTCGGAAGCCCGATGGACGTAACTCTGCGCGCGATTGGTTCCTGGCGCGCCGAGAGCGGACGGGGGCTGCTTGATTGAGGGACACGGGGCACACGTCCTCCGGCCCAGAGCCGGAGAAGCCCATCACGCCCCGAGTGCCTCCAGCCTGCGGGTGATTTCGATGATTGGCCTAATCCGTAAGGTTAGGATTTATGTCAGCAAAACGGGCGCGCGGAGAGGGCTTAGAACATACGTTCCATCAGCACCCCGCGTCGGCTGACGCGCAGAGTACAAGGCGTGTGCGCGCTACCAGGCCCCGCCGTGTGGGCCCCAGGCCGGGTACGTTGCCAGGGAGCGTTCGCGGAGTATCGTCGACGGAGATGAGGGCGTGCGCGAGAGTGGGGCGCAATATCGATAGTGCATGGCGCTGCCCTTGTATTCCGTACGGCGCACGGTGCGGTCATAGAGGGCAGCGCCTGCATGTACAGGCTCCGAGCGGTGTACGACGTTCCATGCATCGCTGAGAACCTTGATAGTTCCGGGACATATCGAGCTGGACCCGGTGAGAAGAAGGCGTCAATTAAGCCGCATCGCATATGGCGCACGGAAGAGCATAGTCGAGATGTCATCCATAAGGAAGCTCATGCACGAGTCGGGTTATAGTACCGACGGTCGATCTAGGGTACTAACAAGCGCAATATCAGTATCAGAGGGAGAACCGGAGGGGTCTCAGGACGGTCTAGATGGACGACGTACTCACCTCCAATGATATCGTTGGAGAAGGCATCACGTAGACACCCCACGAATCGCGACCCCCGCCTGGCCAATGGTCCACGCCATCGACGTCAGCGCGCGATGCCAGCTCACCGACGCGCGTACCTGTAGCTCTAGACACATCAACGCCCGCGACGGATGGGAGACTCACCTCTGGTTTGAAAAGCGCGGCAGCGAACACGATCGAGAGGAGCTGCACAATTGGACTAGACTAGGGTCCGCAGGTGCTGAGTCGTACCAAGCCATCCCGAGCCGGATGATATTTGTTCCAAATGTAGAAGACGGGCGCGGGAGAGCAGCGGCAGATAGAAGCACTCCAACGCGAGCCGGGCCGCAGCGACAGCCACCGTCAGCGCCATCGTGCCACCAAGTTTGCCAGAAACACAAGCAATCGAAGGCGTTGTGGAGGCGGTGGAGGATGGACGCGTTCGTCGTGCCAGTACAGAGAGACGGGTATCGCGGGTGTGTAGAGTCCCTTCCCGAACAATTGTATTTTCTTTATAACCAGGCTGCAGGTTGGCTCACCTCAGGGCATGCGCCTTGCTATCACCTCGGGCGCGAACTAATCAGCAACGAGGTGGTTTGTAGGCGTAATCGCGCCCAGCGATGCTGTGCATGGGCGCCCGCGCGCTGAGCGCGTCGTCCCTGCTCCAGCCTCATGGCCTCATGGACAGCGTCACGGCGAACGATTGAAGCTTCATGCATGGTGAAGGTCATGGTCATGAACTTCGACTAACCTGTATATAGAATGAAAAATGGCTGCTTTAGCTCGCGTCATGACTGCAGCAACCGAAATCGCGATGCGCTCACTGAACTTTGCCGGCCCCGCAATAGTAGCACGAACAAGGCCATCCAAATAGAGATTTCCTGGTCCTCGGCGGGTGCAGCCGCGCCTCGGAGTCCGTCCACAATGACGCGAGGCCGCGGTTTGAGCGGCCACTGATCCTCGGACCATAAAGCACTGCAGCTCCTAGAGTAGCGGCGACAAGAGCAACGTAGAAAAGGCTGAGCTGTGGAGACTAGGAGGTCGGAGAGAGGGGCCGGGTCGAATGGTGAAAGGCGTGGGTGGTACCGCAGCGTCGAAGTATATGAAACAGCGTCAAAGCCGGCGCCTCTGTGTGGCTGGCGACAACGAGGGGCAGAACGAGGCGAGGAGCATCCGCCATGAGGCTCGCCACGCACTGGATGGACGCCCGAGAATAGCCTCTGGGTTCTCAGTACTAGGCCAGACCTTCCCGATTCGGTGTTTGTGGCGCGACAGAAGAGTGATGATAGAGGGGTGAGAATGTGGTTGTGCGAGGTATGTCGGGCTACGCGGGGGTAATACCTTGTCCTTTGCACTCGAATAGTATCGGCTGCACACCAGAACGTCAGTGGGATAGCCGGAACGACGATGAAACACACGAACACCAGCCACGCGTAGTCCTTTGAAGTTTGCATGTCAACGCTGTCAAGTCGGCTGAACCAAAGCGAGCATTTGAATCTGCCCCAATGAAGAGTTGATAGTTAGCAAAGAGGCTTTCTGCAGGTGGGCACTTGTCAACCTGTTCGGGCGGTCACTGGTCAGAGGTTGAGATGACAGAAACCAGAACAGTGTACGCACAAATGATGTTAACCGTAGATAACGTCTTCGCAACCTTTGAGACTGGAGCGAAGGCAACTGTGAGGATGCTCCATCGTCAAGCTTCTCTGCACGGATGATGCGCGTCGTCTATCTGCACACTGTAAGTGGTTGTGAGTGTCGGTACCCACATGCAGACGAAACGTCTGTCACTGAGTCCACACATGAGAGCGCTGCATGGCATCAGACTTGCCTGCCATGAGAGATTTGGTCTGCTGACATGTCGTCTTGCACATGAAGGAGACGTCGCTTGGGGAGGGACCGCGGTAGATGCTCCATCGAGCTTGGATATGCATATAGGGCGCATATATGCGCATAGAAGTAGCTCATCGGCCTACTGGATCCTTCACAAGACATCGTAAGCAGCATAGGGCTGAAGTCGTCTTCGAGGTAGACTTTCTTTCGCGACCCACTGCGTAAGGGCGCGTTACCGCAGCACCATACGAGACGAGACGCCCAGAGTTCGAGGAACGGTGCCTTCAAACACCTCTTGCATGCTCGTTGTGTATCTTCGGCACAGGCACCAGTGAGGGAAAGGGGAACAAGGGCAGGTGGGGTGGATGGTGGGAGAGAAAGGGTGAAAAGAGGAGGACGTCGTCGTCGGGAACGCGTCCGGCTCCGACGCGTTCGCGTTGTGGCTGAGTGGCACTGCGCGTCAATGTCGCAAGGCGGCCCGACACAGTCCACGTGGTTCTAGCACAGCCACTATCCCGCACTCCTAGTCCAAATTGGGTTTTTAGCAGCACCAGCGGACTCAATGTTCGTTGCATTCAGTGTGCTTGCAAGTATGTAGGTTTGTACGATGGCTCCGACTGTGAATTATTTACTGTTAACAAATACGCGGAATAAGGAGTGTGCCCAGACATCCGCATGACTGTGATCAAGGCAATAGCTTTAAGCGCTCGTATTCTTCAGCACAAATGGCCTCTTCAGGACACCTCTCCGCGACATGGACCTCTATGGGACCGTGTAGGTCCATGTATCCGTCTCACCCAGCATTTATGCTCTAACAGGGATCTGGGGACGGGGATCGTGCGAGATACACGTCCGCCCAGGAGATCCCGATCAGCAAACAAGACCGTTGTGTCACTCGGCGACCCTGGACACGAAGGTGCCACCCGGCAACCACACTAGATCTTTTCCTGTGGGATATCGGCGTCCCCCGTCCAATGGCAAGGTCCCCGCCTGCCCGATGGCTGCTGGTGGGCAGGGGGCGGCGGCGGGGGTGACGGCTCGATCGTGATTGCCAATGTTAATGATCGAACGTTGATTGCTCCCTGAGAGGGGGATGCGGAGTGGCCGGGGACGGCGGAGACGGCGTGTGAGTCGGGCGTATGCATGTATACAAGACGGGTTACATTGCTTGAGCACTGATACATTCCTGCGGTGAAATGTCTCAGCGAAGTTGTCAAAGAACCCACCGTGCAGTGCAGACCGTTATAGACTCACGAAATTACTGCTCAGCTTCCGTGCCGACGAATCCGGAGACATAAGCGTGGTACTCATTCAAAACCACTTGCACGACGCGTGTGTGTCTCATATACGGACACGGACCGGCGGAGCCCGTTGGCGACGTCAAGGCAAGTAGCATGAATCCCGAGTCACCAAGGTAAATGAACGGACAGTCGCAGAATCCGACCTTCTTCATAATTTGTACACGAGTAGGGCGGGAATGCCGCGCAGGTTCAATTCAGCCACAGCCTGTATTCAAATGTCTAGGATGAAGGGTTAACTGAATGGACAGAGCCGTTCGGGCACTACGGAGGAGGACGCGGAGCGGAACGAAGCTGCGAAGAGTACCGGCGTCTACTTGTATAGCGCAGATCCGGGCGACCGCGCCGCGGCCCGAGCTAGGTCCTGTGTTCGAATCCCGCACAAGCTACTCTTCGAAGATTTCTCTTACCAAAAGCCTCGCAGACTCAGGCTGATCCTCCATGGAGCATCACACCATGTCCTACCGAAGTTCGACTCACAAACAACGAAAGGCACGAGTTGTTTCCATTTCTTTGTACTTTTGATCGAGCGTCTTCGTGTTTATAATGCTGGGCGATGAACCACTAGTGAGCTTTCTATCATGACGGAACATTGTGCATGACCGGAACTCATTTACAGTGCAATTAATACCAATTCGGGACGAGAGAAACCACAGCAACATGGTGCATGCACTCCTCGGCGAGGGCGGCGCATATAGCGTGCAAACTCTAACTAGGGCGCTCCTCCAAAATTGACAGCGTCTCGCATGGAACCAATGCCACGTCTCTTTCGTCCGTGCCACCACATGTACAAGCTCCCCCAAGCTCCGCGATAGACTGCAGAGCGCACGCCGCTGGGAGGTCTTGCGATGGCCCAGACAACGTCGAAGCCTTGCCGAGCTCTCTTGCAGGACAAATCGACGCCTTGTACAAAGAGGACCATGGGGTTGGGCTCGTACTGTTCGAAACACGGCCCAGAATACGCGGCGCTCACCAGAGAGTACAAGATCTTGTCCGCCAAGAACGAGGCGCTCGACCCGGGGAAGCTGAGTCGGAGCGAGATTCGCGCGTTGTACAGATCCGAGGCCAAACGGGTGATCAAAGCGAACAAGTTGTATGTGATGTCCTTGGAGGCGGAGTACGATGCGCGTACGATGCAGCATGTGAGGTTCTTCGGTGAAGGTGCGTACAGCGGCCAGAAACCCGCGTAGTTCTGCGCTGACCACCATTATAGTTGATCCTGGGCATATCAAATGGCTGGAGATCCTTCGCGGGAAGCAGCGGAGGGCACTCGCACAGCTCAAACTCTTCGACGAGGCCGGTTTCGACGTCGGGCCCTCCAGAGCCGTCAAGGAATCGGCCATCTTCAACTTCACACCTGTGCATTCCTTCCGCCGCAAAGCACCAGAGGCTAGCCTTATCCCGGACCTGTTCATTCTGGTGAGAACATTTTGACTTACGCTGTCATCCGGAAAGTGGCAGGTACTAATCCATGCACCACAGGTCCCCTGTATCATCGTCCTCGGAGTTTTGGTATCGGTACTGTCGCCTGAGGCCTGGGCCACGTTGTGGGCCTTCTCACAACGCGTCATCTCATGGCTACCGACGATCCTGCAGTACGCCATCGTCAGCCCTGTACGGTGTGGTCACCTACTCACGAATCCGCATGTCGCAGATGGCTTTGGTCGCTGACGATCCCGACGATCCGCGCACTGTGGAGTTTGACTGTGATTTTGTGCACTACGGCGTGGAGGGTCGGCGTCTTCGCGTCTGATCTGCTCTCGGGTATGATACAGATCGAGGGGGCGGGAGACCCATCGCGCTGGTAGACGGTCGACTTTTCTTCGGAGCGCGTCAGACTCACTGGGTGTAGAGAGGACGGACGTACGTGTGTTCCATGAGGCGAACTCGCGCGCATGTCGCCGCGCCTCTCTGTTGTATAATGCTATACACGAGATCCCCGAGCACACTCTCAATCGTTAGCATCGCCTTGCGCGGGCACACCTGCGCTTCATAGTCAGATATGAGGCAAACGAGGTCTAGCTGCGCCGTTCGAGTTATCATACACTGTCAGCATGAACACCAAGTCGCGCGGAAGAAGCACCTGCGGTAAGGGCCCTACGGCGAAGTCGCGGATCTCAGTCGTTGTCGCGCCATTGCACCTCGATGTCAGCGCCTACGAAACGGATCCGCTGCGATAGCCCGTTGCGTATGAATGTCTCTGCAAATGAAGGGTCCAGTGAATGCATTCAGAAGCGCGTGGGCTCGTAGACCAGCCTCACGTTCGGGGCGGAAGACATTCGTTTTGCAGGTTTCTTCAGTTGTCCACTCTCTTAACGATCAGTATATGTGGGGCTTTATTCGTCGCTGCGTTCACGTTATGCTGCGTAGCTGTAGTTCTTGCGTTTCGTGTACTTGCAGCCGTAGTCATTACTGTAACTTCAATCACGCATGGTACTTAGCTTGTCACTGAAGAACACCCGACTGGCGCTCCACCCTTCCCTTAGACACTCGTGCGCATCCCAGGGTCCCCGTAATGCATGTATTCCATGACTTCAGGACATCATATGTCGGAGATGGCTAGGTCGCCAATGTGCGCAGAGCCCCAGCCGAACCCGCGTCACTTATGACTGTTCCATCACAAGCACGTCCATGCCTTCCGTCAGAGTCTACAGAAATGCCCGGTGTTAAGAGTCTCACGATGGCTCGAGCGATGCCGACGGGTGTCTCTCACCAAAGGGTACAAGATGGTATTTGCCCCGAACGAGGTGCTTGACTCGGACAAGCTGGCCTGGAGCCTGATCTGCGTACTTTGATCCGATAGCGAGTAGACGATCAACGCGAACACGACGTACCTAGTCTCCTTGGATGAGGACCTTGCTTATGGAGTACCAGGCGCGAATGACGCAGCATGCAAGATTCCTCGGAGCAAGTATGCGTCCACGCTCGCGCCGCGCCCCGCGGACTGCAGCGGTTTTCATCGTTCGTAAGCGATAGCACAAGCTCTTGACATGGTTGATTAATGTATACCACCTGAGTGGAACATGGCGTAAAAGATTCTGTACCCTTCACGTTCTGTGATAAACCCACCGTACAGAGCGGGACGTTAGTGTCTTCCGCACAGGTACTGATCTGTGTACGGCTGGTACCAAATGGCATCGGGCCCGGGCTTCTGCTGTGGGTTTTGCCGTCCGGAGCCTGGACCACGCTATGGGCCCGCACTTTCGCGGCTTCCGACGATCCCCTAGTATAAGTAGCATGTCAAGGACCCTGTTTGATGAGTGTGGCGTGCATACTCACCAATTCAGCGTCGCAGATGTCTTCGTCCGTTGGCGATCCCGACGATCCACGCTCGATGAAGCACAAGTTTCACTGTGTTCTTGTGCACTATGTCACTGTGGTGTAGATCGCCGTTTTCGCGTTTTGGCATACTTTTGTGCATGACGCAGGTCGAGGATGCGCTCAGTATATCACGGTAGAAGAGCGTCGAGTTTTCTTCGGAGCGCGTCAGAGCGGACGGATAGGAAGCGGAGGTGCGATTTCCATGAGGACGCGAGCTCGCGGGAATGTCGCCGCACCTCCTCACACCGTGTCGTGGTATCCACGAGATCTGCGAACACATTTGAAAGGGTGATTATTGTCTCATGTAGACTCATCTGCGCACCGAGTTCAAATATAGGTCCAGCTACGCCGTCCGAGCAAACAGCATGCACAGCGAGTCTCCCGGAAGAAGACCACTGCGGTAAGGGCCCTACGGCGAAGTCCCGGATCTCGGTCCTTGTCGCAGTCTTGCGCGTGAGTACGAACGCGCACCAGGTCGATGTGCTGCGATAACCCGATCCGCATGAAGGTCTCAGATGAAGGGTCCTGGAGTCGAATGAATGGCGAAGTGCGCAGACTCGCTCTAGCTCGGAGCGGAAGAAGGCCAAGAAGAGGCACCACTTGAAGGAGGCACTGGGCCGCGGCCACCGGCGTCTATACTGAACAGCGCGGATCCCGGTTCCCGGCTGCGAGAAGCCTCGCGTTCGAACCCCTTGGAAGCTGCCCTTTCTCGCACTCAGATATGTTGCAGATCGCGCGTCATCTCCTTCCATATCCAGTTCCATTGCAAAATCTAAGGGGGGCATCTACATACAAGGATACAACTACTATAACGGAGGCTTGCGGTACAGTACTACGAACGCGGCATGAATGTATTAACATTATCTAAACGTGTAACGCACACTAGCGAGTGTCAGGAATTTTGGGTCGGAGAGCACAGTTGGGACGAAGGAATGTGTAGCGCGAACGGAGATGAACGGGGTGAAGGAAGCGGGAAGAAGGGTCGAAGAGGTATAGACAAGCGCGTGCGGACCGTCACCGGGAGGTCGAGCGCCGCCTGCCAGGCTCGCGCGTGAGCGTACGTGATGATGATCGCGTGCCCGACGACGAGTTGCCCCACTCGATGTTCGGCGTGAGGTTGTTGAGGAGACGCTTCAGTAGCGCCTCATTGTTTTTCTTGGTAGGGCTGCTCGGCTTGCTTGAGCTACCGCGCGACGTGCTACGCGAAGTAGACTGCGTACGGGTGTGTGAAGATGACGAACGCGGGTCGGGAATGACGTCGACGCGACCGCCCTTTGGTGGGATGATCACGTAGGTCTCTCCTCGACGCGGGGGAGGGAGCACGATGGGCTGGCCTGGCTTGTAGGCGTATTCGACCTGGCGAGTGCGAACGCCTGGTGGAGCGGGGGGCGCGTAGGTCACCGGAGATGTCCGCGGCACCACTTGATGGGGCGCGAGAGGAATGGGCGCTGCGACATGTGTGGCGTACCGCGGATCTACCGGTAGCGAGCCTGAGCGTTGCGGTGACCGCGCCGAACGATGGCGCGTGTTGGCGTCGCTTGGCTCGTGTTGCGCGTACGCATACGCTCGGGACGTGTGTCCGGAACCCGATGGGGGAGCGGGGAGCGTGCGCGAACGCGAGGGTTGTGGACGTTGGTCGTAGTGGCGTGAGCTGCTTTCCGGGCGCGATGGGGAGTGAACCCGGGACGATGAGGAGACCTGCTCCGGGGTAAACGGGTTGGAGTACTTGGGTGCATGGTGTTTCTGCTCGACAACCCAGTTCCCGACGCCGGCCATCTTGGCCTGGAACCTCTCGTGGGCCTCCGGGGAGTAGTCGTACTCCGTCATTGGTAGGGTATGTTGATGTGAGGAGGGTTGGAAGTTGAGAGCGAGGTGGGGGATGTGGCGTCACTGAGTGAGCGTCGGTGTTGGTGTTGGAGTCAGCGCGGGAGGTATGCGATGAGGGAGAACCGCAGAAGACGGATAACGGGTATGCGAGCAGATGGAGGGGTGGGTATATGTAGGGCGAGCTAGCGCAGGCGAGGCGGATGCCTCGCGGTGAGGTGGAGGAGAGAAACCTGCGTCGGACGGGTTCTCGGCTCGGAGTGCGACTTAGATATAAGCTTTTTCTCGGATAACCGCTTAGCGGCCCGGATAAGGGGACTTATTGCTCTCGCTTGATTGTCCTCCTGCCCCCATCTAGCTTAGCCCCGCCAATTGTCCTGCCCGCTTTTGTGCCCGTCCCTGTCCCCTCTATTCACTTCGAACGTCGCGGAGCTATCTGTCTACGCATCGCAATCATGCATAAGAGGTATGCTCAAAGCGCGGGGCCAGTGCGCGCACAGCAGAACCCTTCGCCTCTTCATAACAGGGTTGCGGCCGCGCCGGAACGAGTGCCTAATTGCTGAATTCGCGTCCATCGCACGGAAGGCCATGGATGTGGTATGAACGGAACTTCGGCATGAACCTGGCGTCCCCCTTCGCAGCGCATAGCCCGTTCTAAACTCATTTCGCCCGCAGAATTTCCCATAGCACGCCCACACGCATCCACCGTCCGGCCTGCGCGCTCCTGGGCCGTGTCAGCAGGCCGACAGGCACTCCCGCTCGCAGCTTCCCAGATAATCGCGTTCCCGGCTGCGCACCAGCGCCACATCCATCGGACGACTCGCTATGGGAATCGCCACTGCCCACCATGGCCACAGCTGACTCCATCGTGGTGCGTTTCCGAGAAGTGCCAGTGTTCTTCCTATACACCTCGTTTCACGTCATGTCGCCTGCGCTGGCACGGCTGCCTAGACAGATTCAGGACCCTGCAAGGACCCCTGGCAATCCCGGTACCTACATGCAAAGCTGTCCAAGGTTCCGTCGGTGTCCGATCAAGCAGCAGCCAACCGGCCGGTTTCTCGCCCAAGCTGCGCACAGTCAACCCGCCATTACCTGGCGGGCGCGTCGGTGTCTACTGCGACAAGCGGCGACGTCGACGTCGCCGATGCACGCACTGTTTCGTTCTCGAGTAATCGCCGGGGTCCCAGAATCTCAGCAGAAGGCGGCTGCGCGATCTTGCAAGCCTACGCGCGCGTGCCCCCGCGTTCCCCCGCACGGCCTCTGACGTCTTCCAGGTTCTCGCACGATCGACTCCGTGTGGCATCGCCGCATGGCTACACAGCGCCAGGAGGCGCTGCGCCCTCCCCGGCCTCTGCTCCAGCCCCCAGGGCCCAACTGTGGCTCAAGCCCGGTCGGTCTCGAACATTGCGCTCCACAGCAGGCGTCGGCGCGTCCAGACGTTTATGTCCGTCAGCGTGGTCCGGGTGGCACATCGACATTGACAACGCTGATGCATAGCAAACGAGTGTCTCGGCCGAGCTTTGCGCATCGTACGTGCGGCGTGCGCCGGCTGGCCACTCCATGCGACATGCCCGGCTTAATGGCAGCACGAAGGTTGGCCACCGCCGGCCGGTCTCTACGCCACCCGCGGATTTCCCGCTCTGTAGGCGCAGACTCCCCGCGCTGAACGAACGTGAGAGCTCCTACGGCATCGGAGCCACGCCTTTGTCAATTGATTCCAGCCGAAGTCATTGAGCTGACACGCTTGCCCTGCGCAGATCGTGCCTGCGCGCTCGCCGTGCACCGCTCTACTGGACGACGGGTGCACTCGAAGAAGCTCTCAGCATAGAGCGGGCACTGTGCGACTCCTCCCAGCTCTCTAGGCTGTCCTATTCCCCGAGCACAGTGCCGTTGTACTCGTGCTTCGATATGACACCAACGCGTTCATTTCGCATCGCGCATCGCAATATGCGGCGGATGCTCTCGCGGGAGCGCTTCCTCGCCCAGCAAGCGCGCCCCCACGTCCCCGCCTCGCCCCCAGGAACCATATGCCCCATTTCGCGCGTCGATTGGGGCCCCGCGCGCGTACGTGCTCTGACGGCGACTGACGCTGCCTGACGCGGACGCGCTGCAGCGTGTCTCTCAGACGAACACGCTGCCTGTCATCTGATCGCGCACACGCCCCCCTGCTTACGTACCGAGTCCCCACTGGCGTTCAGGATGCGCGCGCGGGGGCGAGCAGAGTTTGCCTTCGTGATGGGCCCCTATGCATGAGAAGCCGAAGCCTGGAGGCGAACATGGCTCGCCTGCCGCGCGCGCGAAGCTCGCGAGCACCGGGCTGTGTGTGCGGGGAGAGTCGCGCGACCACGGCTGCGCAAGCCTCATGGTATGTCTTTTTGCGACTTCGCAGAGCGCTCCGCCAGTGATGTTTTTTCGTCAGTGGTGTTCGCAGACGACGATGGGCCCCCACGCCTCCGTGGGGCATCGCGAGCATCGTGCCCATTCGCCTCGAGTTGTCGTGTCGACGTCATGCAAGGGTTGCCATTCGATTGCGCGATGGGGACATGTATCGTAAGCGGGGCAAAGCTCTGCCGAAGGCAGTCCTTGCGCGGACATGGACTGAATACGAACATGACGTTGGCGCAGTTTGAGTGCACATAGTGGCTTAGACCGCGATGCGCGGTGAACATCGCGTGCAATACGTTCGTACCTCCGCACGTCCTACGTCATGGTCGCATTGGCACATGGGTTTGACTGTTTGGTCGCAATGCGCTGACATCCTGCGTTGAGGAAGCGCAGGACTCCTCCCGGCCTCAGTGAACGACGTAGCAGTATGTCATGTACCACGTGTGTTTTGTGCGATGCTAACGATCATATCGAAAGCACAGTCGTCTCTCCTCATTCAAGCTCTACGGGTGCTATAGAATCGTACACAATGCCGAATCATAGAAATTGTGTGGTGCTAAGGTCAGGATAACCGAATTTCCTCGCAGAAAGCGCACAACTGTTGTTTTATACTAGATCAAGCTTGTACATACGCGGCGAACATCGAGGTCCATATGGCGAACGACAAGTGGACGAACGCGTTCGTCAGCTTGCACGCCGCTGGCAACAAGACACGGCTCGTAGCCACTGCGAATCGAATGAATGCCGCCGCCGTCACCCATAGGCACCTGTAGTGGAAGATGATCTGGTGAGATATCTATCAGAGAGGGATCATCATAACCAACGCTGACGTACTGCACAATGACTGACGTCGTGATCTGCACAAACGTCCAGATGACTGGCCAGATACTGGGCGGCGCCGCCCAGACAACGAAGCCTGCGCTGAACAGACAGCAGACCTGAATCCGAAAGATTGATGGTGAGTTTACTATACGATGTAGCGCATCTGTGCCCGACTTACCGTGACAACACCATCTATCAGTGCCTTTAATTTCCCATCCTGCGATCCACTGGCACTGCATGTCTCGTAGCCGTAGTAAAGGCTGCATGGGACATAGGCTCAACGGCCCGGGTGGGAGATGTCGCCGTAGGGGTGCGGTGACTCGGACGTCGTCGGTCGGTCGGATACCGCTGCTGCTTGCCTCTCGGGCGTGGAGACACGGGTACCAGCCTCCGTTGTTATCATCAGCTGAAGCTCATCGTTAGTTTACAGTCGGCCTGACAGACACGACCGAGCGTTCCCCGTACCTTGGGCTAATAGCTTGATGTTAGCAATTGGCATGCCAATGCTCCTCGGCGACATCGACGCGTCCGTATCACGTCGTGCGATGTCTTGGGATCCCGACGCGAGTTCAATAACCTCATCATTGTGGCGAACCGGGGATGTGGACCGCTTTGGTCGAGACCGGCGGTTGAGTTTGAGAGCCCGAGGTGGGCTTCCGGGCGAAGCCGGGTCTTGCTTGCGCATGACGGGAGCACTGCTCGTAATCGATACATCTGGCCTTTTGGTAGTGGGATCAGTGTCGGAGCGAGTGTTGGTGACGATCGGAGAGTGTGGTGCTGATATGTAGCCTCAGGGAACACCGCACAGTACTTATACACTCACGCTGAGCGCAGGCGCCTTGCTGTGCTACGGTAGGATGTATCGAGCGAAGCGACAGCATACAGTGGCAGCTGCGGTACCGATTCATGCGTACGCATATAGAGTAGCGCCATGATTCTTAGAAGCGCTACTACTACGGACTATATGGTAATAGCAATGCTGCTGCAGCTAAGTGACAGGCGGAAATCGCCATTCACGCCGCGATGCTGACACAGACATCAACGTCGAAGATGAGTCCGACCTTGATGCCCCAATAGGTTCGAGTCGCGCGACTGGCGTCGCCAGTGCATAGGGTGCACGCGAGTTGTACATCGCGCGGGCTTGCGAAGAGGATGTGCACAAGTGGGGGGTTGTGGTCGTACTAGCTGGGTATGGTAGAAAATGTCGGCCACGAGTCTGAACAACCGAACACACGGGCTATATGGTATATATATCCAACAAAGAATTGCGGCTTGCTTTGCCGCATATACCTACCCGGCGCAGGTGAGCTCGTAAATGTTTGCGCACTATCTAGCTCCATCTCCGTTTCGTTGTCGTGTTTGCCCTCAACGCTCCCGCGTTGCCGGGAGTGGGCGATCGGGGAATGGAGCAACGCAGCGAATTACTCTTCGGGCCAAGCTACATTATCGGCAAGCGCCATTGCGCCTACAACGATCACCGCGACTCCTGGTACACTAAACACAAATCTGACAATGAACCGGCCCAACACCAACACGATAATGGCAACCCACGATAGTAACCACAATTTGAAGAGCAGGAGAACGAACCAGTAGAGAGACCTGCGACGGCAGCACAGAGTTAATACATATACCACATCAAGACGAGGATATGAACGCACTCGAGAGGTATGAGCGCGAGGACGTCGGGTGGACTCCGAATTGATGTGAGTAGACCCTCGGTTCTGTTCCAAAAATCCGTCCGGGATTCTGAGGGCGACGCCAATGATTTGTAGCAGAAGGCTATGGTGCATGATAGAATCTGCAACGTCCGGCTTAGTACAGACATAGTAAAATGAGAGAAAACGTATATGATGTTCACTAGCACAAGTTTCCAAGCCCTGGCCTTGGATTTCCTACGGCGGGCATGTTCGGTTAGGTCTTGCAACTGAGCTTCAGCTCTGTGACATTTTTTGTGAAGCCCTGCGAGCCACTTGTCATGACCGGGGTCGCCTGTCTCACGCGTCAGTAAGATATGCTGAAACACACGTTGACATTTACCGTCTCTGAAGAATATATGTTGGTGTATTTCCCGCTCCGTGATCTCTCGACGCACGTATAACAGGTATCTCTCATGAGCCTGGATCGCCTCCTCAAGGTCTCGATTTGTCAAAAGACGGATGTCTTTGCGATCGCGGACGTCAGGATAGACTTGCTCTGCTTCGGCGGACGAGCTCTTGTAATCCTGGGTGGAGTTTGCATATTCCCTGCCGTGTTTTCGACAGTACGGCCCCCCACCTCTAGCCGAATTTGGACAAGGTGTCGATTGGTCCCGTAAGAGGGCCTGGCAAGGCCGTCGTGTGTAGGCCATCGCAAGATTTTATTTTAGCGCGGTGCACTCCGGAGACTGTCGTGGAGGGCCTTGGGGGAGCTGGTGATGGCGCGGACGCAAGTGGTGAGGCAGGCCGCCAACGCGTGTGCTGACGTGACGTAGAGGCCAACTAGGCGCTGCGATCTCGAGCGCACGCGCGAGCCATGGATTGGAAAGAAAAGAGAAGGCTCCTATCTCCGTGCTCGTACAACTATTGTACTAGAAGGTTCATACCAGCGACAAATATATATTTTCGATTTCAGTCTTGAACTGAACTTCCGTTGCCTTCCTCCTGCGAACCGTGAGTGCGTATACCAACGACAACCAACCATGCGAAACTCACCTGACATTTCCCTTCTCCTGTGTTCGCGTATCGTGAGTATTAGGGTACGAGTATCTTGATTGGGCGTACCTAACTCACCGTTGTTCTCGGAAGAGATCCTACAGGCACGAACAAGATACACTCTGGCGTCGTGATGCGCTCGTGCGCGAACAGCCTTTCATTGAACGGCGCGGTACGCTCGACGATTGTTCTCTTGACCTGCGCCTCCGCATCCGGGGTAGACACATCGACGGCCCCCTCGGTTTCGACCACTAACACGGGACAGACCCTCTGATGGCCAACCACCACGCAGTTGTGCACGATGTCCTCGCATGTCTTGAGGACGTTCTCCTCGATCGCCCTGCGAGCGATCCGAAAGCCTCAGCCACGATACCTCGAACGACCGCACAAGGGACTCACTTCGTGTCACAGAAGGCCGGATTGCCGCCAGTCCGGATCCAGTCGTCGCTTCTGCCGCCTGCACATAGGGGTCGGCAATGCAGTTCGCCGTCCGCATGATCTCCACTTACGGAAAACGTAGCAGCCAGGCTTCACTTCCTCGAATAGATCCCCCGTAACGTGACCGTCTGGGCGGTTACGTATAGTTGGGTGCGGGCAGGTCTTCGACTCGGCGGAGACGAAGAACTCGTACAATTGACGGGAGGGAGCCGAGGAATCATCCTTCTCCCCGAGACCCAAGGGTCTGAGCTCGCACCTGACTCCGGAAGCAAGCCTCAAGTAGGACTCCCCCGAGTCCAGGCTGGCAACCATAAGAGGTCCTGCGTGACTGATCAATGGGGTTTCATCGTGGAGCAGGAGTAGGGCTAGAACGTACCACATTCCGTGTTGGCATACATGGGCTATGCGGCGTTAGATGGTCGTAAGCCACAATAGGTCGAAATGGGATGGCATGAAGCTCACCGTGAGACGAATGCCTTGCTCCAGCGCCCATCGTTCGTCTTCAGGGTTCAGTGCGGCACCAGTGTACGCGATCTGTTGCAAGTTTTGGAGAGCCTCGAGGACCTCAGGTCGCTGGCGTGCCGCAGCCAGTAGCTTCGCGAGCCAAGGTGCATACTGCAACAGGAAGTTGAGTCCGCATTGCTGAACCATCGCCAAGAACTCGTCCGCAGTGATCTCTCGGCCAGCACTCTGAGTCAAGCATGCGCCTGACCAAGATATGAAAGTAACGCCTGTGTGGAATGAGTTATGACCCCAAGAGGACAGATGCTTCCTGAACACGCACAGGTAGCAGCGCCGATAGACGCGAAACTGCCGATATTATTGAAGATGTGCTGTCCTTCGGGGTGACGTTGGATCACGCACTTCCAGGTGACTTCGCCCTCGGCGACAAGCCACTTGTGCGTCTGCGGGATGGGCTTCGGGCGCCCGCCGGTTGTTCCGCTCGTGTGGAAAATCATGGCGACATCGTCTGCGCTCACGTCCGGCGGCGCGCTGGGCTGTGCGCCTGTCATCGGCAAATTGTATAGCTTGGGAAGCTTGACGGCCGTCTGGTGCCATTCAACCCGGGGTAGCAGCGCCTCGAACGTGTCTGCGTAGATAAGGACCCGGGCATGATGTGTGTCGAGCAGGTCCTGCACGAACGGAGCGGAGAAGGCGAGCCCGAATACTTCCGGTACGAACCCCGCCGCAGCGACAGAGTAGATGTGTGCGAGGTCACTCCAGTGTGATCCCTTCAGCCTGTGCGTGTCAATTACCAAGGGAAACAGCAGTAGCAAAAGGGCTCGCATACCACATGCCAACCACGTCGCCTTGCTTGAGACCCTCAGCGGTAAGAGTGTTGGTCCAATACGCGGTTGCCGCTACCAACGCGTCGAGGAAATCCTGATAGGTAATGATTCCCCACTTGAAAGAGGAAGTGTCCCCTTCGAAGGGGCGCATAAAAGGTTGTTTGACATTGCGCTGCAGACGGTCAAATACGAAGTTCATGAAATGCGCCATGGTGAGCAGAGCTGAAAGGTTCGGTGAGCACGCAAGCGATAGTTGTGAGGAGTTGGGACGCTTTAATACCCACGCCCACCCGGCGAAAGATCTTATAGGTTCATTTGCAGGGGATCGCCGACGGGCGGCGGGCACAGGAAGGCCCCATTTGATGTTTGAACAATATAGCATGTTCTCACAGTTGGGCCCTTGGTGTCTGACAATCCCCTCGCAGCCTGGTCACGCCAACGGTGCCTGTGGATTAGCGGAGACTGCGATCACGTCAAACAAAGAGGGCTGTAACTCGGACGTACAGAGATGTAGAGAGGTAAATCTGTCGACATCACGTCGTCCATATGGACCTGCGCAGTGTTATCACCATTGCTCTTTAACGCGGCCTAGTCATCTTACTCGCGCTCAAGAGTACGGCCTTGGCCACGTAGATGATCCACGCGAGTATCCGATATTGCTACAACCATCTAATAGTACAGCGTATACATCTAGAAATCGTGAGCACCTGCACGAGGACCAGCTGACAAGAATACTCACTTATGAGGTCCATAGCTCTACTCGTCCCACCGCATCGCCGACGGCACCCAGTAAGAAACGCCATAGAGCTCGTCTTGCTCGTCCAGCCAGCAAAGGCCGTCGCGTAGCAGCATGTTCGAGAGTGCGGCTCGAGCGCGGTCCTGCGCCCATCCCCTGCGCGACATGAGTGCAGCCTCCGACACGCGTCCGCCATCTTCCTGGGCGACCGCGAGCACAACCGCCTGGTCCGCGTCCAGCTCCTTTGGCACGCTGCGCACCATCTTCTTCCCACCACCGACGTCGATAACCTCGTAGCCCGCGTTGAGCGGCTTCAAAGTCTTGATGCTCCGCATGACGTCCTCCTCCGTGATCACGTCTCCGCCGACGCCGCGCAGCTTGCTGACCATCCGGATGAGCTCACCCATCTCAATTAGGCCCCCGTTCCGTTCCCGCGTGCTGACGCAGACGTCGACGATCTGCACGCCGAGCTCGTATTGCCAGTCGCCGAGGTTCAGCATCTCGGCCCACCATCCGCCCTTCCGGGGGCCGGCGAGCGGGTCCACGCCGATGGTGGTGCACATTTGCTGGAATGCATGCCTAAAGGAAGGCTCCTTGCGGATGCGGTCGCGGTGTGTAGAAGCGTAGTGCGCGAGGGCGCTGCGGAACTGGGCGAGCTGAGCGTGGAGCAAGTCGACTTGTCCTTGCGAGATTTCGCTGGACAGTTCGGCAAAAGAGCGCTGAGACTGTTGCTGGCGGTCGAATGCTGCGATACCGACGCCTCCAAGTCGGTGCATTGTCAAGGTAAGGAGAGGGTGAAGGTCATGGATGTTAAGAGCGAAATGCAGGATGTCGCAGACGGTCAAGATTAGATTATCTAACTTACACTATGATCTACATTCTAGTACACTACTTACGTAAATATAACACAGTACTTATAAGACTACTTATAATCAAGGAGCCGCGATTGTAGAGAGCTATACCCAGGCTTAAGGGAAGGAATAAATGGGGTGTAAGCTTCTAGTAGGTGGCAGGGTTTTGGAAATCCACGTCGGGGGACCGTCAGCGCGAGAATCGAGATTAGGGACTGAGTTGCACAGGTAAGTAGGTAGCATACGGAAGTCGGAGAAAAGGCGTACCTCGGTGAATGCGATGGTTGGAGTTCTACCAGCCCTCCGATGTTGAGGTCAGTCGCGAGTGGACTTTTAACAACCACTTCCCATGCCTTCTGCTCGACGAAAGGTAGGGAAGGGGCTACGCCGTGTCCGAAATCCGACGTCGATTCAGAAGTGTATCCAGCCTGGACGGTAGTCCCGGCCCAGTCTCCGTGGCCCAACGGTGCGCCGAGGTCTCCGACCACGTCAGGAGAGAACCGCACGGTCGAGAAGCGCGAGAAGGACTCGGTTGCGGAGAGTGCTTCCCCACTGCCCCGACGAGCCACTTGTCGGAGGTTGAGCATGAAGCGGGATATTAGGATGCATGTGAACCTGTATAATCATAATTAGACCGTGTCTGTTTGCGCGCGAGAACTGTTGGCTTACACGTCGATGAACACCGGTAACGGGTTGAATATCTATATCACGCACATCAGTAACGATGAGTCGTAACCCGAAGTATGGAATACACACCACATCGCTTCGCAGGACTATGAGATCGACCGCATTCAACAACAGCATAATGCTAAGGCATGGTCAACGAAGTGTTCGGTGTAAATGCGCCACATGAAGCATACCCGAAGTAAAGAGTGCCTGACGACTTGGTTAGCTTCTATCACGGTGTATCACACAAACATAGCCTACCATCGCGTAGTAAGAGTGTGGAGAACGTCGTGTCCGAGCGGAGGACGCCAGCGAGCTTCTTGATTTCGTAGGTCTTAACCCAGGTGAGGATAATCACCAGCAAGTCAGCGGCGATTGCACAGCTGTGTATAGCTATCGAGACTGCGACAGACTCCTTTTGATACACCACACACGCATAAGTTGGTGGAAGTGGACATACGTCTGCGGACAGAATGTTAACATGCATGCATCAATCAATATGATCGGGACGTACTTCGCTAACTGATCCTCGGTGAGCTCAGTCGACTCCGCGCATCCATACAAGGGCAAGAGGAACGCTTGCGGGATGGACAGGATGTAATGATACTAAATAGCGACAGTCAGTAGGTGTCTCCCGGCAAGCAAGAAGAACCTACCATATTCATCGCCGGAATGGTGAGCGCGATAGCTAGAACTGAGACGAGCGGCCTCCAGTCCTTGTTCCATATCGCATATACTCTTAGTGCCGAGAAGACTAGGAGAGATTGATCGGAGCTGAATACGGCGCCGCATACGGGAGACTCACCTGCGACGACGAAATACGCGACCACGGAGAATATCTCGCTGAGAATGATGGGTGCCGCACAGCTATAACAGTATGTCTGATCAATACACGTAGAAGCATATTCAAGCGACGGATGTACCTCTGGATGACGTTAGCTGTGCTGTTTCGTGGACGCACTTGATCGTTCGGACATACCTTGTCTGTTTGGTTCGGCCACCAGAATGTACTTATGGGAAGCATAATCTTGCCGAACAAGGTCACGTATCGGTTGAGCAAGAAGACCACGGTGGCCCCGGAAAACTTGCGGCGCCATACGAACTCAATCTCTCCGGAGATAGTGAGGAGATGGTCATACGCGAGAAGCACTGAGAATAATTTCAGTGAGCGCATTCGTCGACGGGGGTGAAGGTTGTAACTTACCGACACCGGCTATTTCGCAGATGTTGCTGATCGTACTGCACGCACTCCATCAGTATGGGGATATTCAACGGGCCATAAAGCAAGCAAGGACTCACAAAAGGTGCAGAGCGGTGATAAGCTCTTGATTCTCTTGGTCGCTGCTATCAGCCATGGCTGCTGTAGAGAGTGAGATCGAATGTCGTGAAGCGACCTCCGCAGCAAAGTCTCAGTCGTTTCTCTTATACTTCATCTCCCAGGCCAGGCAAAGATAGGATACGGCCGATGGGACACTAGGGCTGCTCAATTCTGGCCGGACGTGGTCGCTGGTCACTGCAGAGCTCGTTTGATGGAGCTGATGGACTGAAGCGAGAATAGCCGAAAAGTCCTGCGACCGGTGTAACCCTACCTAACCCTAGTGGGAGAGTCGTAGGGTGGTTTTCCTGTCGCCAGTGCATTGGGGTGTATAGGCCTCTGGACTGCATGGAAGATAGGCGTGAAACTACATGTGCATGGCCATATCCGTCTGCTTTTTTTCCGTCCTCAACTGGCTCCCCTATCACCGACAACGCCTCCATGAGCTAGAGAGGTTTGGGGAGGAGTTCGAATAATTACTGCATTTGGGACGTGCCTAACTCAACCGACCGGCGGCGACCGCGACAATTCGACGTTCTGCACCTCCTCGCTTACTGTCGCTTATGTCCATCAAAGCCAAGACACATCCTCTGGAGTGACCAGCGACCACGTCCGGCCAGAATTGAGCAGCCCTACTAGAGTGCCTGGCATCAGCAGCTTCGGCAATGAGGCAATGAGTACCCTGGTGATGCGTACCCTGCATCAAAGTCCAAAATACGACCAGATAGCGTCGCACGCCATCCGAGAAGCACCTTCTGCAGACTCCGCCGACATTCAACAGAACTCAAAAGCCGGCATCACCGCCCGGTGTAGGATTTCAGAGGCCTGGAGAGGATTAACGGCTCCGCCGTTGAACACAAGCTGTGCATGTGAGGATGCGGGGTGATGGGGACCACCGCCATCATTACGAAGGATTGGCACAAGAGGCGAAGCGCTCTGGAGGGTTTGTGGCGTGGAGGTCTTCGCCGCGGGTGAAACAGGAGCATGCAATGAAAATCTTCTTGGTAGCCCTCTGCGAGCTCGGGGCCAATATGGATGCGGTGCGCGTATGTGGTTCGGTGTGGCGATACTCATCCCAGTGATCGTCTTGGACTGGACAACGAGCTACGTACATCAGCTTTTTGCTGCGGTTATCCGGGAAGCATCCACGCAGCAACTTATTCACTCAACGTAGGGAGCGCGTTATTAGCCTCAGGCTCTGCAGCCCGATCGGCAATAGCGTCGCCCCAGCTAGCAAGACTCCGTCCGAGGATCACTGCAAACGCGAACTATGATCTATCCATCGGTAGTTGATATTCCCGCAGAGATAACAGGCCAAACAGAGAGCCCGAGAAGTCCAGCAGAGGCGGTTTCAGGTCATGAGTGAAGCTAGTGAAGGATATAGTGCAGAACAAGTTGACAACGTCCTCCGCATGCACTGCCGGCTAGATTAGATTAGATTTGGCAAGACCCATTCCCCTGCGAGCCGACGTTCACCGCATTACCTCCACCTTTGAATTTCGGCCGCATCGACATCTGCCGACGTACTGTCGTCCTAATTCTCCTTGGCTATGGCAACTCCTCGCCCGTATGAAGGCGACGTGATCTCTAAGCAACACCGCAGATCACGTTTCAAACGCCAACATGGATGGCATGTCTAACCAACTTGGAGGCGCGACGTGGGGGCGCGAGCACTGGGCGCCGGTTATTTGAACCGTAAGACGGGGCTGTCCGTTATGTCGAAAACTGGAAATGCTTCTTCCCCATTGTGCAGACAGCCCCAGATTCGCGCCGGTCGCAATACAGCCATAGTAAATGTAACTCTGGGATGGGGTACTAGCTAGGAACACCCGGTGCCTGGTGGCCACAATTGAAAAGACGCACTAATGCTCGGTCCCAAGTTCACCGCATAGATATCGCAAGCGTCATCGAAGTTATGACAGATGGCCGCCTGTGGCAGGCGGAGATGGGGCCTTGAACTACTTCGGCGATACGCTAGACGCCTATATGTATGGCATGCACAGGCGGGATACTTGTACCACTCCGCGCGCGCTCGCATCAACCCAGGGTATGCAATGGCTGTACAATCCCGCAAGCTATTGGACGGAATGCCGACCGCGCGGGAGAAGGGAGGAGTCCGGGACTGTCAGCCGCCAAAGTACAGTAGAAGAGCGCTCACTGGGACGTACGCGTACTCCCGCCGTCGAGCGGCAGCAGAGTATAACATCCGAAACGCGGACCATCGGATATCCGCCTCCAGACGCTGCCTGATCCATGCCGTGTTTACCTCAGACGCCAAGAGGAGTAGAGGGGGTGTGAGCAGCTATTACGAACAGACGTCAATTCTCTAAGCTATCGTATGTAACAGGTGCGTAATCGTACAGGGCAGACAGCGTACATGCGTAACAACGTACATGCGAGCAGAGATGTGAGAGTGGGAGGGCTGATGCGGCAAAGTCCCAGGACCGGAGAGCGTGAGCGTGCGCGTCAAGGAGAGGCAGGTGATGTGGCAGGTGGGAGGATGCGGCAGAGAGTCAGAGCGTAAAGAGCGTGCGACGGAGACGGGGCTAGTGAGAGTGAGAATGGGCATGCTGGAGAGGATTGTGCGGTGCGAAGAGCAGGGCGCAGAGGTATCGGACTCGCCCTTCTGTCGCGAAGGGCGTTCTAAGTGGTACAACGGGATCTCATCTGCGGAAATGCATCAGCGACCGCGCCCCACGGAAACGAGGCAGGACGGCGTACCGCGCGGTGACGACGCCTATCTCCACGACCCAAACACTCTACCGCCCCGGGCTTGGGCTTGGGTGCAGATGAGTACCACCAACGGTATGCCTACGACTCAACCGCTTACCCTGGCTGCTGGATCCGCGAGAGTCCACCGAGCCAGAGCCGCGGCTGAATAGTCGCTGGAAGAACGGCTTTTTCAGGCTGTTCGCGCTTGACGGCGAGCGTGGGGACTTGTGCCCAGGCGTCGTGTACACGGACGAAGAATTCGGCACCTGCGCACGGACGGTGAGTACGGCTCATCTCCGCACATCTGTCAAGGATATGAAAGACACGAGGAATCGTGCGATCGGTGCGATCGCGCAGTGCCCCTTGCCCAGCGCACGATCGGTCCGAAATGAAACTCACCACGATCTGGACCTTTTGGCCTGGGGAGGGAAGGACGTAGTACGTGCTGCCAGAGGTGTCGCTCGCGGTATCGCTCTCGCTCAGAGAAGGTGTTGGGGATCGGGTACGGGCGCGCGCGGGCTGAGAGTAGGCCATGTCGCGCGCAGGAGGGCGGCCGCGCACGGCGCTCGACGCGCGGCTCCTCGCACGACCATCCTCGCGCGAGTCCGAACGCCGATGAGAGAGAGATTGCGACTGATGCGACGACGAGCCGTGCGCAGAGGGGAAGGGGGTGCCGCCGGCATGCGCTTGTGGCGAATACTGAGTCGGGTGAGGTAGGGGATCGGAACGGCTGTACGCTATTCCTGGCGCAGGTGCGCGGCGATGGTGACCATGTGAAGAGGGGGAATACACGATTGCGGGGGGGTTATAATTTGGGCCCCGGTGGCGGGAGGACGGCGCGTAGACAATCGCAGGGGGCGCGTACGTGTATGGAAGTTGTGATTGTACCCTCGATGCAGTCCCCGCATGCTCGTAGAACCGCGAACCGCTGGTATACGATGCAGAAGCCGGTTGGGAATGTGACTGCGCGATCCCTCCAGGGGCAGCAGCATACGATGTGGTCTGGGCCGACGCAGACGGGTGCTGCGGCGTGGGTGCGATGACGCTACGGTTGGACGTATGAAGGGGATCTGCGAGGGGAGGGTATCTATCGTTGTGGGTGCTCGGGTGAATTGAGGTTGGGTGGCCCTGAGGTTGGAAGATAGCCTGCGCTGCAGGGCCACGAGAACGATGTGATGTGTTAGACGCCTGCACGCGAATGGGGGAATGGGAATCCTCGGCCTGCCGCGACGGCAGAACTCGGATGCTCTCCGGTGACCGTGGTGGCGTTATGTGGGGGTGTGCCGATGGTGCATATCTTGAACCAGTGGCGTACGAGAGCGTCTGGGCGTAGCGAGCGGGAGGAGGGATATCCGCAGGATGCGCAGGCGGGGGGGCCTGAGATCCGGATCGAGATCGCGAGTGGTGAGACGAAGACTGTGGTCCGTACTTGTAATCCCGCCTACTACTTGTTGGTGAGGGTGCGCCATCGGACGAGATGGGTACGTCTGGTCGACCATCGGGATACCGTAGCACCATGCGCGGGGGCAGCGAGTGTGTGCTGGCGGAGTCCGACTCGCTCGGGCCGTAGCTTGGCGCGTCTGGGTCATCGCTAATCGTAGACGGCGGGGAGGAGGGGGCGGCGAAGTGGATGCCCTGTGAGTGAACACTGACCCAGTTGTTCGTGCGGTCGCGCGCCGTGAGGAACTCATGGATAGCCTCGGGGTCAGTGGCGTACTCGGTCATGTTGGGCCAGAGAACAAAGAGGGACAGGTAAGAAATGTAAGCAGGAGGGCCGTTCGAACAAAAGAGCAGGAGCGCTGGGGACGACAAAGATACTTATACCTCCCAGGCGAGAGGCTCAGACGAGTGGCACGGGGGGCTCATGCAGCCACCTGGAGCGGCGATTTCTGAGGTCATCAACGATTTCCCACACGAACAGATTTCGGTATGCTAAATGAATCCGGTGGAATTCGCCGCTATTGCCCGTCCAAGGTTATCGTCCCAGGAACGTGTTCGAGGCGAGGCGTGGTCTTGAACGCTCAGATTATCTCGATCAGTCCAGGTCAGGCTCGTATCCAGCCGCAGCCTCTGCAGCTTGTCTGTGAAGCTTGTGAGCAGAGCTCGACCCGCAGAATATGTTATGGCATACCTCTCATTCGTTGTCGTGCGGGCGGAGAAGATCATGGATCATGGCGAACGCGCTCGAAGATGTTGGACGCGCGCAGCGGGCCCGCCAGCGGCGCAGTTGGCCGCCACATTTGAAGCGCCGCACCAGCGCCGCTTCAAGCCGTCCGCCATCGTCTCTTCCTCCTCATCTTGCACCTTTGTTCCCGCAGACCATCCTGAAACCGTCCATTGAGTCAGCTCTATCCCGCTATGCTTGTTCCGTCTCTGTGCAGTACGCATTGCTGCGCTTCTAGGATATGTGGATGCTCGGCGGCCCAAGGAGAGCTATATGCAAACTGGGCAAGTGAGAACGCCGGGCCCGCTCCGCGATCCGATTCCCCTGAGGCAGCAGCACTGCCGTAGACCCAATCGCCGCAGGACGTCTCTGCAGTCGAGACGCCGTACCAACGCTTCTCGGCGTTCGGGTTTCTCATGATCGGAGAATTGGGTATCGCATGACCGGTCCAGCTCTGCCCATGGTTCCTCGGCCGCTTTCCCAGGTAACGCTGTACACACCGCTCGACACCCTCAGCAGCAGTCAATCACACCCGCCACCGCGGTCGCGGGTACCTCTCTCCGCACTGTCAACTACGGGCCTGCGATGGCGCGATGACAGCACTCAGCATCCGCCACTGCTTTCCCCAGGACACCCACAAATTTGCCGAAGACGTCCGTTGGAGGGGACATCACGCTCACATCACCTGCAGGTTTTCATTTAGACGGCGGTGGTTATCGACGCTGGGCCGAGGATGCGAACGCTCGCGCGGCTGTCCAACTTGCTTTCAGGCCACGCCGGCCTGCGCAGGTAGGGAGGGCGACAGCCGCTTCCGACAGAGGGTCTGCCGACCTCGTGTTCTGTCATTCGCACTCGCCGTGGCGTCCTCTCATGCGCCCTGGCCACCGCGCGACAGCGCGAGGACCCGTGGCGATCGTTGGCTGGCCCTGGCGGGAATGACCTCTGGGTGAGTTATCGTTCAGTCCATCTAATCACAACGCGGCGGATGCCAGCCCTCCGCGTGGCCCTGGCATCATCCCCTGGTGGCGGGGTCGGATCTTCATGCCGTCGGGCCCACCTGTCGCTGCCCTGAGTGCGGGTACTGCTGCAGAGTGGCTTCGGGAATGCCATAGCTGCTGCAGATGCGGTGGGCCGAGCAGCTCATTACGAGCAGCTCCTTCCGCAGAGGGCGCGCCTGCTCACACGGCGCAGCATGTGATGACGCGTGCTTCTCATTGTCCGTCCTGTGAGGCATAGTTCGGGCGATGACGGAGGGCCTGACGCCGCGTCGCGCGCGGCCTTCATCTCCTGGGCTCGGTCGCGCAGCTGTCACTCCCACAGCGGCGGGCCACTGATCTTCTCGATTCAGTTAGCAGGCCGGTAGCTGCGAGACTATCAAGTAGGACCGCCACGATGCCTCATAGGAAGAGGAAGGACGCCGGATCGAAAGTTTCCTTACACGCGAGAAGGCAATGCTACGGGCTGCGGTGCGCGTGTTCCTTTACGTAGCAGACGGCGTGGTTTTGGGTTAGTTTTTGTTCCTAGCATATACGGCGTTTTGCTAAACACTTATGCGATGTTAAGGTTTTCTTAGCGAAAGGGCCCGAGCGTAACCTCTTGCGCCGTCTTAGTCACTCGGCCGCCCAACTTTGTCAGTCTTCGAACGAGGCTTCGCGACGGCTCCAACGGCACTCTTCCCTATCGCCTTCTGCCTTGCCGAGTCATTGCAAAGCCCTGACTTCCTGGCGGTAATGACCACTCGCCGAGCGCGGTATGTCGAGAACTCTTCATAAGTCGCGTTCGCAACATGCGGCTACCGCCAGCCCGTCCACAGTTCGCCTACCGCGTGTTCCATCTCCCGACGGGTCTAAACTCTATTCCCCGTGCCCACTCGTCGTCTCTGGATCCCGCGCTGTGGACGGCCCCCTCCAGGACCGCAGTGAACTCTCGTGGGCTGTTCCGTCTGCTGGGGTCTCTCGTCACAGCAGGCGCTCTCGTATCTCCAGCCCCCCCTTCTCCCGAGCGGGGTCGGCCTTCGCACTGGGCGCCTTCCAAAAGAACATCACCGCGGTCTATCAGCCACCAGCCCGAGCGCGCGCGTTGACGCTTCGCCCGCTGGTCAGACGTTCGTCTTGTCGCCGACACAGCGAAGTCACACCACCCCAGGCGGTCATCTGTCATAACTCCGGCGACTCCTGCGGTCTCTCTCGGCGGGGAAGCCGGTCAGGGCCGTCCTTACGGTATCGACGGCCAAACACCCGCAAAGCAACTGGACGACCACGATGGTATGCCCATGGACGGCCGATTTGGGGCCCTCCGACGAAGCTCGTTTGACTTTTGCATTGCTCACGAGGTCGAAGGCTTCGTAACTCGGTGCGTCACTGGTTCTACTCGCGCGCGCCACTGTTGATCCTCCGCCTTGCGATCGAGGGGGCGCTGGTTCTTCCAGTTTGGCGTCGACGTGGGATATGGCGCGAGAGTGGTAGTGGAGGCGCAGTTGCCGCGAAGATGTACCAGCGACCGGGATGTTGACGGCGTTGACGTCTATGAACAACAGCCTCGGACGGGCCCGATCAATACATAAGCACCGCGTCGTGGTTTGCCTCCGTAGTCGGCGGGATGGGTAACTACCGTTTGCCGCGCACGACGACCCCTCGATCGCGAACCCGTCTAATCTTTGACATAACGCACAAAGATACCCCAGTTCAGTTTAGCAGTACTCCGTGACCACTAGCGTTGCGCTCGTGCCCCACGATGGAGCGTATCCTTCGCCTCGAGATCGAGGGGCCGGTCGATGTGGGGTATGGGGGATTGGCGGGGGAGCCGAATTTGCTTCCGCGAAGCGTTCACACCAGATACTACCAGATAGCGCGATCGAGATGACTGCATTGTGGTCTGCCCGCAGCCATGTGTAGTACGGCGATTTGATATATGCTATATTGCGCAGTCAGACTGCACATGCGGTTGAATTCACTAGATACCCCAAGTACCCCAGTCCACACGTACCATAAGCTCGCCTTTCCTCTGCGAATATGTTAGTCACAATATTAGTGATTATCAGGATCTGAGTCGACAAATTACGCGTCAACCGACGTTAGTGCACATTGTCGATGTACTGTAACATGTAGTGGTGGCTATAAGAGAGAAAGAAGTCTTTTCTAGCACACTACTTATCGATATACTATATACTTGCTACCAGACTTGCCCGCTGCTTGTATCATGGAAGCGCCGGATGTTCAATAGCATGTGACGTCATCGCCCGCGTATCCCGGGCGCTAGCGGTAACCCGCCACTCGTCCCCGAATGCAAGATTGTCTCTCTTCTACTCATACCACCACCATCTCATAACGGAAATGTCGCATATAACCACCTCGCTCGCGTACTCGACGGACTCTGCGGGCATGCACCCCTCACACACCCTTCCGATCAAGCTCCGTGCTATCGCGGCTGCAGGATTCAGTCAGGCTGAACTCGGCTTTCCCGACCTCGAGGCTTACGCGGAGCAGGAGTTCTCCGGGTACCGGAAGTTGGATGATCACGGCAACGGCGACCTCGACAAGCTCCTCCAGGCGGCCGGGAAAGTTAGCGAGCTTTGTAAAGAGCTCGGGCTCTCAATATTGGCGGTGCATCCGTAAGTTCCGCTTAATCAACGGATCATTTGCAAGATGTTTTTCATTGCGAACATTTATTGCTCTTAGCAGGTTCTCGCAATTTGAGGGATACGAAGACGCGCAAAAACGGGCGATTGGATTCGAGCGGGCCGCCGCATGGTTCAGAGTTCTCAAGGTCCGACACAGAGCCGCACCTCTGCTTTAACAAATACACGCGTGGATGCTAAACTCATGATAAGTAGGCTTTGAACTGCCAATTACTGCAAATGGGCTCTACTCCCGACCCATCGACAAGCAGTGAATATGATGTCATCGCGCGCGACTTGAGACAGCTCGCGGACGAAGCAGCCGCCCAAGACCCACCAATCCGCATGTATGTGTCAATCTTTCGTAACATGGCAATAGGATCACTGAAAAGCTCCAGCGCATATGAGATGTGGGCTTGGGGCGTTCATGTGTGCGTTGGCCTCCAGCGCCCTGCTCCGCACATGACGCTCAATGTTTGGACACTATAGGAACACATGGGAGCACACCTGGGAGGTCTGCAAGCGCGTCGACAGGCCAAACTTCGGCCTCTGTCTGGACACGTTCCAGATATGCGGTACGCGATTCGTCAGAAGATCACTCGTCTCCACCTTTGTTCTGACCTCCTGCCCTACCCCACAGCACGCGCTTATGCTGACCCAACGGTTGCCAACGGGCTCCTCCAACATTCACCCGAGGGCTCCGCAATTCTGCACCTCGCTTCCTCTCTAAAGGCGCTCGCTATCACTCTACCGCCGGAGAAGATCTTCTACCTCCAGATTTCCGACGGTTCGCGCAGGGTCACGCCCGAGGCGTTGGAGAAGAGCGCGGAGGAGCAGGGTATCAGTCCGCTGTATGCGTGGTCCAACGCATGGCGCCCGCTCCCCAACATGGACACCGTCTGCCCACGGGGAGGCGGGAAGACCTGGGGTGGCTACCTTCCCGTTATTGATGTTTGTGAGGCAGTGCTGAGGACTGGCTGGCGCGGTCCGTGGTCGTATGAGGCGAGTATATGCGTGTCATCGGTCGTTAAAGTAGATGCTGACAGAACGATTGATCTAGGTGTTCTATGAGGAGGATATGTCGAGGAAGGACGGCGACATTCCGACAAAATGGACGGAGGCGGCGATAAACTGCCATTGGTTGCTCGCGAGACATCTTCAGGAGCGTGGATACTAACCAGCTAGATGCTGCTTCCATCAATGCAAATGTACGAATCTCAACCCGGGGTCTATTGGTGATCATCATGTAAGGCGCATTCGTGTATGTTGTGTGCACACCCTGCCTCCGCGCGGGTCCGACTCCGCGTTCGGGCGGTGGAAGGAGCTTGGGCGCCGCAAGTGCAGATGGGGCCCAATTCGACAACTGGTGAGTAGCTTTTGCTATAGTTGCGCGCTCCGTCTGAGCTTACGGATGGACAGGCCTCGCTGATCACCTCAATCAGCGGACCAGCGAAGATCAGGTAGAGCGCGTGACCAAGCATTCCGCGCTCACTCACTATTACTAGTCACTAAGACTCACAGTTCTCGCGATGTCAGCCTTGACCAATCTTAGCGTTCGCATACCTGGGCGTCTCTCACAACGGTGCGGGGTTCTATCTACGGTGAAGTGTTACCCGTTTCACGTAGAGCGTCGCGAAATCCAGGCTCACCTCTGGTACATGCCCATCATACCGTCTTTGCCATCCGGGATATCAGTCAGCACGCTCGCCAACATAACCGCCCCAAGGTTCAATTTTGCTGAATAAGCTCGAAGTCGAGCGGGGAGGTGCACGCTATATAGAGTTGCGAGGTAGTTTGCAGAGCTCACCATTCCTTGACACCCCGTAGACAACCATGGCGGAATTTCTAACAGAAGCGGCTCCCAACACTTCCTACTTCACCCCGAAGCAGGTCCCGCCCGCTGGCACAGCCGCACCGTCCAAGGATAGCCAACCAATTCCATCGCTCTTCCAGCCCCTCAAGATCCGCGGGGTTGATTTCCAGAACAGGCTCTTTGTGCGTACTATCCGCGCTGAGCGACTAGCGAACTAACAAGTGCAACAGGTAGCACCTATGGCCCTATCCTCTGGAAGCAGCGAGGGTGCCGTCACCCCATTCCATACTGCACTAGGTGCGTCGCTCTAGCCTCTTACACAATTGCATCCGCTCAGTCGTTGATCGACGTCCATTTGACTAGTGGGCGGGATCATACTGCACGGACCGGGGCTCACCATCCTCGAGGCGACCGCCATCTCCCCAGAGGGCCGCGTAACGGTACACGACGTCGGCCTGTGGTCCGACGACCAAGTCGCACCCCTCCGCGCGCTCGTCGAGTTCGCGCACAGCCAGGGCCAGAAGATCGGCGTCCAGCTCGCCCACGGCGGGCGCAAGGGCTCCCTCGCGCCGCCGTGGCAGGCGAGCTACGTCCCCATCCCGAACGCCCTGGGCGGATTCCAGGACGACCTCGTTGCGCCCTCCCCACTCGAGTACGTCGAGGGTCCGCGGAAGAAGCCGTCTCCGATAGACGAGGTGCTTAAGGCGAGGCGGGCGGCGGCGGAGCCACATCCGCCGAAGGAGCTCACGAATGCAGAGATCCAGGAGATCGTCGCAAAGTGGGGCGCCGCGGCGAAGAGGGCGGTCGATGCGGGGGTCGACGTGATCGAGATTCACGCCGCGCATGGTTTCCTGCTGCACCAGTTCTTGAGCCCGGTGACAAACAAACGCACGGACGAGTATGGCGGGAGCTTTGAGAACCGCGCGCGGCTCTCGGTTGAGGTGGTGGACTCGATCCGCAAGAACATCCCGGACTCTGTCCCGCTCTTTCTGAGGTGCGTCATTCTTTCCTGTGCGTCGTGGCGCTGAAGCTTACTTGCGGGATACGTAGGCCCTCGGCGACCGACTGGCTGGAACAGGTCCTCCCCAATGAGCCATCATGGCGCCTCGAGGACACGATCCGCCTCTCCGAGCTCGTCGCGGCGCATGGCGTCGACCTCATCGACGTCTCCTCCGGTGGACTTGACTCGCGGCAGAAGATCGAATTCGTCGCGCCCGCGTATCAAGCGCACCTCGCGGAGGCCATTAAGAAGGCCGTCGGCGACCGCGTGCTGGTGGGCGCGGTTGGCGGGATCAAGACGGGCACGGTCGCGCAGGAGGTGCTAGACAAGGGCCAGGCGGACGTCATCCTCGCAGGTACGGTGTTCTTGAAGAACCCGGCTGCGGTCGAGACGTTCGCGGAGGAGCTAGGGGTGGAGGTCAAGATCCCGAACCAGACCGACTGGGTGTTTAATGGGCGGGGGAGTATCTGGCGCTGGAAGAAGTAGTGGCGAACGATCGCCTTCATACTGGCCTTCACATACTAGAGGACGGGTGAACGCGCTGTATGCCTAGAGTGCTTAATACAGATGATAGAATCGAATGGGGCCGCCTCCAAGGATCATATTTGCGGAACATATATATCACGCCCACGGGGGCACACTTTAGGTTCTGGTACCTCGCGGATACAAATGTTCCAACATCACGTCGACAGCCGGCAACGATTGGCAACACGTCGGGAAGCAGGGCGGTCAAGGAAATGTTTCTGACGAATGTAATAACGACACCGTGCGCTAACGCCTGGCGTACTCCCTGCTGAGCACTTGGGCGAGTTCTCTCCATTCTGTCCCACGCGCGGCGATGTCCGCATGTACGAGACGAGCGGCGTCGGCGTTCTCCTGCATCGAGAGCGTAAGCACCTCATCTATAAGACGCGCGTAGAGACGCGCAAGGCTTACTGTGGTTGAAGGTTTGCCATTGAAAGGTTCGAGGCCTGCGGAGTACCGATCAAACTCGGAGATGAGCTGTTAGTATCGAACACATGAGCTCTCATTTCCGTGGTGCGAGCTGCGCGGCAGACCTAGCCCACCTCGTTTGCAATCTGTCTGATGACCCCGAACAGCGGCTTTTGCTCCTGGATCTCGTGTAGGAGGTACTGTATGTTCGCGATTACCCCCTGCCGAGAGTTCGTGTTTTCGTTGAAGACGTTTTGTCCGCCGGTGGGCGGGAGTGCGTTCCCTGTGGTCAGTGCAGGCACCCTGCGGGTAAAGATCAGAGATGTGGTTTTGTGCAACGAGATCTGTTTGCATACAGGCGCACTATCTCCGTGTGGTGTAAAAATAGGTCGATCTCTCCACCGAGGGTGTCCAGCCGGGACGCGTAACTGTCATCGGTGGCGGAGAGTGTCTAGAGGTACGGGGTGATCAGATCGGATGTTTTTGTAACCCGAGTCCCGAGCGGCGTACCTTTCTGAACGTCCCCAGTTCGTGTATAACGTCGCCAGGCTGCGCTTTGGCGAACGCGGGTTGTAGAAGGGTGTACACTGGAGCATACGAGGTGGGGCTGTGGGGATATACACGGGGTATTTTTGCGGCGCTCACTATCGATGACAGCAGAGAGTCTGGTGGCGGCAGTCTGGGAATCGTCGACAATAGCCGCGTATGTCTGCATATATTGTTGGGCGTGAGCTATATGTCCTTGGTTCTCCGTGGGGGTAAGGATTTACGGCGACACGCCGAGCCCATTGCGACTCGAGCTCGGGAACTTGGTCGAAGTGGTTGTATATCTGGTGGCCAACGGAGCGGAAGGACGTCTCTGAGGTGCTTGCGCGCTGTTTGAGGTTCCGTAAAGTGTCTGAGTAGCTCGAAAAAGAGTTTTGTTGAGGCATTGCAGCGGATACTGACGGGCACCTGTGCGGTAGTAGAGAGGTGCATGAGGGCTGCGGGTCTCCAATGATGAGAACTTACCTGTCGAGTACTAGGCTGCTCCGAGATCTACAATAGCACCTGCGAAGGCCCGGCTTGAGCTTGAGGGTGAGGCCTTGAGGCCGGGTGTGATTGAAGCACCGCGACACTGGTCGAACCGTAGCACCGGCGGCAGCTCGTTGAACGTTAATGTGAATAAAGTTTCAAGAAGACGCTGGAAGTTTTGACGTCGTAGTCCAGGGGTTGAAACCACCGCGGCCCAATGGTGGTACGTTGAAGAGACTCTTAGGGATATGCGGATTCACTGTTGTGGCAGGACGAGGGGACGATGCCTCACGACAGGCGGCGACTCTGCCATTACATACATAGATATGCAAGCATCGTGGGTTAGGCACCCCGTGACGATCTTCTTGAGCTTCGCCGCGATATGGGCCTGGAAGGGGATCTGCAGAGCTCTAGCCACCGCGTCGACATTGAAGAGCAGCTCCAGTATGAAGTGCCATCTTGGCTTGCCATCCCCACCCAGGGTCACCCTCATCGCACCGCATCCTCGGAGATGCGCGTTTCCTCTGATGTCGCCAAATTCCCTCATTGTACGTGCTGCTGAACACTTTCGCACGTACATAGTCGAGATCATAGATACAAGTGTGGTCTTGCATATTGCGAGAAACTGACCAGTTAGCAGACGAATCCCAGAACGGCTTCCCGTCTGACGCAGATGGATCAGCAACAACTTGAAGAACGATATCCGGGGAATGTCGAGGCCGACGTGGACTCTCCGAGTAAGACGGATGCCGGGTATGATGTGTGTGAAAGGGCACGACACTCACCAAGTACATAGGCCAGGCCAATTCATAGCAGAGCGGAATCCAGACACTGTGTACTGCTCAGGAACGTTTGCCAGTGGTTTTGGCGTACTCGTTGAGAAGCATATGGGAGAGTTTCTTCCATTCGGCTGCATGTGCAGCGACGTCCGCATGCACGCGTCCGGCGGCGTCGGTGTTCTCCTATAAAACAGCGTCAACACTTCATACATGGTCACCGCGCAGGACGCGAGTACGGGCGCGTAAGGCTTACTGTGGTTGCACGCTTGCCCTGGAAAGGCTCGAGCGCTGCCGAGTACCGATCAAACTCGGCGATGAGCTGGGCACAACAGATGAGCTCTCAGCTCCGAGGTGCACTCGGGATGACATTGGCAGATGTGTGGCTCACCTCGCCTTCAATTTGTTTGATGACGCCATACAGCGACTTCTGTGCCTTGACCTCGTGCAGGAGGTACTGTATGTTCGCAACCACCTTCTGCTGGGAATCGGGGCCTTCGTCGAAGACACTTCCTCCGCCGACTGACGCTGCCACAGTTGCTGCGGTGGATTCTTTCTGACCTCCCAAAGACGTACTGAGAACGCGGCCCAGCCATGTGATCATGCCTAGCGTTAGCCAGTCTGCATACTCCGCCACGCGGCGTGTAGCTGACTGCAGCGTGGCCGAAGCAATTTCGAGCCACCCAGGCAGCGAACTATACAATTTTAACTATCTGTCAACTAACTGTGACCCAGATGCGAGGCGAGGCGAACCTGTTGGGTGCCGGCACTCCAGTCGGTGGCTGCACCAAGTGCGCTAACTCCGGGAGGCGCAAGAAGTTCCCGATATCGCCGCTAAGGGCGTCCAGCTTGGACGCAAAGCTATCACTGTCAATAGCAGATAATGCCTAAAGTATTCGGGGTGAGTCTGTGTAAGTTCGGGCGACCTACAAGTCCCGACCGCCCTTACCTTCTTGAAAGTCGTTAGTTCGTGGATAACGTCCCCAGGCTGTGCTTTGGCGAATGCGGGTTGAAGCATGGTATACACTGAAAGCATGGGATGAGCTAGAGTATGGGGATGTATCAGGGACGCGTCATGTGGCGCTTACTGTCGATGACCGCGGAAAGTTTCGTAGCGGCAGTGTGCGAATCGTCCGCAATACCTGTGTAGGCCTACATAAACAATAGCACATCAGACAGGAGTCGTGGAATACGGCTGAGGAGGAGGACTTACGGCGACACACCGGGCCCATTGCGAAGGGAGCTCGGGCGATTGTTCGAAGTGGTCGTATATTTGGTGGCCCACTTCGCGGAAGGCTGGCTCTGAGATACTTGTGTGTTGTATGAGCTGCCGTAAGTTTGCTGAGCAAGACGAGAAGGATTCTGCATTGATCATTGCCATTGTGGCGGGACTAGTGGTGGAGGATGGGCTCCCGCACAGTAAGCATTTGAACGAAAGGCTACATACTGAGGACTCATTTGCTGACCACCAGAGCGTTCAGAGTGATGAGGTATATGAGAAGGAGAGCTGAGGGTTGTCGTAGATGAGCTAAGCAGTCGAGGCTTGAGGATCGATTCAACGAAGTAGCTACTGCAGTTCAGGGCGGTGGACGGTGGCACTGGCAGTCTGGCGACTTGGCGCACAGTACGCAACGACACCTCAGGGAGAGTCACTACACTGCTGCGATATGCGGGGGAGAGTCTCAGGATTCAGCGATACTCGGGTTCACTGTCGTAGTGGGAGGCAGAGGGTGGCCGGGCACGAGGATTCCTCAAGGCAACCTTATACGCGTATATATATGAAAGTCGTCTTTCATAGCCCCCGCACCCTATTTGCCACAATTCTATCATCCAGCGACGATCTTGCCAAAAGAGAGGCGCAACGACAGGCATAACCTGGGACATACTATAAACGGTGTCATTCAGCTGCTCAAGAACACATAACTATACTGCCATGAATAGCGACGAACGTTCATTCGCAGTAATGGGAGCTCCGTAGACTCCAAGTCGTGCTGCGATTGTAAACTTGAAGTATTTGAAGACTATGAATTTGGTGAGAGGACTCGCGGCGAGGAAGTGGGTACAAGCAGCTGCAGGTGGACGCCGCCGTTCCTAAAAATGTGCCCGTCGTGTACTTAATGGGCGTTAACGAGGTCCATTTGAACTGGTGCAGAGAAGAGAGGGAGAGCAGAGTACGAACGCCCCATCGTGACCAGCTTGATGGTGGTCGTTGAAAGAGAAAGACGGAGAAAGCGATTGCCGGGGAGTAGAACAAAGTGGGAAATAAAGCGCAGATTATGCAGGTCCGAAGAATTATGTCAGTATCGCCCGCCTAGCTCAATCGGATAGAGCGTCAGACTCTTACTAGCGGGTGATCTGAAGGCTGCGAGTTCGACCCTCGCGGTGGGCTAGTGTTTTGTTTTGCTCCGTTAGGGTCAAGATCGACATATGTCAAGTACTGAGAAGCGTTCATACGCATTACTCCATACCTCTTAGAATTGTGCGTATCGTCCAAATCTATCATGATCATGCATCGGCACAAGCAACGTGTAGCGCGTTCCATGAGATGGCCGAGCCGCCACACGAAAGGCCCGTGATAACATTCTCTTTAGGACCATACCCACCACCAGCCTTACTGGTAGCACATCGTTGGAGATACGTGCCTCTTCTGAAGCATTTGATACCCAAGTCGCAGCCGCCAGAGTGCATAGGGTTACCAGACGCTGACCGGTTAGAAACGCAGTCACCAGTCATTCTGATCGAAGCTGGCGTACCCATGGCTGGGGAAATATTGCGGAAGGTTGAGGGCCGGCGTGAATCCCCCGAATAAGACGGGGGTCGGTGTTCACTGTGTGGGAAACCGTACGACAGCGGATGGACGGAGACTTCGCTAAAGGATTTGCACACTGATAGCCAAATGGGGAGGGGTGTTTCCAAGTTGCCGCACCTTTACAGAGCTTCCTTTCGTAGTACGTGAAATGGCGGACATAATGTACACCTGCGTGACCAATGTTTACGTTGCACCCCAAACCGTGCGCGCCACGTCTCGAACGAGCGTCAACTTCTTCACCATGTCCTGAACGCGAGGACTCAGCACGTCGCTCATTGGAAAGTACCAGGGAAGCGAGCATACCTCGTAAGTCACCGCCGCAAATCCGGGAGCGTGTGACGCGAAGCCGCATTGCGTGCTTATGGAGAGTCTAGTGCGCAAGTCAGAGCTTGAACGAAACGCGCCCGTGCCGGATTTTCACATACTGATCGAGGGCCTCTTCCACGGAGCGCGGCACTTCCCCGCGTGCTATCACCTCGGCGGCGTCCATGATACGCCCGCGGAGGACGACCGGATCTTCGAGCTGCGTTTGAGCGGGCGATTGGGGCGTCAGCTTCTGCATATCTTATCATGTTCCGGGAAAGCGCGTACCTCCGGGGACTTCGTCGATACCAGGCCGAGGACAACGTGTTTGTTTCTAGGGAGATACTGGAGGGGCTCGAAGGTTCCTGCCCGTTCGGTGTCGTACTCCAGCTAAACGGTTGGCCTATCAAATCACTGCCGCCACCCATCGCACGCACATGATGCAGACGTACGTAGTACTGCTCGAACTTGAGATCATTGAATAGCTTCTTCGCAATGCGATTGTATGGACCCCAAATGAATGGTTGGCGGTCGGGCTGCGAGAGAATTAGCGCGTTGAGACGGAACATCTAAACATAGGCGACGCCGGACGCACCCTTACGTTCCCCCTGCATATGTGAACACTGACGAGCAAGTCCGAAGGCTTTTCGGCGATACACCCGTTTAGGACGCGGATGTACGTGTCGAGAAGTGCCTCAGGATCGACTGCTTCTTTGAGCATAAGTTGCCGGAGCTTCTCGTCGCAGAACGACACCAAAATCGGATCATCTATCTGAATGTGCCCTAGAAAGCGACGAGTAGCAGAGTCGCTAAGATTCCCGAGCAAGAAACCGGCAGCGTCACTCACGGCAGCCCCTTGAATACAGGTCCCGGAACTCGTCCCGATATATCTTAATAAGGTCCGCGAAGTAGTCATCTGCGCGTAAGAAGACCGTCAACGCCGCTCCGAAGGCCTCGGAAAGGTCTCGGCTCACCGTCATTCGCGTACGCGGTCGATTCGTACGTGTACTTGCCGTGGCGGAAGTGGTACCATTCCGGGGCGCCCAAGGTCAATTTGAGCTTCTGTAGGTTCTATCGCGGCGACGGTGAGAGCGGTTAGTGGCGTGCCTGCGGAGACAAAAAGGGTGGTCGCATGACGTCCTCCCGGATAAGCATACCTCAGGACCCGCGAGCTTCTTGAGGAAGTCGAACGCTTCGCCGTACAGGGGTTTCGTCCGCTCTAGCTTCTTCTGCAACGGAGCGGAATTAACGGATGATCCGAGGCGGGATGACCGGGGCACGCACTACGCAGATTCGGGTGGTTGGCATGTAACGGACGAAGTTGAAGGTCTGTCGAAGGCATCGAGTGAATCATTTTGTCTTGCTGCTAGACGAATGGAGGCGTCACTATACCTGAAAAAGATGCTGCGGCGCTGCAGGGCAGAGAATAGTTAGATTCTGCGTGATATCGTCAGTTGCATCGAGTAAAGGCCCACGGTCGTTGATCACGTTGAATCCGTCCAGGCAGTCGAACAAGCCATCGTAAAACATGGTACTGCGATGGCTCGTGAGCGACGACCCTGAAGTTGAATGTCCAAGAGCGTACCGTCGATATTCGCCATCGGTGATGGTATCGAGACCCAAGTTCAACTGGATGCGTACGGCCTCAACGATGCTCTCATCTTCGACCGCCTTGAGCTCTTCAGTGGTGCATTTCCCGGCTTGAAAGTCAGATCGCTTCTGCAAAAGAACGTCAGGTCGCTTCAGAGAACCTACGTGTTCTGCACGGGAGACAAACATGTCAGAGGCGGTGAGTCCGGCACTGGCATGCCTCCGAGGGCAGTATATATACTACGCACCAGCACAATAATACAGCCGTGACGACGTACATCAGGTCATACCGGCGCGCCGTCAAAGGAGCCCAAAACGCGCAGGCTGTGTGTGGCTTAGAAGGCCGGTGGAGTGCCCGTCTCATCGCGCGGACTGTAAAGCGGGTCACAAGGGGCGTCTGCGGCGGCGCGGTGCAGATAGTGGCGCTGTGGCAGTATCTGCTGAATAGGATGCGATGAAGATCATGCATGGATGCGATCATGCGCGCCGTGCAGGTATCCGGTAAATAGACGCGAGCACGGAAGACAAGCTGCAGGATGGAGAAGAGCCGGAGTCGGTCGCCGCGCCGAGGGGTCCCATGGCGGATGTCACAGGTCCGAGCGTGGGGGCGAGGCAGAAAATCACCGAGCAGCGGGTCATCCGGCAACTTAGATTAGACGATAAGATGTGTCGTTCGGGACGGGATACGCAAGGATGCACAGGTTCTTTGAGGCCACCTCAGCTAGAAACTGACACCCAGTTCGGAGCTTTTTCGTGCCCTGACGTGTATCGGCTAATAGGACATACTAAACTGAGAGTGGTTAACTTATGGGAGCCTCGTAAGCGTATTGAGGACTCACAAATGTTATAGATGACAAATGCGTGTCAGTACCATACCCGTAACAGGCCTGACATTGGCAAATCGAGAGAGCCCTATATGTACTTATCTGCACTATCAAGTCTCATGTGCCTTTGCAGAGGACCTGGTGCGTGTTGATAATTGGCACAAAAGTCGTACCAATGCAATGAAATACTCATTGAACAGTAGGTCGAGTGAATTGTCAGAGCTCAGGGACTAGAAGGGAACGGTGGTTGGCAAGAGGCAAGTCATGTAAGCGCCCATCCGGCGTAGGCGTACTTCGGAATCTGCCGGCGCGTCGCATCATTCCTCTCACTCTTCCTCCGAGTCCAAATCTCTTGGACCTCTTTTGTTACCCTCGTCCCACGACACTGCGCACAAGACGAGCAAGAAAACTATGATTTATACTCTGCTCCGTATAACGAAGCAACCTCAGCTACTTGGCGTCAACAGATGCAAAAATTTAAGAGCTTGGTGCGTCGGCCCCACATCGTCCTAGGATTTCAACACAACATCTCCGGTGATGTTCGGCTATGGATGCAGGGCCCGATTCATCCTATCACTTTCAAATTGAACTGCACATGCTACTAGAATTTCCTCGAAACTACTATAAGCTGATCTCATGGTTGGCAGATACGACCGGCACCACAAACTCAAAAGGCACAGAGATATCATTGCCGGGCATCCTCAGTGGCCGGTGTTTTCCTAACGCACCGGTGCCACGCCTGCCTTCACCGTTCGTGAAACAGGCGGCGTGGCTCCCAAACACTCGGAGACAGTAGTTCACACTCTTGGATGGAAGTTCACTCAATTCTGGCAGCTCTCGGGCGCAAGAGCGGCGATGTGGGCCACCTGCGCAACAAATGCGTGCTTGTAATTGGCCATCCGTCGGTTACCAGGCTTAAGGAATGTATGCTGGTCATAATGGCACCGAAATCATCGATCGATCGCCGTGCCTTACGGCGTGAGCGTCTGCGAACGGAGTCTATAAGATATTTACTCACGTTCGCGCAGCCAAATTTACACCCTGCGCATGAACCATCACCTTTCCAGATCTACAGAACACGCTTGACAGGATGTCTGCAGGAACTGCCCTGGCTCCGATCGTCTTCATGGGCCTGGTAAGCTACCGCCGCTGCCTACTGTCACGGGAAATCCAACGGACTCACTCTATTGTTCGGCACAGGTTGCGCACCAGCTTTTCAAACGACATGAGACGTTTGATATTGCCTACCACATATCTCTTTTATGTGGCCCGATATTTTTGGGCACTGCGCTGCTTTCTCCAAGCTTGCCGCTCCTGAGAGCGACATACGTCTCCGCTGGCACCTATCTAGCGAGCCTGATCATCTCCACATTGGTCTACAGAGCTTCTCCCCTTCACCCGCTTGCGATATACCCGGGCCCTTTTGGATGCAGGTTGACAAAATTCTGGATGGCCTCCGTCAGCTTCACTGGGCAGCAACACAATTACATCAAGAGCTTGCACGATCGATACGGGGACGTCGTCAGGATTGGTGCGTCCGTGTGTTCTTTAACCCGTCTCTTTGAAACTCAACGTGTACGTTGTAGGGCCGAATGAAGTTTCCGTAAAGGACCCGTCCGTTGTGCACGCGATGCTGGGGCCGACCGGTTTACCCCATGGGCCAAGTGAGTCTCTCGTTGCGCCGACGTTGCTAGGATTTGACACGACACTATCCAGTGTACTACGGAAAGTTACTTGTACGGAAGCCGGGGGATATGCCTATGCTGGGCATCACGGACACAGTCGAGCACCTCAGGCGACGGAGACCTTGGGCGCGTGCCTTCAGCGGCCCAGCCATAAAGGAATATAAACCTATGGTAGCTTCACGGACGCTGCAGCTTGTACAAGCTCTGCAGTCTCAGCAGGGCGAAGTCGACATCGGCAAATGGATTAATTATTTCAGGTGCGCAACATTCCGTTTCAACTTCGAACGACTGACCGACGTGCAACGTGTTCAATCAGTTACGATTTCATGTGTGACATGGCGTAAGTGAAAGACGATCAAAAATGCCTGCACTGATTGTTTACCATCAGGTTTGGGGGAGGTTCCGAGCTCTTGCGCGATGGCGACTTGAACAACTTCTGGGAAATGCTGGAGAACGGACTGCCGTGCGTATCTATAGCCGCACTATGCTTTGCCATGAGCCTGACAATTTCTCAGGCCAGGCACATTCGTGGGCCATGTCCCGTGGCTAGGCCCCTACCTCGCTCGCATCCCCGCTCTCACAGCTGACCTCCAAAAGGTGCTCGCACATTGTCAGAGCCTGACCGTAGGGAGAATACAGCGCGGCGCTCAGCGCAGGGATCTTTTTCATTATTTGGTGCGCCCTCACATACCCGGCTACGCCCCAGATTTTGTTTGACATATTAACAATTCATCTATGAACACGCTAGAACAACGAAGACGAACCGGAAACGCAGCCCCCACCTCTCAAATTGATCGTTAACGAGGGTGTTGTCGCAATCGTGGCGGGATCAGACACCGTCTCAATCACGCTCACAAGCATCTTCTTCTGCCTTGCGACCCATCCTGAAGCGTACAAACGTCTGGAAGAGGAGATTGACCGCTTTTATCCTCCCGGCCAAGATCCATATAACACGGAGCACCATCGTGAGATGTACTACCTCACCGCCGTCATGTAAGCCCATTCAGCGTCGCCTCAGCGGACTACCTCTGATAACGTCGTCCAGAAATGAGGCGCTACGCGTGTATCCGACTGTCCCAGGTGGCGTGCAGCGATGCGTGCCCCACGACAGCAATGGCGTAACCCTCGGCTCCATGTACGTCCCCCGCGTTCGCGTATGGGACCCCTTGTATCTGAAGCCGCTCGCGTCGCCTTCTCTAGATTCCTCCCACCAGGCACATCCGCATGGTACCACCAGCTCTCCGCCTACCACGACGCTCGCCACTTCTTCCCCAAGACAGACGTCTTCTGGCCCGAGCGCTGGCTCCTTGCCTCCGGGCGCCTGTCCTTCTCCTTCTCCTCCAACATCGACGAGGCGACGTTCGTGCACAACGAGGCCGCGTTCGTGCCGTTCTCGTACGGCCCGATGAACTGCGTGGGCAAGAACCTCGCGATGCTCGAGATGCGCGTCGTCGTGTGCGCAGTGCTGCAGAAGTTCCGGCTGCATCTGAGGGATGGCTGGGACCCGCGGACGTATGGAGAGGGGCTGAAGGACTTCTTTGTGACAACACGTCCACCTGTGCCGGTGACGCTGGTACCTCGGTTCTGAGTGCGATGCGAGAGAGGCTCTTCATAGGGTCGTATCGTAGCAAAATTATTGTACACCGTTAGGTATCCCGAGCTGAGAGACCGAATAGCTACACTGCTAGCCTGAGAATAAGGTAAAGGTGTTCGCGAGCGTGAACGTCGGGAACTCGAGTTCCACCTGGTCGTAAAAAGCACTCCAGTCTCCCCTACATCGCCGCAAACACAAATCAGTACCCTCTCATCCTCCTTGACACTATACTGGCACTCACCGCATACGCAGTCAGCGTGAGGTTCCTCACCGCCCCAACGCACACCGCCCTCCCGGGCTCAAGCACAAGCGCCTCCGAATCAAACCTATCCCACCGATTCCTCGACTCCACCGGGCACGCCGCGACAGCAAGAGTCGCCGCATAGCAGGCGTCCCGAACATCCACCACGCGCGGACGTCGCTCGCGCGCAGCGTGGCCGGGTCGATGGCGTAGCGCAGGTCGTTGTTGAGGCTGCTGTACTGCTCGTCGGGGCGAGTGTGCACGATGGCGTCGTAGGCCAAGAGCAGCGGACCGCGGCGGACTATGGGGCGTCCCGCGGGGCATGCATCTGTGTGCACAGTGGGGGTCGTGAAATCGCGCGAGGTGTGAAAGGATGCGCGGCATGCCGACGCGCCCGACCCCGGAACCTTCGGGCATGACGCCGACGAGCGCTAATATGCGAACTCTTCCTCTCTCATGCCATGTCATGCGGCGGCACCTAGGCCAATCGTCAAACCAAACCTGATCCTCTTATATATGCATAGGATGGGAATTTCAAGAGGAATCTCACGATCCGAGCCCAAGACAGGTCAGTCCAGTAGCAATGGGGACCCCATCGATTCCAATACGGCTGACGTTCGAGTCCCAACTTTCCTTCGCAAGACATGCGAGTTGGAGGCCGTGCAATACGTGCATTTGAGCTACCACATGCACCCGAGATATACCTATATATACATAGCAGCCCAAACAGTACCCTCGGATCCTCATTCGGAGGAGCAGGTTCGATCGCGCCTTCTCGTCACGGGCCTCGGCAGGGCATGCACAAGAGGCACATCGCACAAGATTGAATGAACCTTATATGCCTCGCCTCGCCTTCCAACCGTGCCCACCAACCCATATAAAATCGGGAGCCCAGCGCCAAACTCCCAACGTCTTGCCACCCTTACCCTCACCATATAACCCGGTATTTTCTCAACAAAAGCAACTCGAAAACACCCAGAGCTCGTCTACCGAACACGATGAAGCTATCCACTATTCTGGCGTCCCTCGCTATTGCCGCCGTCTCGTCCGTGCACGCAGGCCCCCTCACGGACGGCGTCTGCCAGACAGGTGAGCAGCGTCGCACACCACGAAGCACACCTGCTCAATGTGCTCAACCGCGACCGGCCCAGGCTGCAAGGCCGCCGCCGCCGGGTGCTACAGCGCCGCTGGGATGGTGTTCGGCGCAGTCACTGCCGGCATCGCAACCCCTGTGGTCGCCCTGGCCTGCAACGCGGTCCTCGACAGATGCCAGGCCGAATGTGCCATACAGGGAGCCGACGCTGTCATGCAGCACTGCGTGGATATCGATGGCGTCGACGGGGACACATTTTCGAATATAAAGTATAAATTGTGCGAGATCGACGGTGGGCAGAAGCCGCTGTTCGGCGTGTTCAAGGAGGCTGCCGGCGACGTGAGCTATGCTGTCTAGTTGTCGCCTCGCATTGTTTGGAGCTCACCCGTTCTACTGTTCCGTGCAGCTCGTGACGGAGTTCGATGGACCGGGTCGGTACGCCGCAGCGCTCAAGTCTCTCAAGGGCGATTCCGGAGCCAATGTGAGTCCTACGTATCTATATGCGTCTTGCACGTCCGCTCTCTATTCGGTGCTCATGATGTCTTAAGCAGGAGGCTGTGGACGTCGCTCGCCCCGCATATGCGGAAGCTGGTGCGCGTGTGGGTTGACTTTGGAGAGAGCGAGCTCGGATGCTCGCTGGTGGTGATCATGCGAAAGCTTAGGAAATATAGTAGGCATTCTGATCCTGCCACGAACACACCCTTGAGTCGGGCTTTCCTGTACATGTAACTTGGAGCTTTCTCTCGTCGATCCTGCTGTGTCTTTGTTGCATGCTGTCCTATGTCTCCCCTGTCAAGCTGTCTCCCTGATGATCTCGAGACTAGACGTCACGTTGTACGAATCGCCATTGCATATGCTATCGAGTCTAGCCCGGGGGTCTGCAGGTACAGCATTGGTAAACTGTTGCGGCTGGGGCATGGCAGGGGCTCGGTGCTCCTAGCCTCCTGGCTATCAATGCAATGAAATGTGCGACAGCGTGAATGTCGGGAAGTCGAGATCGACCCGATAGTCCAGACCACTCCCCTATACCCTCGCACGTGAATCAGCGCTGCACGAAATGGACACTTGCTGCTAGATGATCGCTCACCGCATATGCCGTCAGCGTCACATTCGTCGGCGCGGAGATGCACACCGCCTTCTCCGGCTCGGTATGCGAATCCCTATCTGGCTCGGGCGGCCAGACCTTCCATCCCGCCACACACGCAGCGACAGTGATCGTGCGCATCGGAGGGGTGTCCACGGACCATTTGGCGCGGATATTCGAAGTGCTCGTGCGCAAAGTGGACGGGTCGATGGCGTAGCGTGGCGATGCGTGGTGGGTCCAATAATACTCGTTGAACTCCAGAAGCGTGTAGGCTCGCTCGTCGTAGACGTAAAGCAGCGGTCCTCGGCGGACTGTTGTGCGCCCCAAGGAGCGCGATTCTGTGTGATACGGGTGTTGGTGAGATCGGGAGAGTTCTAGGAGATGAGAGTAACGCACCTGTGCGAATCGGCGCGTGGAGGTTGATGACTATGTTGGTCGTCCCAGATGCGATGCGGATGGCGTGCATTCCATTTGTCGGTGCGCAGGGGAGGAAGCCGCCCTCGTTGACCGATATATCTGCATCATTTGACCAGTCAGGGATGCGTATGTAGTACGTGAAGTCCTTCTCTGCAATGATCGTCGTCGACAGGGTGTCCGAGCTGAATGGGTAGGTCGTGTTTACGGCGACGGTGACCTTGTTTCCTGTAGATGTATCGTGTATCACCACTGGGCTGTCGACAGGCGCTCCTGAAGAAACCTTACCTCCAGCAAGCGTGGTGTTGGCAGTGAAGGGGCCTGGGTACACGTGAATGAGGGCCGCACGATCTGGTGTCGTCATGAAGGCATTGGAAATGAAGTCCGGCCATCCTTCAGGGTACATATGGATGTAACACCTGTGGGTGATGCAAGGCGGTATGAGACGACGCTGTGCCATGGTGGTCAAAACACTCGCCTGTTGTATTCATTTACGATCGGATCGTCTTGCAAAGGGTCGTCATAAGGTCTAAGGAAAGGGAATTTCTCTGCCGTGAGCAAAGATATCGCGATGACTCCCTCTAGCAAAATTGCCGTGAATGACATGTGTGTACCCACCCGTTGACGGGATATGACTCTCTGCAGAAACTCGTACTCCACATTCTTGACCACCCGTCTGCTCCTGATGTTAGCGGTGGACGATATTCCATCTATATTGCAAGTAACTCACTTTGGCTGCTAACCCAAAACGCGTTGTAAAATATACGCTCTGCGTGATCTGCGTACTGCGGATCGCTGGTGACTTGGTACAAGTATAAGACACTATTTTAGACACAAAAGCAAGTTGCATTCAGCACACGTCGATTAGGGGCAGTGTAAAATTGAACTCACGAGCGCATTGATTCCTACATGTCCCTATACGTATCAAAGCCTCGCCTTAAGACTGAGATCGTGTGAACTCGGAGCCTACCGTGACGGAATGAACTCTGTGGAAGTTGTGATTATGAGCGAGCGTTCCGCCGACAGCAAGAAGCTTCAAGATATCAATCGTACCTCCGATCGTAACCGTTGAAGCCCGCTACCTCGGGCGTGTATGTGCCTGATGGGTGTCCCTGGTGCTTCATAAGTGTCTTCCACGCTTCTCCAATCGCCTCACGGTCTTCCCGTTCACGAATAAAAGCCCGACAGTGGTCAGAATAATCTCTCGACTTTGTTTGCATGTCAATGCCATTCTCACCTGATATATCCCCACTGAGGCCATATCTGGCAGCCAAGGTCACAAGCGTCTTGATCGTGTTCATGCTGTGCCATTCGATTCCAGGATCAGACCCATCATAGTCGAACTCGACGATGAAGTCGGAGAGATGCAGCCAGGGGTCGAGCAGCATATGCAAACTGGGGAAGTACTGGATCCCAAGTTCAAACATTAGCCGAATACAAATGACCAATGGCGCGGGAGATGCATACATCCTTTCTGAAAACCTGCGTGAGCAAATCCTCTGTCTGCCGCTCGAGCATGCGCGTTGTCTCTGCGAGAACATTTTCCTGGCCATTTGGATGGAATCTGTACAGCCTACACGATCGGACCAGAAGATCAGGGGCGCGACCATAAGAACGAGGACGTACCATGCGATGGCTCTGAGAAGGTCGCCTGCGTGTGCACGCGCATCGTCGTCCAACACGCCCCCTTCATGCAGCATCTTATTCACGAGCCCTACGAATCTGTGCAGAACTGTCGCGACGCGCGGGGCGCGCTCAGGTTGTGCATCAGCCATACGCATCGCACCCAGGAGGAACGGAAATCTGCGGTGTCGTCAGCGCGCCCAATTAGCAGCAAGCGCGAATGGAGGGAACCGTGCCTTGGGGAGAGGAGTCGGCGACGTTGGATTGTGTTGACTTCCGGGCCCAGCCAGCCGTCGGAGCCCTGCGTGTCCAGGAAGTAATCGAGGTATTGCTCTGTCTGGGATTGTAGCGTGGCAATCCCAAGAGTTCCGGCGACTGACACCATGTCATTCTGATCGTCCGATGCTTCGTCGATGGTTGCGTGCATACGAGAATCCGTGAAGCTACTCACAAACCAGTGACTTCCAGCTATTGCGCCACGAGAGGAAGGACCGATGAGCTACTGAAACGCTGTGCTCCTAGCCTGCTGAGACACGAACCTGTTTCAATGGTGTAGTGATCCATTGGACGGGCTATCCACTCAGTCTGAGCATGTGATAGACTGACGGTACTTCAGCAAGATGTCCACTTTGCGGCACCCTCCATCTCGATTATCTGAACACTTACTATTCGTAAAATCCCTCGGCACATCCGAAGTTATCGTGCCCTCCAGCGAGCTAGTGAGGTAGTTGTGAGAGTGTACCATAATTCAATGATATCAGATATACGTACTTTAGTACGCAGCCATCCATCGGGTCTTACGTGGCCCAGTGGCAGGTTAGCCAGTTCACTGGGTGCTTTTGTCAAAAAAAAAACCCAACCAAGTCGGACAGGTTAAATCAACAAGGAAGCGTGAGCTCAATGTCTTACATACCGAGCCTAAGAGCAGAAGTGCGATGTGCAACCACCGCGAGTATTGCAAGAATGGCCTTCATAGCAGATGTTGAAGTTCGCAGAGGTTGTACGACCGTGCAGTGGCAGAGTCAATGGAAGTCACAACTTGCCAGGTCTTCCGACAGGTATTACTTATTAGAATGGCCTCGAGCCTGCGGCGCAGAGATGAACGCCCTCAGGGTGATGGTCGTGGCACAAGCTCGACAGGCGAGTACAGCTTCATCTGTCCGGCAATGTTGAGCAGCCAGCGATAATTAAAGGTTGGGCAACATACTTTCCATAGTTGTCTCACCATGAACATGATGGCGATCTAACTCATAGGATACGGCGAGCCTTGTGCGATGTCACGACGGAATTTGACAATCGACGGTTGACAGGAGGGCCCGGGCGGCATGTGAGTGCAGCCTTAGTGGTCTGAGCTTTGAACAGAGTTATCTGTAAGCTCACGAAGACAATATATAGTACCGTGTCTTACCAGACGATGCGTACTGTGCGAGAGAGCAGAAGAGAGTCAAGTCAACTTCGCGAAGAAGCAGGGCGCTTAATCATTGGACCGGGCGCCAAAAAGGCTACTAGCCGCTGGCAACGTAGCTGTCCCGCCACTCTCTCTCTCATGTTCACAACTTCCAACTCCCCAGTGACTTTGCGCCGCTCTATATGAGCATCCGAGTCCATCTTGACTCTCATAGCTGAGTGCGTTAGGACTATATAAATTAGCGGCGTGGACAACAAGCCGTTGGCACCAAGGGCGGCAACAAACCGCGATGTTCATCCGTAAGTACGTCGAATTGCTACAGTACCCATACCGTGTACCACCAATCATGCTCGATAGAGTATCTCATACATTCTGTAGCTTTAACGCGAGTGCTCACAGGGACTTTGCGACAGGATGCCCGTTCCCGGCACGGCTTGACGTAGATTATCCGGCCTTAGAACGACGCCAAACTTCTCAGGACCCAATTTCATTGGCTGTCGTCTCCAGTGGCGGTTGAGCTCTGAGCCTCGAGGCATCGAGCACGGTCGTGTGCGCCCTAAAGTCGTAACGGGGAGCGTCAACGAAGTATCTGGCGCGTGGTTTGAGGGTCGGGGGGAGCGTGCAATGGCGTTAACGTTCCGCAGGACTGCCTTCCAGATCCACCACGCGGAGCCTACGTTGGGCCTAGGTTGACATGGCGATGACAGCTATCCCTCGACGAGTCCACCTTCTGCGATGCGAGTGACAGTGGTTTGACGTCCGGACACGATATAAAGCTGGAGGGCCCTCGCGGTACCACCCTCCGTCATCTTCAGCCCACTCAGGATGAACCCACTGAGTGCCGTCAGGCGGAAGTCCCGCCTTATCACCCTCTCCCGATCCGCATCGCCTGCCGCTTCGATTGAAGCGGGTTCCGCAAGCCCCAAGAGCGACACCAACAAGGCCCTCCCTCCCCAGCCGAAGCCGGCACTACAGCTCAACTTCTACCAGCGCGGTTTCAATGCGATGATCGCTTACTCAGACGCGACGGTGCACTATCACATCTCGATCTGCATGAACTGCTTCGTGCCCTCGTCGTTCGTCACCGTCATTAGAAGATCGCACGAGAAGGGCGAGTTCATCAGCTCGTTCGAGTATATCCAATTCTGCCTCACTCGTTCAACCTCGTTCTGACTTGTACCGCGCCCAGAATGGGTATTTCTACCCAACGTGCAACGGTGAACATGCGCGGTGACGAGAAACTCGTGGACAGCGTCCTGTCCAAAACGGGGCCCGGGCGGAAAGCGAACGTCAGTTCCCCCACTCGCTGCAGCTAAATCCTGAAGATCAAGCCTGCCCCGCAGGATCGCCTCTGGAAATGGAAGTGGGACAATGCACACGGGCACGGCATCGGCTGGAAGGGCGAGAAGCCTGTACGGAACGTACGTACGCCTCGCAATGGCGCACACATATATAAAGTATAACTCCTCTAGTGCTACCGCTTGGACAGTGCCGGAGTCCCCGCGGGCCCCAAACTCGCTGCCTTCGTTCTGGGCTCGTCGGCCGCGCAGCATGCATCCAAGTCTCCGCAGCCCGCTTCGCTCATGATCTACCCCGAAGGACTGCCCGTCGCTGAGCATATCATCACGTCGGTGTTGGTGCTGGAGCGAAAGCGGCTGACGCCGACGCCGACGTCCGTGACCCCTCTCTTCAACTGAACAGGCCCGATCGGAGGCGCTGAGTTTGTTCTCGATGTGCCGGACGTAGCAAGTATTCGGCGCGATGTCTAGGCTGTGCCTAAATGTAGAAGTATGTCTTTGTATTTGATCCTGATACCGCGAGATGATTATTGCATAGCTATGCCACGATGCGTCTTAACCCGTGTCGGGTCATGCGGCTCACCAATGCCAGCGAGCTCCTCACAGTATATATGGAAAACTTGCTTCGTTGGATGATTAAGGTAGCGCGCCCAGTCCCAGGCTTACAGGCCCGGCAAGGCATCCGACGTTCATAAAGCCGCAGAAGCGCTTCGTACGGACTTGGACAAACCTTATACGGTTCGCCTCGCCTCGACCTGCAAGCATACTCGCTTACTACGCCGCGTCCCATCGATTGAAGCAGGACCGCGTTAGCACCCTCATCTGGCTTATTCCACTAGTCGTCGGGTTATGACGAATCTATCAGACCCCCAACCACCACAACGCAACGTCCTTGCGGACCCCAACCCCGGGCACACGGATAACAGATGTCAGGTCATTCCCGCGGATGGCGAGCCTCCTTGCACACGACGCGGGAAGGCTCCATGGGTCCAAAAAGACGAGCGACCCCGAGCTGACCGAGGCGAGAACCGCATACTCTGTCCGGAACACGACAACGAGCGCCAACGGTTCTACTTCAGGTACAAGGCTGCAGCCGCGGAGACGGACAGGCAGGATATGGACATCGCAAAGAACGCGATCTTCCAGGTGCTGCTTCAGGTGCTGAGTGCAGAGCAGGTCGGGGAGGCGATCACGATGCGGGAGACGTTTGCGAGCTTGATCGACGACGAGTTTGCGGCGCGCGAGAGCCACCGTAGGCGATTCGTTACACAAGGTAGGATAACTTGGGACGTGCATTCGAGTGAACGGGGTCTGATCGCAGTACAGTGGATTTCGGGCACTCGAAGTGGCTGAGGGGCCGGCAGCGCATGCGAGACGCGAACAGGAATGCCCTTAACAAGCTGCGCCGCCATCGGGAATCCCTGAGCGTTGCATCTGGTGGAGCTGGGAACGCCCCCAGGACTACGCAGTTCCCGGGGATAGTCAAAACCTGCGTTACTGTTGCCGTGGTGAGTTTTCGATCTAATCTGTGGAGATGAATGGCCAAACTCACGATGACTTCAGCTCTTGGCTGCATCCGTTGTAGTCGTATTGCTGAAACGCACTGCTAACTTGTGGCTAGGTCCGGACGATGAGGGTGAGGATGAGGATGACTAGATGCTGCTACTGATACTTCCAGAGCTTGATTGTTCTCTTACTTCTGCTCTGTTCCCGACCGCATTACCTGTGTATATCCGCATACGTTGAGCTATTGGACTGGTAGGTTTTCGAAAATCAGGCATATCTGAACGTTGTTGCCTGTGGGCGTCTTGGAGGCTCGGCTGCTGTTTTATCTCTTTTGATGATACATTTGTATACGTACTTGGGTTAACTCGTTTATGAGTAGAAATTGAGAAAACAAACTCATGAGGACTGTAAGAGAAAGTGCTCGGCCTGCGAGTGAGCGAGTGAGTGACTCGGACGTGCCACGGCGACCAGAGCGCGCCACGTGGGAAACTGACCCAAGAGGACGATACTAGAGGCGCCAGAGCCTCCGTGATAGCAACCGCCAGCAAGCTTGAAGTATTCCACAGCCCTGAGTGCTACGAACACAGATGCTAACCGTACGCAGTGAAGCTGGTGGCGTTTTACTACTAATAACATGTACGCATCGCTCAATCATTTGTTTTCATAGCGTGAAAGCCGGTACGATGCACCTCATTTCCGGTAGTACCAATTCTTCCTCCAGCGCCAGACACTCCCCCGCCCGTTGAATACCCAGTCAAGCTGGTTCGGCAACTTGATGTCGACGCCCAAGTCCTCTGCGAACGCCGCCACCGCAGAGGGGTTCTTCAAGAAAGCCGTCCCAGCCAAAACCACATCCGCCTGGCCCTTGTCGAGCACCTCCTGCGCGAGCGTGCCAGTCTTGATCCCGCCCACCGCACCCACCAGCACGCGGTCTCCGAGTGCCTTCTTCATGGCCTCCGCGAAGTGCGCTTGGTACACGGGCGCGACGAACTCAATCTTCTGGCGCGAGTCGGACCCACCGGATGAGACGTCGATGAGGTCGACGCCATGCGCCGCGACAAGCTCGGAGAGCCGGATAGAGTCCTCGATGCGCCATGAAGGCTCGTTTGGGAGGACCTTCTCGAGCCAGTCCGTCGCCGAGAGCCTGTATATACAATGAGTGAGTTTTTCCGTCACGGCGCGCAAGGGTGGAATATCTAACCTCAGGAAGAGGGGGACAGACTCAGGGATGACCTTCCGGATCGCATCCACCACCTCGACCGTCAGCCGGGCGCGGTTCTCGAAGCTCCCGCCGTACTCGTCTGTGCGCTTGTTCGTCATCGGGCTCAAGAACTGATGCAGCAAGAATCCGTGCGCCGCATGTATCTCGATCACGTCAACCCCCGCATCGACCGCTCTCTCCGCCGCCGCGGCCCACTTCGCCACCATGTCTTGGATCTCCGACTTCGTGAGCTCCTTCGGCGGGTGCGGCGCTACAGGCTTCCCCTCAGCCGTTTCCAGCTCCTTCCCCCTGAGCCTCTGCTCCAACTCCGAGGGCTTGGTCGAAGGGACCTCGGAGTACTCGATCGGCGAAGGCGCGACGAGGTCGTCCTGCCATCCCCCAAGGGCGTTCGGGATCGCGACGCGGAACGGCGCTAGCCACAACGGTGGAACGGAGCCCTTGCGGCCGCAGTGCGCGAGCTGCATGCCGATCTTCTGGCCCTGGCTGTGCGCGAACTCGACGAGCGCGCGAAGAGCCGCGATCTGGTGGTCGGACCACAGTCCGATGTCGTGCGGCGTGGCGCGGCCCTCCGGGGATATGGCGGTCGCCTCGAGGAAGGTCAGGCCTGGGCCACGCAGCGCGACTCCGCCCACTGGTCAGATACATTCCGATCAGTGAGCGCGCGTGCGATTCTGTGAGCCGGGGACGCGGCGTACCTAGTGCGGTGTGGAAGGGGGTGACAGTACTGTCGCTATTCCCAGAGGCGAGACCCATGGGCGACATCTGTCATAGCCTTGAGTGAGCAAGCGCACAGCTGGGTGTTCTACGCAGATGACACGCACAAAGAGCCTATTCTGGAACTCAACCCCTCTGATCTTGAGAGGCTGGAAGAGCGACGGGATTGGCTTCCCATCCTTCGACGGTGCGGCTGCACCTGCCGGAGGAACCTGCGCCGGGGTGAAGTAGGAGGTGTTTGGCGCTCCTTCGGTGACAAATTCCGCCATGGGTTTGTCTGTATCGTACTGCGTGACGATGAACAATGAATGGTGAGTCTCTCCTCTGCATCTCTATATACTGCACGCATACGCTCTCGACCTTTCAGCTTATTCAGCGAATCAAGTCCAATATTCCGCCACTACGGCCATGGATGCTCGTTTCGCTGACTGATATCCCGAAAGCGGGGATGATGCTGCGGGTAGCGCGATTTTGAGGCGAGGTTCCATAATTTTCGGCGTGTAACCTTCGGCTCACTCATAGCTGCAACTTGTAGATTGTGTTGTGTGTTATCGCTCGCACGGGAGCAGTGGCATGAAGGAACGACCTGCCGCCTTGGCGCTACCGCCGCATCGTAGGTATCTCATCATGCAGTGGTAGCTTCTCATACGGGATGAGCGTGTAAACATTTGTCGGTGTAGATCTTACTCGTGAATGTCGTCTTCACAATTCCTCAAGAAGATCTCAGTTCTCAGCCAGCGCGTGAGACGAGTGACGACACGGACGCACACGACACAACGGGTCTCGGCAGGGCGTGTAACCAAAGCTAATCTCGCGGCAACCTTCCCCGCAATTATCTTCGACACCATGATGAATATACTGAACAAGAGGGGCTCACCGGAAGATGCCGAGACCTGCGGTCGGGGAGGGGGGGGGTCCCCGGGGCCTTATGTCGGTTGATGTATGCCTTTCAGCTCCATCGAGTCTTCGTGGTTCGCGAAGGTATACAGTCGATTTTTCGTGCTCAATAGACCTCAGCTAGTAGAAAGTGGCCTTTCTAGCCATCTGGGCCGTCGAGAAGCCGCACATCGCGACCCTTCAGTGTTAAAACATTGATGTTTCATTCTTTCTAGTCTGTGTGCGCCTCAAGCTAGCGGATGTGTACGGCGAGCTCTCGCAACATAGCTGTTGAATTTCTCTGGACAGACAAACGTGATGACCACCGAGTAAGTTCTGGGTATGTCTGTCATCCTATGGGCGCCTACAGCTTCCGTTTTGAGCGACATGTTGAAAACATATGCGAAAAATTGCCCGATATGGGAGGATGGGGGGGAGGGGGGTCCCGGAAATGGGCTTATGTCGATAGACCGACCCCGGTAAGTAAGTCGATTCCTGCACCCCTCTTGATACTGAATCCGAACGCTGACACCTACGAACACAAAGTGTACTTCAGTAAGCCGAGCAGCCATGTGCGCCGAGGCACACGCAGAACATAAACGGATACGGCAAATGCGCTTCCTAGAAAGATGCTCGCGCCTCCCCAGGCTTCTGCCCCGTGGTTGGGGCGCTTCGCGTCGCGAATATGAACGAACCTTATAAGCCTTGCCTCGCCTCGCCCTGTCCTGCAACCACGCCTCCCACACTATGGCCCAGCAGGTTTGAACTGCAGCCCTAGTACCACCATCCTGCCACACCAGTCATCACACTATGTTCGCCGACCCAACAAACCCCCCCAACGATGCTACCACTAGTACTGCGCTCCCGGAGAACAAGTGCCAAGTGATCCCAGCGCGCGACGAGCTCCCATGTCCGCAACCGGGGACGAGAAGAGGCGAGCGCGGGCCAGAAGGCCAGGCGGAGAAACTTTTCCTCTGCAACGACCACCACGTTGAGCACCAGAAACTCTACTTCACGTACAAGGCTGCCTCGTACGAGGTGATAGAACTGCGCAAGAAGATAGGGCGGGAGTGCAGCGCGTCAGAAGAGGAGAGCTGGGGCAAAGAGAGGCTCGACGAGGTGATCGCAACGCGCGACGAGTATGCGGCGGCCATCGCGGAGGAGCTGGAGAAGCGCGAGAGCCATCGCAAGCGTTTCTACGCTCAAGGTAAGCACCGTGGAATGGTGGAGAATCAACGCCCTGATATGCTGGCAGCGGATAGCGGACACGCTTCCTGGTCGAAGAGCTTGAGACGCGACCAGGCCACGAATGCGAACGTGCTCGCGAGGTTGCGCCGGCGTAGAGACGGTCTTGCGGAAGCAGCTCGAGCTCAGGCGGAGGAAGAGAGAAAGGCCCAAGTCGCGGCCCAAGTTGCCCAAAGACTGAAGGAAGAGGCGGCACGGAGAAGAGAGCTCGAATCGGCGCAGAAACGCAGCGAGGAGGCAGAGAGAACGCGTCAGGTGATAGCCGCGGCGGCTGCGCGGAGACAGCGAGAAGAACAAGAGGCGACCGAAAGGCAGAATGCACTCAGGCGCGCATTAGAGTTCGGGGAGCAGTACCGTCGACGGGAAGCTGAAGAAGCGGCCGCGCGTCGAGCCCATGCTACAACGCGCGAGACGCAGCCGCTCTTGAATAACGTCGCACAGTCGTCTCCGCCGTCGAACATCTATCCGCAGGTCACCAGAGCGGCTGGGATCCAGCCTTATGGTTCCAGAGCGTTGCCGCAGGGTGTCGACATTGAGCGACAGGTTACTGTGCCCCGTCTTGTCGGGGAAGTCGAGGGAGAACCTGAATTTGGATGGTTCGATATCTGCTTTGTCCTGGTCTTGGTGAGTTCCATGCCCATCGTTCGAACGTGAATAGGGAAACTAACGCGCACTGTAGGGAGTGTTTGTGTTCTTCACATTCGTCAAGTTCATCGGTTGAAGGTCCTTGATGATACGGGACTTACTGGAGGACATATGAGGATGCCGCTACGAATGTATCCGGAAGTGTATCATTGTTACCGTTGATTTGCTTTCAATGCTTGATGTTTATACCTACGCCGTCTTGTTTATCATACGCACTGCACTCAGCAACGTTCAGAGGGAGATGGGGAAATGACCAAGGCAGAGACTCGGAGTGAGCAGAGACTCAGAGCGTCCCGCTTCACCGAAGTGCCGGTCCGATCCTCCGACTCGGAGGTAATCGGAGAACGCTGTTCTCCAAATATTTGTGCGTCTACGGCTAAACCGCACGTTTCTCTCTTTCTGTCCTGGGCTCACTAATACTAGGTACAGTGTTTTCTCTCTTTGGGCAACATATCATTTGGGAAGACTCTTGAAGGCAGTGCCAGCTTCCCATAGGATGGATTTGTCGGAGTCCAGGTAGCAGGACGGTATCAGTGAGTCGCACTGGCAAGTTGTGGCAACTATCACCGCTGTTTCGCCGCGGTCGTCTTGAGCTAACGCCTGTTTATTTCACAGACCACAGAATGCAATATACATATGTCTCCTCCATGTGCGTATACGGGAGTGTCAGCGGAATGAACACCGGGGTCTCATCGGACCGTGTCAGCGTGAGCGGACCGTGAGCCTCGGAATCTCCTGGGTCGCGCCGACCGTACTGGTGCGGGATCCATCAATGCGTTCTGAATCCCAGGAACGGCTTCAGCGGTCCCCACGTGCAACCTAGGCTGACATCTCGACCACCACGGTGCCTCCGCGTTTCTGTACGGTCTTCCATGCCAGCGCGCGGACAGCGCTTCTTCCCGTGGCCAGCCCGCGGGCGGCAGCTCAGAGGCGAACACGGTCCCGCGGTAGCCGCCCCAGCTGTCCTCGTCCCCGCGCTATGAACGTCCGAACCGTCAAGCGGAAACCCCGCCTATCCAACTCGACCCTGTCGACCGCCTCGTCGGCGACGATCGCGGATCCGATCGTCACCGGCCACGGCGGGATCCTGCCTGCCGTGAAGACAGGCGGCGGTAGCAAGCCTCTCCCGCCACCCCCGAAGTCGCTGGTGTTCACGTTCCATCAGCATAGCTTCAATACGATGGTCGCGTACGCGGACTCGGCGGTGCATTACCACGTCACGGTATGCATGAACTGCTTCATCCCGTCCTCGTTCATCACCGTTATCCGACGGGAGCACGAGAAGGGCGAGTTTGTGAGTTCTTTCGAGTGAGTTACTTGTCTTGGGTCATGGACTATACTTAGCTTGTGGCGTATAGGATGGGCATCTCGACTCAACGCGCAACAGTGAACATGCTCGGCAAGGAATACGCCATGGACAAGGTGCTTTTCAGGACGGGGCGGAAAACTGACGTCAGTAACTGCACCCACCACGATCGAGATAAGCGTCGAAATGAACTGCCCGGACACAGGACCGCCTCTGGCAATGGAAGTGGGATGACGAGCCCGGGCACGTCCTTGGCTGGCATCGCGATGCCCCCGTTCGCTACGTACGTCTGTTCCCCTCCTCGAGTACAACGCCTCGTCGCTTCACGTCGGACATAGTGCTACCTTCTGGACCACACCGGACGCCCTTCCGGTCCCATGGTCGCTGCGCTTGTCGTCTCTGGCGCACAAGAAGGCGCCCCGCAGCCCGCGTCGCTCAAGGTTTACCCCGACGGGGAGCATATCGTAGACCACATCTTCACATCGGCGCTGATTGTAGAGCGGAAAAGGCTCACACCCTCCCCGATGACCGTGAACCCTATATTCAACTAAACTGCATTGCATCCCGATCATCCTTCCCCCACCCGACGTCAGGCCTTCAAGCTTCAGGAACCAGTGCCTACAACCTTCGCGTTCTTTAACGCGAATCCGTGGGGCGTCCAACCTTGTGCGCACCATTCATGAAATCCGAGATCTTGCGCGCCGAGATGCTGCTTCATATGTCGCTAGCCGAACCAGCGCTTCGCCCACTCGTGCTTCGAGTTCGAGAGCACACGAGGGCTAACGTTGCTGGCCAGAAATTAAACTCTACGTAGGCGACCAGACTGTGCACATCTTATGGCGCTCCAGTGCAGTCGGAGGTCTCGCCTTTAAAGATTCAGTTGACCTATCCTTAGGTATATCGTCCCAAGTTACGCCTCACCTGCGTACTGAACGCTATGATGCGCATATATTCTCTTCTCCTGATCTCTGCGGGACTACTCGTTGTTGCGGTAGCGGACACTGGCGTTGCTCCCCACGGCCGTGAGTTGGACCATCTTCTTGACTACCATTCGATTATGATTACTTATGAACATTTGCAGTCGCGCCCAAACGGTTTCTAAACCTGCCCCTCGGACATGTGAAGCCTGGTGGCTACCTGGAAAATGTTGTAAGTCCCCGTGTCGAATTTGAGATCCTGGGGCAAGTTGAATTGACGAGTCGGATATCATAAGCTCATTCCATCCACGAATATGGGCACCAAGTTAGGGAAAGCTGAAGGATTCTACGATTAGTGAGGATTGGGTCGTTGCGAACGGTGGCTTCTGGTCTCATCAGGATAAAATTGGACAGTCTATCCCGCGCGGATACAGAGTGGATCGCGAGACCGACGGATGTCTACACTCTCGAAGGAGGTGCGTCTGTATGCCATCCAAATTTCTATCGTTCGGTTGACGACGTCGGTATCCCCACCGTGGCGGAGCAGCTGGGAGCCACTGGTTCGTAAGTAGTCCAACAGTACATCCGGATATCTAGGCACTCAACCTTCCATCGACGAGCAGAACGACATTATCACCATCGCCGGAATTTCAGAGAACGAGATTCTGCAATCACAGGCGGAGCAGTTCCTCGACTATTTCCTTGACACTCAAGACGCAGACGGCTGGCTGGGCCCGGAGGTCACTACGGGAAGGCCGCGTCGGCTGTCTGGAAGGCCAGCCCACCATTCGCACTTATGCTTTCCCACTCACGCTCACATAGCTGAACATCAGACTCCCGTTCCTCCTGGGGGCGATGCGTGTCGCGGACGCTCAGCCCGCTCGTACAGATCGAATTGTGACTGGTTTGCATAGGTTCGTTGCGCTTGTGCATGACATGCTACGTCGGGGAGAGGGATTGGAGGACGATGCATGGGCGTACGCTGGGGACTTGCTGATAGTGCTTCAGTGGTGCGTCCAAGACCAGCGTTATCGATCTCCAGGAAACTCGGCTCACCCATTCGTGTGCGGAAACGGCGTGGGATTTCCTCAGGCTCTATGAGTTCCATCCGAACAGAAACGAAGACACCCTCGTTGAGACGATGCGCATACTCTCGCGGACTGGAGACCACTGGACGAGCGTCTTCGAAGAGGAGGTACTGTTCATACCCCGCATATTCAACGCCTGCCATTCTGAGTCGAACAAGAAATTTCCAACAGTAGACCCGCAGCAACAATGGCAACTCCCCGACGCTGGGACACACTGGCGTGGGATGAACGCGGCAAAGACGCTCACGACTCTCGGCGCCAGGTATCGTCTCAGCAACGACGGCTCCGGTACGTCCTTCAACTCCTCTGTCCCAACATGTGATTCATATATATCCTCATAGATGATGCCACGTGGGACTCCATATTCAAAACTGACGCAGAACGACTTGGCCCATTTGAGCCCACGAAGCACGCCGCTCACCGGGCGCATCGCAACATGGCACAGTAAGCTTAAAGCCGGAACTGGAAATCCCGCAGTGTCTCACCACATACATTTCCTCTGTAGCACACATTTCACCACAGCAAGTAACTTCGACTCGCCTAACACTACTATTATTTACAGTCATTTCTTATGACAGGAAACCATACGCTCGTAAGCATCAGTCTTCGCGAGTGCGTAAGCAGGGAGGTACAACAGTATAGCTGACATCTCCCTCACAGCGCTCACTACTTGTACCAGATCACCGGAGACATCAAGTACTTGGAGAGCATCGATCGTCTCGCGCACGCAGCCATGCCGGCCCCTATACACGGTAAGACTTCGCGTTCTTGTGTCGTCCATACAACGATATTCTCACAAGTGACACAGGCGGCTGGGGGACAGTCAGCAGCCTCGCGTTGTGCAGAGAAGCGTTCACCCCAGACGGGTATGTGGTCCCTCAGTTCTCAACTGTAATGGTGGCCCGTCGCAGTGGCTGAAAAATTCCTCGTTTCCCTATTACAGGCCATACCACGAGTACGGGGGATACTTGAATAACCCGACGTAAGAATCACCTTGTCACCCCCTCTGTGTGACGGGTTTTAACAACGTAACGGGTTAGATGCCGTGCCGTCCGATACCCCGAAGGAGGGTTTGACCTTGTCTACGAGGCGTTCCTCTACACAGCGGACCGGAAATCCCTTGTCCAAGCCCTGCTCGGACCCTTGACCGTGAATACAACGCTAGCTGAAGGTGAATCGGGTTGATCAAAAGCGTGGCGTCCGCCGTCGACTCATCGATGATGCATTGTAGACAACGAGGCCGTGATCACTATGAACTCAAGCTATCCCTTTGGCTGGGATACCCTCACCAAGGCAGTCATAGTCGCACAGAAGGCCTTCGTGTACTACGTGCGCATCCCCAGCTGGTCTGCCGGCGCCACAATCTCCATCAACGGGAGCTCTTTTGACCCCTGCAAACCGGTCAACGGGCTGCACGCCATCCGCATCGAGCCAGGGACGACCAACGTCACGCTCGATCTTCCCTTGGAACTCGTCGCAGGTTCGTTTGGTCTGCTATTCCGTTCCCTTCAAAGATTCTCAGCCTGCAATAGATCAGCCGCGCCCGGGACATGTCACGATACGCCGAGGCCCAGTGATCTACGCCTTCGCCGCGTGGTATCCGTTCAGCGAGCAAGACGCGCACCGAGGAGTGCATTATGCGATAGACCCGTCGACCCTGTCCCCCAGCATCACGCCCCTGTCATACAACAACTACCTGTGGCGTGAAGCGGGCCATACGATCACCGTCGTGGCTTGTCCAATCGCAACCTCGAAGGTCGATAACGAAATCTTCGCTCCGGGTGACGGTTCTGTGACCTGCATAGGCCCAGTGAGGAACCTGACACTCGTGCCCTCCACTGTGCGTACAACTTTCTTTCACATCGGCCGAGCCTGGGAACCGTGGCTTACATGCATTTGGGGGTTTAGGATTGGTACATCCGTAGGCACGCGGTAAAGGAGTTCCCGACATTTCATCTCTCCGATCTACTATAACTGGGCATAGAATGGGCAAGTTATACATGGCCCGACGTCGGCGACACGTTCTGTCGTGCATGGCGCTTTTAGCAAATGCCGATACACGTCCTGTGTTTCCCGTGCCCATCATCTGCCAGTGTGCGACATACGCTTCAAGCACGCTTAGAGTCAAGGTAGTCGTAGAGCCAGCGTGCAGAGAGATATCGCGACTTCCCGATTGGAAACATGAGAATTTCTCGAGTGCGACGCCCACATCCAGCCAATATGCGGAACAGATTAAAGTCAAATGTAACGACGAAAGAAGTGTTTGGTAATAACATGACGAAACAGCAAATTGTTCGAGCCAACCCCCGACTACATCCTTTCTTCAATCCTGAATCAAAGTTCTTCTCCCCAACTCCGCCGACACCGAAAACAAAAAAGAGGGGCGTCGGCGGTGGACACTTGCGATGTGGTATGAAGCCGCGCCTCTAGAGGATGACGGGAACGCAGCCGACGCTGATGAGGCCGCCTGCACGAGCAGCAAGTCAGCGCGTCGTCCATCGGAGGCTCCCCAGACTAATCTTACTCACCGACGTTGTTGTTCTCGCAGCAAACGGGGGTCGCCGAGCTATAGCACGAGACCACACGATCAGCACCGCGACGCAGCCGACCAGAGCGGGGACACATACCAGGCGTTGCCCGAGGCGGCGCCGATGACGTTGATCGGCGAGCACTGGATGCCGACCTGTGCGGTCACGTCCTGGACGACGACGCCCAGGAGGCCGAGGAGCGTCGCGACGCTGGCGTCGTCCGCAGAGCGCACGTCCTCGCAGCAGGTGATCGGGCCGGTGTTGCAGCTCCCGGAGCCCTGAGGGATGGGTGTGGCGGCCGCAAGAGCGGTGAAGACGGCGGCGGTGAAGAGAGCGAGCTTGGCGAACATGGTGGTAGAGTGTGGTTTGGGTGGGGGTAGGTGCTGAAAGAGCGTGTGGGTGGAGGAGCGCGGGGCTGGTGTGGAATGAGTGTGAGGGCAGTGGGATTCGCTTGGGGTCTGGAGGTGGTGAGAGGGGGCTCTTATAGGATTGCATGGGCAATGGCGGTAGGCCTGTAGGCGTCGCGGTCTAGGGTGATTGCGGTCTCAGACAAACATGCATGGAGGCCAATCAGGCCAACGTTATCGGGCGTACTGCGTCATGCTGGCCGTAGTGAAACCCGCGAAGAGCCAAGCATGGCACGTTGCCAATATACGAATGGACGGCTGTAAAAGTGCTGATTCGTCGAATGCTTCCTATCGAGATGTAACGTGAGTACGATGGTGACGATAGACAACACACGCACTCACTACGGTTACCACTGTCAACAGTCGTTGCTGCAAATGCGCCGTGAACATAAAGTTCAGTAAACATCAGTCAGACAGGACGCTCTTCACAGCCATGTATGTATGAGCAGCAACATCTATGGCGACCACTAATGACAGGATCTGTCCAAACCTAAAAGTGAAAGCTACCGCTTACACCGATGTCGCCCCGGGTGGTACATGACATGTCCGGTGAGACACCGCTGCGTGCATCACATGGGAAGTTGAAACAGTGAGGCAGTTGAACAGAACACGGGTCAAGGAATGAACGAACGACCAAGATGGACCACCATCATGCGACACGGAGGCGAGTTGATATCGCACATTTGTTCACCGATATACTCCCTCACGCCTGGAATTGACCTCGAAGTGACAGGTGGCTTCAAAGGCATGAAATATCAGAACGACAGCGTGATCTTGCGGTCTATGACTAGCGCGGATATCAGGATATGGTCGAAGAGTTCGTGCCCATCCGGAAAGACTGTCAACGTCGCAGCCGGCGGCGGTTGGGGAGGATCTGGCGGTGGGGGTACGAAGGACGCGATCTGGTGCGAATCGACGTCAGAGCACTGTAGAGGAAGCGCCGTAGGGTGTCGGATGAGTGAACTCTCAAGATTGAGAGAGGGGGTATGCGTACGATACACATGGGCGAGCCATCGTCGAGTGTTGTCCGGCAGTCCCAACGCAGCGCGACGCCGGCACAATCCCAGGTGAACTTGCGCTATGCCAGATCAAACGTGAGCTCGCGTCGCGGTCATCATGAACTGCTGCTTACCGGGGAGTGGCCACTCTTCTTTAAGACCGTCGACATGCGCGTCGCACTGTTGTTCAATTTCAAGGTCGCACGGCTATGCATGACGCCTAACCTGGACGAACATAAGTTGGCACACGGTCATGAAGCTAGAGTGCAGCGGACGTACTCGAATTCGCCCACCAATTCACCTGATTCGTCTCGTCCCCTCCGGACAGTCGTGACGTACGAGAGTGGGACGAACGGGTTCAGGTTCAAGGTGACGGAGATGTTATATATTGGCGTGAGTGTGGGGTCAACGTCCCTTGAGGGGAGCAAGAGCATCGAGGTGTTGCTCCGGGAAGCGAAGGTGTATATTCGAGGCTGTCGTGGTCTTTCCGTGAGGATATAACTAGAGCAAAGGTTCAAGGATGGTTCTCATTAGTTCTCATCGAGATATCTGCTGAGCGGAGGGCCACGGACCTTGGAGGCGAGGACGGTAGGGGAACGTCCACTTCGGTCGCATAGCTGCACTATCATCGTCAGCAATTACAATCGCGACATGATGCGTGGCATTTCTTGAACGCACTCAGGTAGTAGTGTCGATGTCTCTGTAGGAGAGGAGGGACCATGCTCATCGGCGAAAGGATCTGCCAAAAGTTGTCAGTGTCGCTGTCTTGTGGTGTTTGCGACCCTTCGATGCTTACCAGAGTCAGAATCTACTATCATGATCCACGCGCTGCCAGTACTGTGACTTGGGGCTTGAAGAAATTGAGAGGAGGAGGGGTATATGTGCCAAATCGCCCCCGCCGGACATCATGGCTGCGAATGAAACCCGGAAGGCCGACTTTACGACGCGAGCGCCGAGCGCAGCCCCTCGTCTCTTGCCTTCACCCTCCCTCCACGCCATCAGCGACGGCAAGGGACCCGCCAATACACTCGTAAATCAACACGGCACCGTCTTGCTTTCTTGTTGTTGTGTCTTCTCAGCGCCACGCTCGCGGAAAGCTTTGGTCTTGTTTCTTTTGTTCTGCGCCAATTATCTGTTCTGCTCGCTCAGGCGACCCTCCTGCAACCGCCATCGCTCTTCGCCCTACTTCTGCTGAGTCTGCCGATCCGTAAGCTATGCCACTTTTTCTCGCAACGCCGCCCATATCTGTCGCGACCGCCCACGCCTTCGCGGCCTTCTTCACGTTCTCGTACGTGGGCTCGCTCTACCTTTCGAAAGGCGCGCGTCTCTACTTCAAGAGTGGCGTGAAAGTCGACACACGACCAGGCGAAGAACGCGAGAAAGAGAGTGAGGAGCGGTGGAGAAACGACCCGGATGTCATACGCGCACGTCTAGTCGCGGCGAGCCTAAGTACGGCTCTGAGCGTTGGCATGGTGTATTGGCTGGTGCAAAGCGTTACTCCCGGGAGCGAGGTATGTCTGTATTTCTGTGATATATCTCGTGTGTCATGTCGCAATGGCGAGACGAAAGGGCGGGTATGATCATCTGCCCCTAAGCCTTTGGAAAGAGCGTAGACGGATGGACACGCAGTTCGTCGAGGCCCCGCGACGTGCTATTCCACGACGGGATATGCAAAACGAGACTTGCCATGCAAATGTCGCGCGTGATACCTTATCTCGTCCCGCCCAATTTCTGTGAGTGCATTTAGGCACATCCAATGCTTTATTCTGGCAAGTTCGAGGCCATGATGAGGGAGAGACCGATTTGCACATGCAGTCTCGCATTGCATATTCCGTCGTAGGATGGTGGTATATCCCGCTCAAAGAACACGCCTGTGTGTTTGCACTGACACTCTGGAAGACCCTAGAGAGGCCACTTTCGCGTATGTCATCCACGGATGCTGATTATATGCACCCCTTCGCGCCATTACAGTCCACCCTCACCCGGCTCGGACTCACCCTTGGTTTTGCGCGTAACTCTCCGCTCTGGTTCATCTTGCCTTGCCTCGTCGTTCCTGTGCTCTACCTCGGACCTCTATACGTCAGCTGGCTTTGCGAGACTCTTCCCACACAACGGCGTTGGAGCGTCCGCGGAAGCCTTTTACCCCTAGTCTCGACTTGGGTGGGGATCAGAAATTATATCGTGGTACGTGTTCCGTCGATGCGATGTCCGTGATCCGTTTTTGAACATACACTTCCTCCAGGGTCCTATCACCGAGGAGGTCGTGTTCAGAGCGTGCATGCTCGCGGTATACCACATGGCAGGCTCTTCGCGCACCAAGATGATTTTTCTCACCCCGCTTGCGTTTGGCGTCGGTATGTCCGCGGTATCCGCGTTTATCCCCGTTGCTAACTGCCCTGACTTTCGGCAGCGCACTTTCACCATGCGTGGGATACATACAACCGCTATGGCCGGACGGCGTCCGCCGCTCGCGTTGCTCTCTTGACGACGTGTAGGTCCCACTCCGCCCTTCTTCCGCTTGTTCTTACCCATGCGGTGACGCACAGTGTTCCAAACGGCATATACTAGTCTATTCGGGTTCCACTGCGCGTACCTCTTCCTCCGCACAGGCTCACTCCTCCCGCCCACCGTATCGCATATCTTCTGCAACATCATGGGCCTTCCCCAGTACTCGCAGCACGTAAGGATGTTTCCAAACCGACGCCGCGGTGAGTCCACACGCTCGCCGCACACGTACAAGCAGTCACTAAAAGTGGTGCATGACGTAGCCATCCAGCTTGCATATATACTCGGCATCGCAGGCTACGTCTACACGATGCGTCAGTGGACGCTAGCTGATAACAGTCTGTTCTGGCCCGCGCCGAGACAAGTGGCGCGCTACTGAGCACGACGCGTCCGCGCGATCCTACATGTATCCTCGCATCCGCCCGAGGGCATGTACATATCCGCTCGCATCTACAATCTACATTACAGAACAACTCACTGCTCTCGGACCTTGGGCGTCCTCGAAGCTCCTCGCATCGCGCCGCGTTCCCTGCACGGCCTTCGGTCCGTGCACCCACGACGCTTCCGCCGCCCGTGGCAGGACAAAGCGGCCTTGTCGCGGGCGCCTGTGCCCGGCACGCGCAGGCTGCAGCGCTTCCTCGCCCGTGCGTATATATGCCCCCCCGCTTTGCCCCTCCCGCAGCCGCTTTGTCCCCTTCTCCGTCCTTCCGTCCCCTCGTCCGGTCGGAACACACGCGCGTCCCGAGTGGCCAACCAGCGAACGCCCGTACGCGTGCTTCTCGTTACCGACAACTCAACTCCATTGTGACAATGGCGCCTTTGCGGCGGTGGCTCGGGCGAGTCCAAGCGTGTGGTCCGACAATGCATATAAGCCAGTGCGGGGATGCGGGGGTGCCCTTTGACGTCCCGCCGTACCTGCTACCGCTCGACCTCCGCGTGAAGCTCCACGAGGCTCGTGCTGCTCCGTACCGCAAGCCTTCTAACATTGTACGTCTCATCCCGCGCTCCGCCTTTTAGCCACCTGTCACTAACCACCACCTCTCTTGCTTATCCACAGAGCGCCACGGACACAGACGCACGCCCCACGACCTCCTCCCGCCCACGCAAGCGCCAACGCACGATGCCCTCCCTATTAAACCGCCTCACGGGCACCGCGAGCTACCCGATCGTGCTCGCGCAGTACAAGAACGAGTTCCGCGGCGTCGGGCACGAGCCCGCGCTGCACTGGGTGCTCGTCGTCATCACCGACAAGGCCACGCTCAGCGGCCCCTCCTTCCAGGCGTACGCGCAGACGTCGCGGCCGCGCCATCCAAGACCGCGCCGACCACGTCTGTCAGACATCTCGGACGCGACGGCGAGCAGCTCGGGGAGCCGCCGGAGCACGAGCGCGGTCGTGACGATGGGCACGCTCGCACTCGACGGGCCCGCCGCACCAGGCGCTACGGACACGCAGCAGGAGACGAAGGAGGTGGAGACGGAGACAGATGTACAATGGTACACGCGACACGGGAAGGCGTCGCTGTTCGACGTGTGCGCGACGGTGCGTACGCTCTGTCTGGGCGGCGTGCAGGTCGGCTCGGTGAAGGCCGCGGACCTCGACAAGCTCTGCGAGTACCTGCGGAGCCACCCGCCGGTCCCGTCAAACGCAACACCAGGATGGTGCTCGCGCGACTACGTGCTGGAGCTGCTGGGAGCTGCTACGGCCGTTCAAACTGCTGCGGGCGGACCTCCAAGGCAAGAAGCCGAAGACGAAGGGCGCGTGCGTGGAGGTGCGCATGGACGATCTGCTGCCGGAGCTGCGGGAGGTGGGGCGGGCGACGCAGGAGAGCATCGATACGGAGGACTACAGGCCGTTTGTGAAGTATCATTCTGCGTAACATTGTGTTTCTAGCTCTTCATGGACAACAACTTCTCGTCTACAATTGTATAACAGCACACTAGGTTTCCCAGACGAAATGAAGTGAACGGATCATGAATACAGGTCGTCGACAGAACGTTTCGATCTCATTGATATTCATACAAGCCTCCGTCACAGGCCAGCCTCCCTAATCCCAGTTCTCGAAGCTGACGGTATACACCATCCCGCAGCTCACCTTGTGCCGTTTCCAGTCCTTCTTCTGGCACTCCGCGCCGCAGTACCGCGTCATCTTGCACCCGCTGCAGCGCATCATGCCCGCCCCCGCCCCCGCCGTCTCGTCGCGCTGGCAGTGCCCGCAGCTGCCCGCGAGCGGGTACGCGACGCCCGCGGGGCGCTGGCCGAACGTGTCGAAGGACGGCATCGGGCCCATCGCGCCGCCCTGCGCGAGGTTGAGCATGTTGTGGCTCGTCGTGAGCCCCGCGCGGACGTGCGCCTTGTCCATGTCGCACACGAAGTGGATCTGCCGGGGCGCGGTGGGGGTCAGATGCATGCCTGCGGGGAGAATGATAGCTGGGGGCGCGCGTACGTACGTAGATGATGAGCCGCGGCGGGTCGAGGTGGTGCCAGGAGAGGTTCTGGAAGTGCGTCTCGCGCGCGGGCGCGCCTGTGCAACATGAAAGGTCCGAGCATGGGTGATGAGGTCAGTTAAGCTCTATGGCTCTATGAGCGGAGCGGGGTGCGTACCGCAGAATTCGCAGAGCCAGTGCTTCGAGTGCTTGATGTCGCGCCCCATGAGCGCGACCGCGAGCTGGATGCGGTCCATATCGCGGTCCTTCGGGAGGTGCAGGCGGACCATTACCCGCTTCTCCGCCCTGATAACAGAGGATCTTAGAGGTCAGCACGCGTATTTGAGCGTAGTGTAGCGATCGCGAAGCGATCCCGCGACAGGTAGTCACTGCATCTCCATTTGCTTCTTTTCCTCCCCGGAGCGTACGACGCGACACAGGATAAGCAGCGCCATGGAAATAGGGCCCATTGTACTCACCATCCGTAACCGATCAGCTCGATGTTGAGCTTGTCGGCACGCTCCCACTCTTTGAGGGGCGGGGCTGGCAGGGAGAATGGCGGCTCTGCCATCGTTATGTGCTGAGGTGCCCGTTGCAGTGTGCCACTCGAGGTGAGGGCGCAGGAGAAAGGACGGTGGAGTCGATGGCCCCACGGTCTTATAACCCCTCCCGCGCGGGAGAAGCGTTTTGGAGCGACATACGAAACGGGCACCCCCGTTGCACTTCTAGCTGATGTCCGTGCTCTAGGCTGCCCCCTAGTGCCCACGGCCCTCGGAATACAGCGATCCCAAGCCCGCGTGCGGACCTGTGTCCGGTAGGATGGCTGGGCAAATGGCGGGGATGTGAGACGTCCCTGACGAGCATCCCGGTACTAGCTGCTATCGATCGACGACTATGCGACGAAGCTACTATACGCCATACTAGGTTTGCGTTAGGTTCGAGAAGCGCAGCTCCAGTAGTACAAATAAGGCCCTCATCGCGGTTCCTCGCTGTCATCGAAGGTGACGGAAACGATCTGCTTGCAGGTCGGTTTATGTCGGCGCCAGTCCTCCTTCTGGCACGCGACGCTAATGTGGAACTCGTCAGTACGCCTCCCTCGGACGTGTACGCATCGCAAACAGAGCGCACCTGCAATACCTACGAACAACAATATCAGATAAAGCCGTCAGATAGAATGGGCATCAAGGGAGGCAGCTCACCGCGTAACCTTGCACCCCCCGCACCGCCGCATCTCCTTGTCCATGCTCTCGTCCTCCTGGCAGCCCGCACACGCCCCCGCGAGCGGGTACACCTCGCCCTCCGGCTTGCGCGGCGGACGCGGGAGCGGCGTCTCCGGGCGACCGTCCAGCCTAAGCATCGCCATATGCACCTCTTCCATCTGCTTGAAGCAGCTCATGCGGTCGTGGTCGCAGACGTGGTGGATCTGCACGAAAACGGGACGAGAGCTCGGGACGGTTCGCCGGCGATGGGGGTGCAAGAGGGGGTGCGTACGTATATGGCCATGCGCGGGGGGTCGACGCGCACCCAGGTGGACGTCTGCACCTGCGTTTCGCGAGACGGTCGCGCTAAGTAGAAACGGATAAGTAGATAGTTCATGGACAGCTAGAAAATCCGAGGCTGCGTACAGCAAAATTCGCATTTCCAGAAGCGGGAGTGCTTGATATCGCGGATGAGTCCCCGGGTCGCGTCGTGGAGGCGTTGGATATCGCGGTCCATCGGGAGGTGCATACGGACCAATGCACGTCTTCCCTCCCTATGGCAGAGAGGCAGCAGGTTCGTAAGCTGTCGGAACACATCTGGACTGCGGGCTTACCATCCATAGGTGACGACTTCGAGATTGACCTTGTCCGCGCGCTCCCAGTCTCTGAGAGCCACAGGGCCAGTTTTCGGGTTGCTCATCGTGGATGTCTGGTACGCAAGACAAAATCAGTAAAGACGCGTCTTTGTTGCAGGGCGTTTGAAACGTGGATGAAGGCAGGCTCCAGGAACAGCGCGGCTGAGCTAGGATCAGTCGAGACCGAGCGCCGCGTCGCGCTACGTCACAGTCACCTGATGCTAGTCACGCTCTTTCGACAGGACCCGGGCAACTCACCCAAATGTCCGGCCCCGGGGACCCCCAGATTTGGCCCTCAAATACGCTAACTTTGGGCCTCAAATACGCTAAAATGGACAAGGGTTTGGTCACGTGACCCTATTTGTATCCCCTTTTTGGCGCTTTTGGGGAGTTTTTGAGCACGAAACGAGCAAGAACGCTCCATTTCTCCTCGTTTCTCTGCGCAAAAATGACTTTTTGGACGATCCGGCGCTCCGCTGCCTCAGCCCCGATAAGCGCCCGCGTTTGGGGCACCAAAGGAGGCTCAAATACGCTAACTAGGCCGAGGTTTTGGGCGTCTAATCCCGTTTTGGGACGTCAAATACGCTAAGTTGGACAAGGATCATTACCATATTAGGGACTAAAAATACGCTAACGGGGCCGGACATTTGGGTGAGTTGCCCGGGTCCTCTTTCGACGCGATTCTGAAGCGGCAGCGTGTTAGAGCCCCATTGATGTTGCTGCAACTACCACACAACAACATACTATCTGTGGCGTCCTTCTGCGTTCAAATCACCTGGGTACGTGTTGACAAGAATATCGGAACGCACCTGGCTTTAGTCTTTCTCAGCCCCAATTCTCGAAGGTGACTGAGTAAATCATCCCGCATGCGACCTTGTGCCTTCCCCAGTCCGCCCGCTGACACGCCGCCCCGCAGACCCGCGTCAACTTGCACCGCGCGCACCGCTTGAGCAAGCCCTCGTCTGCCGTGGTGTCCTCGCGCTGGCACCCTGCGCAGCTGCCCGCAAGCGGGTACACCATCCCAACAGGGCGTTTCCCAAACGACGCGAACGGCGGCATAGGCCCGAGCTCTCCGTCATAGCGCGTGTTCATGAGGTCGTGCGTCGCGGTGAGTCCTTCTCTGACGTGCCTCTTGTCCATGTCGCACACGAAGTGGCACTGTATAATGCAGCGGCCGCATACACGGTCAGCACGATCTCACACCCGAGAGCACGGCAGGGGCGGGGGCACGCACATAGACGACCAGCCTGGGCAGATCCGAGTCGAGTACGCGCCAGAAGAAATTGAAAGTGTGCGTCTCGCGCGCGAGGGCCCCTTATATGCGCCGAATTGGTTGCGCGATGGGTAGAGGGGGGCGAAGAGTGGACCACAGACGCACCGCAGAACTCGCAGAGCCATTTCTTGGAGTGCTTGATGTCGCGGAGCATGAGCATGACCGCGAGCTGGATCCGGTCCTGGTCGCGGTCTGCCGGCAAATGGAGGCGGACCATCACGCGTTTCTCCTCCCTTTGCGCGGCGGTGAGCAGAGCCGGCACGCGGGACTGACATTCGGAAGGACTGGAGTGCTTACCAGCCATAGCCGATAATCTCGACGTTGGTCCTGTCGCCGCGCTCCCACTCTTGCAGAGGTATGGCCGTCATGGCTTGAGGACGGTGTCAAGGACACGCTCGTTGTGAATGTGGATGTTGACGTCGAACGCTCGGGGCTGGTGCGGTGAACGATGGAGGTGTAATGCAAGAGCACAGAACCAATTCTCGGGACGGCTTTAGGCACCGGGGAGGACAATTGACTGAGTCAGAAGCACACTTCATGCTAGGACATTGTCCAGAGGGCTCAAATTCATAGAAGCGTAGAATGTAGTGACACCCGTCATTCCAACATCGAAGCACGCGCCAGTACACACGCTCACTGGCGGCGTAGAATTCGTACGAGACGTGCTGACGACACCCGTCAGGTTACAGCCGAAGCTGGCTTCACTCGTCGGGGATGCTAGCTGGCTTGGCGCCACGCAAAGCGTACGCAGCGGACAGGGCACCGCGCCCTTTGCGTAGAGCGGCTCGATCGCGTTGCCCGTCGCCACGCGTGGGCTACGGCGGCGAGGGCGGCATCGTCTAGCATAATGAAGCAGCGGCCGCCGATGGCTACGTGGCGGCGCGCAGGGAACGCGGAGAGCGCGGCGAGTTCCACACAGCGGTACACGGGCCCCGGGATCGTGTTGACGACGTCTCGGGGGGGCGCGTTTGGGAGCATGTCGCCGAGCCTAGGATCGACGGTGTACATGCGCGTGAAAGGATATGCATACGTATGAGAGCACCTGTGTCGTGTCCAGTGAATAATGCAGGTGCCCTTAGAACACACGTCGAGGGGGGCCAGCACGAGAGCTCAGACGTAAAGTAAACTAATCGGGACTTTCAGTTCCAAAGGTAACGTATGCGGGTCGCAACGCGAAAGCAACCATACGTTTTCAAGGCGCGTGTTGTGGGTAGAGGAAGGATGAAACAAGGGCGTTGAGAAAATCGGTAACGGTGGAACCTGCGAGCCCTCTGAGTCTCAGTGCGCCAACTCGATATCATCGTCGTAAACGATCTTAGCCGGCCCTCTGAACAGCTCGATCAGCCAAAGTCGCCAAGATCCGAAATAGAAAACGCACCGCTTTTCTTGCCCCTACATCACGCAGCGGATTAGCATTGTGTAAAACAGAATATGGTGAGGACTCTTACGTTCTCCTTCCACCGTATTTGGGCTTGCAGCTCCGTGAGGCCACACATCAGGACGATGTCGAAAGACTGAGTGTAGTATGTGTTACCGAGGAAACCTCTTTTCGGGGTCCTTTCGACTGCAGACGTGTCTGCGAAGACAGTGCATAGGCTAGTGAAGCACTCTGAGAGAGATGGGAGGATAAGGGTGACCAGAGAGTGTAGGATGAGACGCGCACGTACCAGGTTCGAGGTCGATCCATGTAGGTCGTTCTGCTTTCCCGCGGTAGCATATGATCTCGGATGTAGCCTGGAGCTCGCTAGCCTCGGACGATTGGGCCAGAAAGGTCGTCGCAATCTCCTTGTTGTCAAGAATGCGTGTGCCCTGCATGAGCAGAGATCGTCAAAATCGGCTCCGGCACAGCTTGGAATACCAACGTTCCTTGGTCAGCATGGAGCAGAATGCGCCAGGCACTACAACAACGCCGCACGGAAGGAATCCCCTCTTGTCTCTGCGAGCGACATGTTCGGGATCGGTCGAGCAATACGGGACGCACACGCGGGTCCCGTACGTCATCTTGACGATGCGAGCAGAAACGAAACGTTCCAGGTAAAAAGAGACACCTCCTTCAGCGACGGCCTTGTTGCTGGATGGTGCGGGTGAGACGACTGAGGCTGAGTTGATGAGCATTGCACATACGTATGGGTGTCCGGACGGCACACCGTGAGCCCGAGTGGTCCTACTGCTTGCTGTAGGTTCTTATAGAGCCAAGGACTTGCGGCGAAGCCACCCACAAGGAAGATCGTCTGCGCAATGATCAGTTTCGTCTCGTTTCCATGTCGATATGTGGACGCCTACCGAGATTGGCCGCTCAGCCGTCTGACGCTGTTTCCGGACGCCCTCCACGATGGCGTCAAGAGAGGGCTTGTAGAACGTCTCCATCTCCGGGCTGACGATATCAATCAGCTCTACAGCGTCAACGCGAGGATTCGTATGAGCTCACCCCGACAATAGCAGCTGTCCTCGCCGAATCTTTACGTTCGGGTCGTTGCAGCTCATTGACCCGAACTTGATGTACGACTGCTCGGTGGCATCCCTGAAGATTGGCTTGGTGGATTTATCAAAGTAGTCCAGCATCGCTCTGATATCCTCCTCGTTGCCGTATTTCGAGTCCTTCAACTTCTCTAAGCGTACCCCGTAAGGAATCGAAATTGCAGAGCGTCCAGGCGCTGTCGTGAGCGTACCTTGTAAGAACGTCTTTGCCCTGGCATTGACACGCGTGGACCCTTGCATGAGGCCTAAAAACGTAGAATTAGCTTATCACTGAGCACTAGAAAGAGAGCCGCTTACAATCCGCAGAGGCGATTTCCTCGACGTTCAGGGGACTGGTCGAGATGAACGCGTAGCTGCTGATATCTACCGTTCCTCCTCCAGCGTCGACGATCATCACGGTCTTTCCCTCCTATAAATGCCTCGCTGAGATACTAGTGCGATGGTACTCAAGGATACGAACACTCACCGAAAGACTGTCCGATGTCAATCCGCTCCGGATGCAAAAGTGGAGGCTCGCCTCGCCTTCCGTGACGAATTGCACGCGGGCGTGACCGTCTGGTGTGTCTGGGATGAGGCCGGCCATGATGGCGGCTTGGCGCATCTTGCCCTGCTGCAGACCCTCCCATCCGTTGGGATGGGACAGGACGAAGTCGATTCGGTCCTCGACGGAGCTCCACATGCTTGCGCCATTCGCGTGCGTCTCCTCTATGTAGCGCCGCGTGCATTGGAAGAGGTACCGAGTGAAGTCGGCGAAGACGTCCAGCAGGCTCTTGCCTTCAGGCAGAGGGGGTAGGTCGCGGCGCTTGATCTCCTTTGAATCGAGTGTTTCGGGCCGCAGGTGCAGCTTGAACCTGAAGTGTATGTCAGCTCACATATTCACGCCCAGATAATCACGCACATACCATTCCACGAATACCAGGTTTTCGTCTTCCGCTTCTAGTTCTATGCCTGGATGGGCGGCCTCGGCACCTACGGAATGTACAGATCCGTCTCGACGGTAGTATAGGATAGACGGGATCTTCGAGTCTCCCGCCGCGTTCTCCTGGCCGGGAAACCTGGGAGACCAAAACTATGAGAACCTGGTACTCAAGACCACCTCGCGAGGGCTTACCGGGTGATTCCTTGAATCTTCGGTGTCTCCCCAGGGTCAAGGAAAGCGTACGCGACACCGGAATATGTCGTCCCGATATCCATTGCCACGACGAGCTTGCGGCAAGGGCCTCGGTACCTTTGAAGAGGTGTCATTGTGGCGCACAGAAGTTGGTGAGTGTGGATTGAGGAAGGGAATATGAAGTCTGCTCCTCCGAGTCAGAGGCAAGCGACGCGTACCTCTCTGCCTTTCGCATTGCAGATTATATGCGGAAACACCTTTGCGCTGCGGTAATAAAACTCGAGCTTCGAAACACGACGGATCAGCACGTCCAGGGTCCTCGAAAGCGTTGGATCCACGAGTAGATCAGCACACTGGGGCGTTGGTACACGAGTCCTTCATAGAGGAGATCTCTGCACTGGTCACAATAGAACTTTCTCTTCTGCGAAGCGTGTATGAGTCCGCTGCGAGGATACAGCGTGAAACCCTCACGCACCGAAATGCGAGGAGTCCTCCCTGTACTGAGGGCCCCTTTCTGTTCCCAAAGCTGTAGGGGTCTTGTATCTCGTCCGTCTAACAACCACTGGGCTGCCAGCCTGACACGGTGGAGGCTTACCAACTGTAGATGAGCACTTCAAGGTCGACCATGTTCGTGTGCACCCTATACTCGAGCTGGATTCCGGATGGGTTCTGGGAGCCATATCTGCTCATGATATTCCCGATCGAGACCACAGAGGATGGTCTTTCACAGGTGGTGTGGTTTGGACGCAAGTGCACCAATTTCAAAGGCAACGCAGAGTCGACGTCCCCTAACGCCCGTGACTTCAGTCAGCTGATTGTGACGTCTCGCGCCGACATCTTTGTGGCGCGATCGAAGCAAACGCTGGTAGCTCCCCTCATGTCGCCCATACCGTCTGTAACGCATGGGCGGCGCGATCGTCGAAGTGGGTATCCACTCCCACTTCGATATACACTATTTACACGTACGTCCAACGTTACACATGCTCGGCGCTGCAACCCCGCGCGATCGCCGCCGCCGCCGTCTGCTCTCAGATGAGCCAAGAGAGAAGAGAACTCCGTCGCGTTGACTTCCCGAAGCTGGACATACATGTCTATCTGCTGGAGCTCTGGATCCCCTCTGTTACGAATTCCCTGCACTCCCTCTTGTCTGCAACCACCACCTGCTAAGCACCCCGCTCCCCACCGCACCGCCAGCAGCGATGTCAGCGATGGAGTTCAAACTGCTATCCACCATGTTCTCCTCTCCCCTTCCTGATGGATAGGAGCGCAAAGACAAGCTCAACGTCGAGCTTACCTGCTACGGCTGGTACGTCGCACGCCCTCCACCCATATATCTCCCTGACAGACGATTTATACCACCAGGGGCGAGACGCGTTTGATAGTGCACTTTTACTTCCCCGGGGACTCTGACCTTACCAACTGTATCGGCTCCATGCTCAGAGCGATCACCCGCGATATCAAGTACTCCCAAAACTGGGGCTGCGAGTTCTGCGGCAAGCCTCGTTTCCTCATCGCACACTGTTCCGAGCTAACACCCCTGTGCGACCGCAGGCGACCCCGCGCGCGAGGTTGTGTACCAGTACTTCTCCGCGCACACCCCTGACGGCCTCTGGCTGCTCACCATATCCGTACGCATATACTCCCCCGTAATTCCACTCTGACGCACACACAACGCTCACGCTCTCGCAGGCCCACTTCATCTGCGACATGGACTTCGCGCACGTGCGCAAGGGCCTCACCCGCGTCCACGCGATGCAGCACGGGCTCGGCCTCGCGGACGCCCATTCGCCCTACAACACCATGCCGCTGCGCCCCGCGCACATCGTCCACCCGCTGGCGGGGAGCTGCGCGGACTGCGAGCGCGACGAGACGGCGGAGAACGACGGCGCGTGCCTGAAACGCTGCAGCCGGTGCCGCATGACGCGCTACTGCAGCGCGGCGTGCCAGAAGCGCGACTGGTCGCGGCATAAGATTGTGTGTAAGATGGTGCACGAGCTCGCGTTCGAGAACTGGCATCTGGTGAAGTATTATGCGACGGTGGTGAGTGGGTCTGGATTGCATTTGCGTTTGCGTGCGTGGGGAGTGTTGAGCTGATTCCGTGTGCAGATGGACGATGAGGTGCCCACGGATTATAGCGAGATGTCGTACGTAGAGTGCTGCTGGCGCTGGCTGCGCGACAGCATACTTAAGATTGTCGTCCGATTCAGGTACTAAGACTGCTCTCGAGGTAGTCTATAGCAGGGCTCACGAAACCGTTGCGTGCGCCCGCATATGCTTCTTACCTACGCTACGTCCACCTCCGGGTGCTATGGTCGATGCGTCAGGCGGCGCAAGATAGAGCTCAGAAGAAGCGCAAATCGTAGAACCTTAGTCGGAGCCCATTCTCCCGTCAGCTCCACCGTGATTCCGTCTACGTACGTCCATGGAACTCTTAATTACCGCCACAAGCTGATCAGAAGCGTTCCAAGAAAGAAGAGAACGACTCCATGCTGCTTCCCGGATTGACATACAGGAATTCGAGTGGCTGGCTCAGCTGCAGGTACCGGCACGCTCTTCTCCGAGTCTCTTTCAAAAGCCAATTAATCCTGGTCGCTATTCTCCTTTCTCACTGCCGTGCAGCACGCGCCCCCGTTTTCAAGGACTCCCACTCGCTCAACAGTGACTCGCCATGGCCGCATCGCCCCTCTCTGGGCCGGACCCAGGCTCTCCTTTCGACTGCAGCTGGGAACGTATGGGCAAGCTCAACGTCGAGCTCGTCGGATACGGATGGTGCGTCGGGCATATATACGCTAATTTTCCGCTACAGAGGCACTTACGGACCCCCCTACCGCGGTGTGCCTTCCAGGAGAGAAAGGCGGATGACCGCCCGCTTCCATCTCCCGCAGGACACAGATGTATACTCGATCCAGCGCAACGTCACGGCCATCGCCCGCGACGTCAAGTATTCGAAGCACTGGCAGTGCGAATTTTGCGGTAAGTCTCGTCCCAATGCTCTGACCCCGAAGTCTGGGTATACGTTCATGTGTGTTGCGCTGCTCTGTTACAGGAGAGGATGCGCGCGAAACGAACTTCCAGAGCGTCTCCTGGCAACACCTCACCCCGCCCCGGCTCATGATATACGTACGCACACCTGCAAATGCGCTGCTATATGCACGTCACGCTCACGCTCGCCCCACCGCAGGTCCACTTCATCTGCGACGTCGACCAGCCGCACGTCCGCAAGGGCCTCACCGCGACCCAGGAGATGCTGCAGCGCGCAGGCGCACGCTCGGTGCCCTCATATGACACGCTCCCAAAACGCCCCGCCTGGTTCCCCACGCTTCCGCTCGCGGGCAGCTGTGCGTCCTGCGAGCGCGACAACGGTGAGGCGCAGCCGGACCGGTGCAGCGCGTGTCGGATGACGCGGTACTGCGGGAGAGCGTGCCAGAGGAGGGACTGGGCGCGGCATAAGGTTGTGTGCAGGATGGTGCACTCGGTGAAGTTCGAGAACTGGGACTGATGAAGGCGGTGGCATGTGGACGATGCGAGCAAGGCGCTCCGACTTGTAAATTATGCTCTGGCCTTGCTGGCTCGATGTATTCGGTAACATCGATGATACTCGCGTGCGAATCTATGCTAAACGTTGGTAGTCGATATAGGTGTGCAACACATGGCCGGAAGAGAGAGCTTTACCTGGCGACTGCAACCACGAGCCCGCCGCCTGCCAGTGACGGTGAACCCCTTCCAGTCATCCGCACATTCTTCACCCTAAAACTTGTAGGAGTGAGCGTGCTCCGCCCGCCCGGCCCGATTCCACCTCCCGCTAGTCGTTGGCGCTTTAGCGCCGACGGTCCGCTCACTGCTAACCCCATTGTCGTATGTGCTTTACCGCGCTACCAGCAGATAAGTACATAATACATTGAATCTCAGTTCACAGCAGTCGTCTACTTCGCCGACAATGCGGCAGTCAAAATCCACCGCCACTACATCACCCACGGTAAGGGTCGCGAACGACAGCTTCGTCGACAGCGCCGGCGGACGGACGAGTTCGGTGGCGTCGAACAAACCGTGCAGCTGTCCATGTACGCTCATTACCCCAAGTAATGTTACGGCAACTTTATCTCTCACCTTGTCTTGCTCAGTCACGTAGACCAACGATATCGTTTCCGTTGATGTTGGCTCTTGCCCGCTGAGCCCTAGAAGGCGAGCCAACCCTTCTTGGTCTATCCCGCGCAGGAGCTGCAGCTCGAGCTTCACCAGGCCCCTGTCGGACCCTCCGGTGTGGTAGCCCATCGCCCTCACAGTTCCTACCGTGCGAACACGCAGCCTTCGTTTGTTGCTCGACAAAACGCCTTGTCGAGACCATCGCAGCCGCGAGGGGAGCGCGTCCAACGTCACCGTTGCGGGGGGGGCTAATTCTGCGCTAAGCAGCCTTTTTACACGCCTATTGCAAGGTCAGCTCATGCGAGCGTCTACGGCGTTCAACGCACCTCATGTTATGTGCTGAAATAGACCCTCCCAGAACCACCGCAGTTTCATCGAACGCAATTGCGTCATGATCGAAGGGAGTCGGTTCGCGGTTGAACGCTGCTTCGTCGTAGACTTCATCCATGGCCGTCGGCAGGTGGGAGAGGAATGGCACTCCACGTCGCTCACCCTGTCGGCACATTCTTATCCGCCCGCGGTTGTGATCGGGCCTCCTCCGATCCGCGCGAAAGACACCCTTTGCCAGCCCCTGAAGGCTGTTAGCCTCTACTTTAGTAGATGGTCGCAGCGTGTGCGCACTTGCATCGTCCGTGCTAGCTATGTCCTCCCCCTTATTCCCTGCTGCGGCGACCACCCCTTCCTCACCTGTCAATCCTGGCACGCTGCGCGAGTCCTTGGATGTAACCCCGCCTCTCCCTGAAGCGTCGGTTGCATCTGAAGAAGATGCACAACATCCCCCCCTGCCGACGCTGTCTCTAACGTCCTCGCCTCTCGCCGCCTCCGACGGATTCCCTCTCCCGCTGGTCCCCGACCTTGCGAAACGGGTATGCGCCGCGCCGCCTTCCCCTTCCCTCGACGATGGCAAACAGGCGCTACCGGTTGCCTCCAAAGAAGATGCGGTATCGTTATCCCCAACGTCCTCGCCTGTCGCGAAATCGATACGCGCCGCGCCGCGTTCCCCTTCACTCGACCGTGCCAAACACGCGCTACCGGTTGCGTCTCGAGAAGATGCGGAATTGTTGTCCCCAAGGTCCTCGCCTGTCGCAAATCCGGTTGGCACCGTGGCACATGCTCCCTCCCCCGACAGTGGCAAAAAGGCGCCATTTGACTTGCTTGCGTACGTTGGCGTTCTCCATACCGTGTCACTATGTACCTACTCATTCCCTATTAGGCGATTGGAAGTATTTCGTGGATACGCCTGCGCTGGAGGACCGTGGTTCGCGGTCAGTATGGTTCCTCGACGGACTGACTGGGAGGTCGTGTATGGCAACCGTCGCATGACCGCACTCAGTTACCTCGGCAAACCCATCGCTATCTGGGTAGTCGGCGACCTCGTCAGCATCAACATCTACATAGGCGCCCAGGTGGACAACCCTTGTGTTCGACTGTCTCTGTCCGTGAAGGACGAACGAGACCGGGTAGCCCTCACCGATATACGTCGTATCGTCCACCCCGAAACTCCCTCGCACGGTGACTCGATGTTCAAGGCAATATCCCTAGGAGGTGACGCGGGCAAGAAGGTATGTCGTGTGCGATATATTGGAGATGTTTCTCACCAACGCTGTCAGACCTTGAAAGAGATCTACGACGCCACCACATCGTTTGAGTCGAGGGATGTGATGGCCCGTCTGGCACCTACCGCTTTAAACGTGGGAGATGTTGTGTTGGCGGAGTGTTGGTTCGTTCGCAAGGAACTTCTCGGGGAATGGCAGACCGCATTTCATCTTACGTCTATCTCGAGGCTGCATGAGAACGTCACCACCCAGACGTCCGGTGCGCCGCCGAGCTTTGTATCGTTCCCTTGGAAGATTTGATTTCTCAGTTCCCTGTATGCGACTCTCAATATCATTTCGGTTCGCTATACATTGATTATGCTACCCGTCGTGCACGCTTGGCGACACCCCGCCGAACCTCCAACTCCTCCCTATCGCGTTCACGGGCCCTTCGCACGGCGGCACCGTAAGACCTCCGCCATCTCCGAATCTTCTGACCTCGAATGGACATGTCCAACCGCGAGCGCACGAGTAGTCCGGCCCAGGTAGCCACCAACTTGGATGGCGGGCGAACTCGAATCCTCGCTCCGAGTACGCGTTCAGAATGTGCTCGGAAGACGTCCCGGGCATTCCGGACAGGAAACGCTCCATGTGGAAGAGACCTCTGCCCATGAGCGTCATGGCTGGGTACGCGCATGTCGCGTAGTCGGCCGTGACGTAATTGAAAAGCATCGTCGTCCACGAAAGCGAGAGAGAGTCGAGGTTGGGAGTCGATGCACCTGGTGGTGGATTGGGAGTGCAGAGCACGTGGACGATAGTGTTGCGCCGCCTCAGAGTAGCGATGCACAGGAGACCGGCGCCATACGCGAACACAGTTTCGTCCGCGAACGCATCTGCTGGGACGGCGATCGCAGGGGATACCGATTGGACAGAGACGACGTGGAAGAGTTCGCAGGTAGTGAGATGGTGGATGACTGGCATGTATCCCGCGACCGAGACGAAGAGGTCGGCGTTCGATGGACGGAAGCGCACAGGGCTGAAGAGAGTCAACGCCAACGAACCACCGACGAATACGGAATGCTGCCGCATCAAGTTTTGCATCCCTTTCACGTCTGACGCGAACCTGGGCGTTGTCAGCGAGAGGTTGAGGCCAACGCTGTCAACCCTTACCAGCCTATTATTCCTTCGATACGCGTGACGACTTCCTCTTGGGTAATCGTCAGGCACATGAGCGATGCCGGGCGGCAAGTTAACGTTAACGTCTCCATGTCCGCAAAGGAGAAGATGTGTCGTAGTATGGGGACGTCAAACTTCATAGCTGGAGCGGCTAGTTTGTCGAGATGGAGGGGAGGATGTTTCGGGGAGGCCGGAGGCGGCAGGCGGGAGACGCGAAGCGGGAGGCGGGAAACGGGAGGAGGTACGGCCGCCCATTCCGAGTGCGCGAGACCCCCACGCAAAGAAATTGAGGGTTGATTCCAGGGAACGACCGAATGCGGACAGGAACGGCCTGAGCACATACGTCCTCCGGCGACGCAAGCTCCGTGGTGCCCAGAAAGACTAAAAGGTCCCCGCAAAGGAGCACTGATCGGTTCCATTAGCAAATTTGAAGGCGGCGGTGTAATGATGCACCCACCGCAGATAGCGAAACCCAAGAGGCGGCGTTGGCGGTGTTCATCATCTGTGCAGGGGGAAACGTAGCAGAGAAAGCATCATGGTCCGCATCGTCGACAGGTCCCCCGACGCGTACACCCCGACGCGTACACAGACCGTCATGCATAACGTCCCTCGGCAGCGGCGTGCTTATTGCCGAGAGTTTTTTTTTGGGGGGGGAAGAGGTCGGCGGATATGATCGACAACCTGTCAGCCTCAGGTGCGGTGGCCGAGGAATTCGCAACGGAACTGCGACGCACACGGGCGGCGGCGGATGTGCGCACGGGCAACCGCACAGGGAACGCTGTATTTGCGGATGCGCCGCTCTAGATCGTCCATAGCGGTTCAGCTTTTTCGCGGATGTGCCCTGTAGAGACGATCAGCGAATGAACTGACTCTCACCTTGCCAATGTCCTCCACCTCGAACGCCTCTGAAGACGAGTCCGAAGTGCAAACGCTCGTCCTACGCGTCCCCGTCGACGAGAACAACCGCAACGGAGTCCTCCTAGTTCCTCGTTCTTCTGTTGCCGTCCGTCCGATGCAGGTCGTTGTTGTCCATGGAGCCATCCCTACGGCGCTCTACAGGTGCGTGCTCCGTCCTATCTCGAAGCGCCGCGTTCACGTTTGGTCGCAGACGTTTCCAGCGTCTCGCCGACTACGGAAACAGGTCCGAAGGCCTCTTCTCCCTTACCAGAGTACCTGAGGACGTTCGCTGGTACAACGCATGCGAGTCTCCAATCCTGTCGGTGGACGACGATCCGATGGGCTTGCGCGTCGTGGGATCGGTGATGGACGTCGGGGAGGGCGAGGACGCCCGAGGAGTCTTCATCGACATCGACCCCCTTCGCGCCATCGACCATGAGGGAATGCATCGCATGTACGAGATGGCTCGTCCCGCTCCAGGTGAGTGTGTATGATTTCGCTGGCGACGTGAATCTCATTATCTGCAGCTGAGTTAGCGGAGACGATGCGCCTTCATTGGATCCCGGAGACGGAGGGGGACGTACGTGTTGCCACTTTGTTATTCGTGGATATTCGCCCTGATAGTATGCGAAGGAGGTTGTACCGGTTTATGACGCGACACATCGCCTTCGCCCCGCGGCCTTCATGGAGACAATGCCGTTCAGTGAGCTGAAGGTCGGGGACGTCGTGGTCGCGGACTGCGTGGTGTACAAGTCCCAACACCGATATGGTTGGGACGTCGTCTTCAGCCTGGTGACGGTCGCGGTATTGGCGCAGGTACCGAGGCAGAATTAGGTTGTCGGGCTCGGTGGTTGATGACAGATAACTCACACGGCGATATCGGAGACGCTCATTCCCCGTTACGTTCGCCGTACTTAGCATCCAGTTGTCTTCTATGTATGCTGTTGAATATGAGGTTTCTGCCATCCAACTGTGCAACGTTGTCTCGTGCTATCTTCGCTAGCATCATTACAAGGTTACTGCATGCTGAGACGTGCGTGCTCGGTAACAAGTTCATGGCGTCTCGACGTCGTGGTGGACAAAAGTGAAGACAACGGTCACTGTTGCTGTCAATAAATCCTAGCTACGACGTGCCACAGGGTGATAATGTCAGAGTCCAGGAAACACCGTCCACCACACGGCCGAACGTCCAACCTCCAAGCCAGTCGTTGCCGAAGCGGTGCTGTCCTCAGAGGTTCCATCCTCGCGGCTAGCGCACCCTCGTCGGAGAAGGTGCGTACTTGTGCGGGACACTCGAAGAACTCCGCGGCGCATTGACCTTCGTCGTCGTGGTCGGGCCAATGGTTGGAATAGAGTCTGATCGAAAATCCACGCTCCAAGTATGCTGCAACGACGGCTGACTTCGAGGCGCTGAGGTTTGCCAGTAGCGCCCGTCGGTCGAAGAGGAGGTTTGGGTAGGCGGTCCCGAAGTGGTGCATGTTGACGTATGATAGTTGCAAGGAGAGCGTGGACATCACGATGGGTAGGAGCGCGAAGCGAGATGTGCTCTGGTGCACGTAAATCCAACCCTTGCTCGTCAACAGGTGGCATGTGACAGCGACTGCTCTCCTCGACCGCGACTGACGGTTGGCTCCGATGCGTTGGTACCGAAGGCGGGCACCTTGTTCCATCATGAGGTGGAAGACAAACGCGGTGACGCTGCTGTCCCGCGGGAGGACGACGTCGACTGCCTTTCCGAAGCTTGAGGATCGTCGCAGAAGGAATGCCACCGCAGTAGAGCCGACGATGAATCCACGAGCGAACGTTAGAGATGAGAGGAAGGCTCGTGGGTTAGGGACCAGGTCTTGCAACAACGCTGACAGCGCCATGAGCAGGTGTTCGGATACGGAGTCTTCCCACGTACGGCAGACCCGTCGCAGTACCAGCAGGGTGGGTAAATCTAGAGCATAGAGCACATGAGACATAGCGAGAGTGGCGTTCATGTTGTTGCGGCAAGTGGGGGAGAGGTGGACGCGAAGAGTAGAGTCGCATTCACAACGGAGGAGCGGGCTGCTGACGGGCTGACAGCTTGGTTCGCACGATGAGCAAGGATTTTCCACCATTTTATTTCAGACCATGTAAGGGTCCCAGTCGCAGGCACATTGGCGCCATCTATCCTACACAACAGTCTCTGTCTACGTGGTCAGAGATTGAACATCGGCACATCGGGCACCGGTACAGCAGCCCCAGCGTCGACGACAGCGGGTGCCTTGTAAATGAGCGACACAGCCTGGAGCTCAAACCCGACGTCCCAAGCGGGCCAACCCTTCTTCTTCTTGTCCGCAGGCTTCTTCCACCTAGTTAACATGGCCTCTACGAGGACAATGTCACCCTCGGCGATGTCAGCGGCGCTAATGCGCGGCATCGCGCTCTTCACGGTCAGGGTCTCAGTGGCGTCGAATACTTCCTCGAACGCGACCGCCTGCAAACTTGTAAGTACTCCGTCACTTAAGCGTGAAGGATACGTACGTGAGCAATTTGTTCCCCACGGCCACGAACGGTCTGCAGACGGCTAGCGTAGATGGTCTCCGACGCGGGGGCTGCAGAGACTCGTCAGCAGATCGGGCAGACGACGGACCGTAGGACGTACCGCTACGAGGACGCGCGCGCTGATAAAGTTGCTTGACAGCTTCGTAGTCGCGAAGAGCGGCCATCAAGACACCGATGTTAACACGAGCGTGGGGCTCGCCAGCAAGGCTGAAGAACCAGAGAGATCCCGCGCGTCCCGCGAGCCAAATGCTCAACGGGACGGTGTTGAGGCACAGGAGACGGTCGTTGCGCCCGGTTCCCCAGTCGGCGTTGCTCGGAACGCAGTTGACGGCGAAGACGTTGTGAGTGGGGATGGCGACCTGAACTATGGCATAGAGACGCCTACGGGGCGTCAGCATGAGCGGCAACAGTACATGTAACACTCACTCACAGCAAGATGTCGTCCGGCACCAGCTCTAGACCTGCGAACATCGCGTGGACGTCCGCCATGTTTGGCAACACTGGAACGGGAGCGGCCGGCCCCGCCTGAGGCTGGGCTCCGTTGATGCCTTGTCCCCCGGCGTTGGCCACCACGGCGGCGACCGCCAGCGGAACGGCCGCTGTGCCTACCAACGGCGCGACAGCGGCAGGCGCGACTCCCACCGCAGCAGGGACGTGCGCGGGAGCAGTGATCGCTTCTGGACCACCTAGTAACGGGACAGTGCCGGTGGGTCCTCCGACAGCGGGGGCGGTGTTATTGGCGTTAGTCAGAGCAGGCGGCGGTCCAGCGATGACGATCGGAGCAGGGGCCTGCGGGGCGCCAGCCGTTGTCGGCGCGTTCGCCCCGGGAGCGGCGTTGGGGAGAAAAGCGAGAGGCGGCAAAGGCCCTGGAACGGGCACTGGCTGAGTAGCCAGTAGAGCGGTGGTGGGAACGACCACGGCGGCTGGCACAGTATTGTCGACGTTCGCTAAGGCAGGCGGCGGACCATCGGGCACAGTCGTGATAGGAAGCTGCGCGACAACCGTGGTCGCCGCGGTCGTCCCGGGAACGGCATTGGTAGGTGAACCGTGAAGCGGCAATGTCCCTCCAGCGACGAGGGAGGCGACGGTAGGTGCGACGAGGGCGGCAGTGGGATTGTCTATGACCGCGAGACCAGCGAGGGGTGCAACGTTCGCGGTCGCAGTAGGGACCGGCGGTGCCCCGAGGAACGCGACAGTCGGCGCGCCAGCGTCGGTGAGACCAGGGGTGGGTGCAGCGTTCGCGGTCGCAGTAGGGACGGTGGCGATGGACTGCGCGAGGGCTTCGCCGATGTTGGGGCCAGCACCTGTTGCACCAGCTTCGGTGGCTGTAACGGGAACAGGGGCGGCATCGACCGCGGCCGTGGACAGGGTTGGAGTGAAAGACGTGGACGCCGCGGTTTCGGGGACGGCGGAGTTCGTTACCGAAGAGTTGACCTGGGGTAACACGAACGCTTCTCCCAGTCCGGTGTGCAGAACTGGAGGGACGTCTCCGGCGTCGGCGAAGATGCCCACCGTCGGAGTAGCGACCGTTGCGTCGGTCATGAAAGCTTCCAAGAGGTTGCGAGCTACGCCAGTCGGGGCCACGTTTAAGCCAGAGGGATAGGCAGAGGACGACGTAGCGAGCAACGAGTACGGGCTGCCAGCGGGCTCGAGGTCAGGGAGGCTACCGACGGATTCATCGCTGTCGCTCTCCGACGCTGGTAGGGGAAGTGAGCCAGAAGTAGACGTGTATATACGGAGTCACGCACCGTGCAAGTCGCTCAGGGGAGAGGAGGTAGAACTACCGGAGGCGAACGACTGAGTACCACGTCCGCGATGCTCGACAGGCGTGGCTGAAGAACACTGTCAGATACCGCCTACCGATAAGGCAGTAGCGCACTCACCCGGAGGAGTCATGAGAGTTGCTCCGTGCCCCGTCAAGTTCGCCTCCATAGTGCGACCTTGGGCGGCGTAGTCCAGGAAGTCTTCGGCGTCGTTGTTTCTCTCGACTTCGTCACCCCTACGGACCAGTCAGCGTCGTACAGGCTGTGAAGAGAGAGTAAATGCAGGACATACTTGTGGCGCTTGGCGTTCGGTAAAGCGGTAGAACGCGAGCGAGTGTGCATGCCGGTCATGGCGAAAGCGGAACTGGAGGGCGACGCGATGGTAAGGAAGACGCAGCGGTACGTCCTTGGCGAGGGACAGGCGCAGATGACAATACTTGTATGCATCAACGACGAGTCGTCCCACGCCGCCGCCGGGCAGTAATTTGGGTGCGTCTGCGACACGCCGAGGATCGCACTCATGTCTCGCCCTGGAAGAACAGCCAAAGGCTCTTCCAGTCCCTTCGTGCTCAATGGAGCACAAATCGACCGACGACTGGGATCAGCCACCTCCTTTACGTCGTACCGCAAATGCTCCGCACCTCAGCATAAGCTTGCAATCGTTCTTCCGGTCGTCCGACGCCGATCCGGCCCATTAGCCACGTTCGGGGGCCATGAGCAACCGGTACGTAGGCCGTCGGACGGAGTGGTTGACGTGCACGCATTTACCTTTAGGCTTGCGTGTTTCCATAAAATATTCCAGGTGCCCTGTAAAATGCTCAACGATCGAGTTACAGATCGCGGTTCGAGCGCACCTGCCTTTTTGGAGCGAGGGTCATCCATCGGCAGGGACCTCGCGACGCTAGCGTTCTGGAGACCCGGGGGGCCACACGCGGCTTCAGTCGAGCTACTGACGTGACCATTACAGCCGTTAAAGCCTAGCGGCTTTACGTGTTTGTTATCCTGGACCGAGGGTGTCGTTTGAATTATCCTGTGAATGCGTGTATGTGGAGAGAGTCGCGGGCGATAGCGGGTTACAAGACCTGGCTCTCTCGGGGTTGGAAGTGCCGGTTGTGCGAGGTCCGCGATCACTTCACTCAGAGCGGTCAGCAATGCCGTGCCTGCAGGGATGTTGAGGAATTGGGGTGGTTGTGATCGAGTCCATCGGCAAGTTCGACCGTGCCGCAAGGTCTTCGTTGAGGTTTGTGCGGAATGGCGGCGTCGGCGGGGGGGAGGGGCGGGGTATTGCAGGAGCCTAGGCTGTGTATCAGCGGCGGCACCCTGAAGCGGAGGGCACGGAGGGCACTGTGAACTTGTGATATAACGAAAGCGGAGAAGTGAAGGACGCTCACGTACCTCACGGTCGCCTTCCCCTTCCCATTCGCTCCGCCAACATGGCTTTCATCCCTGGTAAGCATCTGTCAACGAGGGAATGAGGTCAAGCTGATGTCCTGCTAGCGAACGCAACTACGCTGTGCAGAGATGTGTGGCCGGGAGGCAAAGGTCGCTTGCTGAAGGACACGTCCACGGTCGCGACACTTCCCCGCCATCGTTTAGTGCCCCAAAGCCACGACGATTTGTGCGAATGGTTGTGCGTAGACCCCTGTGGCGCAGAGCATGCGTCAACGGTACTTCTTCATCCCGATTGCTACGACGCCGAAGGACCAGCGGAGGTGACGGTGAGGTTGACAGGATTTGTCGAGGACATATCCGTGGGGATGATTGGAACGTGGAACGGGTGAGTGCTGTGCTACTGTGCCGCCGCGGTCACGTCGTGACCATGTTTCCCAGCACGCCTCAGGGAGCGCCGAAGGCTCTCCAGACCATTACTCTCGCCGGGGGACGGTGCGATGCAGTGTTCGAGCCTCAGGTAGAGGCTCTCGCCAACATTCGCGAGTTCGTCTTGAAACTGCTATCGCGGTCGGACTGCAACACGTTCTGCGGTGATGGCAAAATTCGCCTCAAGCGTCGGGTGTTCGAGCGGGTGAGTGTTGCGTTGCTCGTCAGTTATCAGCTCTGACTGATTGCGTCTCGCAGGTGCGTCCTACAGACGACGCGGGTACAGCGCTGGTGATACCTAAGGCAGAGGACCCCGCGGGTCGAGCCAACAAGATCGCGCACTTATGGGCGGTACGCCACCGCATCGAGGCGGGCGTACAACGCGAGGACGGCAAAATCCAGCGCGAGAACCCGCGTGTCATTCGTCCTGGAGATTTCGTCGACGTTGCTGTTACAGTGCAAGCAATTCCTATGCGCATCAACAAGACGCGGTGGGTCGTAGAGGTTTATTTCGTTCCTCAGACGATCATCCGGTTGATTCCCTCGGAAGCCTCTATCGTACGTGCATTCTATTCCTCTGCAGACATGCGACCCATAACATCCTTCAGCCGTTTCTACAAGAGATACAAGACGCCGATCGTATCGAGGACGCTTCAGAGGTCCAGGTTCCCCTCAAGCGCGACGTCGGGTTCTCCTTCGACGTTGATCAGGAGGCTATGGCGGAGTAGGTATGAGAAGGTCTCACCTCGTGTAGGCAGAACTACTGTAGCCAAAATGTGTTCTCGTGGCTGGGTAATATCACCGTGTCCTGTACACGCAGCGTCGCATGCTTGGCCCCCTTCCCACCACAGTAAGGTCTCTAGCTGGAGGTAATCCACAGGTGGCATGTGCAGACGTCGGTCGGATAGGGACCGATGGGAAGTTGTCACAGTATATAGATCGCCAAGGTACCGCACCGTGAGAGGACAGTAAAGGGAGCCTGCTCCAGGGCATTCGGCCTCCAAATCCAACTCTCTTTGCCATGCGAGTTCCGCCAAGCGGAATTGAATGCCACGAGCCTCGTACTTGCGGATCAGGGCTAGCACGTCTCGGGCGGGGTAGAGGTATTGAAGGAGCCGACATGGTCGCAGCAGAGAGCGTTGGTCGTCCGCCAAGCAGGGGTAGGCGATGGTTAGAGACGTTGCCGAGATGTAACACATAAGAATGGTACCCCAGGACCGTGCAAGAGGAAGCAATGCGGATTCGCGGGGAGTTCGGTAGGCGATAATGCTCTCTCCGTTTGCGGTGCGAAGCCGAAGCGCGTAGCAGCCAAGAGCCGCTACTTGACCCGCGAGGTCGCCGCGGAGGTGATCGAAGAGAACTTCGCAATGCTCAACGCGAATGAGATATGAGATGACGTGAGAGAAGTATGGTTGAGGAATGTAGACGTCCAGGTTGTTCGGTGTCCAGCGGCACCGCCCGAGAACAGCAACGGCAGCGGATCCTCCGATGACGGCGCAAGTACTTGACATTTCCTGCAGGAAGTCATCTTCGTTCTTCACGAAGCGCCCCAGAGTTATCTTGAGGCGGTTGGCGATGTACTGGGCAAAGTATGAGTCACCTAGGCGACAAGTGCAGCGTAGTATGACGAGGCTGGAAAGCGGAAGGATGTCGAACACGAGAAACACCGCGTCGCGGGTAAGGGAGTTGAACATGACGGGCAGTTTGAAGTGGCAGCACGCGAGGGGTATTTACTCAACGGCAGCTGTTGCGGCTGACAATAGATCCCTGTCAGATGCAGTCCAAAGTCCCACGTAGCGTTGTTGAATAGTGTAGCAAATTGTTCATAAGGTATGGTGTGATGCACGACGGAGCAAAGCTAAGTAGTCGCGATATGGACACGCTATAGAACTGAACTGCGTGCTGCTTACGTCGCTACAGCTCGCATGCCTGCTGCTCCTTCGCCTGCAGTGCACGGCCTCTTGAACAACCCCTAAGCGACTTCTTGCAGCAGGAGAGACCCTCGGATGAGAGACCCTCGGATGTCGCTATTCGGCGGTTGAGGGTCCAGCAGCGCCTCCTCACCGCGCGGAATGGCTGGGACAACTGGCAGACGTGGCTCAGTGCCAGTACCGTTGCGCGGCCAGTCGGTGGTTGCGACAGGAAAACTGGTACTCCGTCGAGAGAGACTGCAGGTTCGCGTCAGATGTTGCTGAGAGATAAGAGCAGTGGCATCCGGAGATCGCAGAGCGACGTGCAGAGTGGCAAGTGAGAGAGATATATGCAGGGCTGCACGATCTCCCACGTGTCCGCCACGCAATCTCCATCGGCAATTTCTGAGGACCTCAAGGCTGCAGCACGGTCAGCGGGGCAGGTCAACGTCCTACCATGACTTACCATTGAATAGTACCCTTAGGTCTCGAGTGTTCAAATGCCGACCTGATCTCATTTACAGCTGATATCGTTGAGGGCAAGCGGGCGACAGAAAACCGGTTGTTCCACTCCGAGAGCCCAACACGATCGGCGGCTCACGCTCTAAAAGCGGTCAGCCGCGCGCCGCCGGGACATATATTGTACCCTTTTGTGAAGGAAGACCAAGCAACCACCTCCAACCCTCCCACCGCCATAGTCATGGATACCAAGTATGCATAGACATTTACGAGCTCGATAATCCTGCCTGACGATACTGCTCACAGAATACCAGAAGATGTCTTGCAAGAGATGCTACCGTTCATGAACATCCCCTCTCTTCTGGCGTTCGCGAAAAATTCGCCGGTGTACGAGCGTTGGGTGATAACACACCTCGACCTTTCACTCAACAATGCGCTTCGTATGTTTGTGGACGATCCGCGCGGCTTACGCTCCCTCATGCGTCTGCTCGGCGCGGTCATCTCCGGCTCCTTCGCGCTCGCATTCATGGTCAGGGACGACAACCTCCGGTTCACCCCGAACGACCTGGATGTCTATCTTCCTGCCCAGTACGGCCGACGCTTCGCGCAGTACCTCGTGGACGTCGAGGGATACGCTGTAGTGGGTCAGACTCGGCTGCCGTATGGTATGGCACACGAAGTCGTGCTCGCCCTCGGGAAAGGCTCTTCCCGCATCGAGGTCATCCCGTCCACGTCCGGCAGCGCCCTCCTTCCTATCGCCCATTTCTGGTCGTCACACGTCAAGAACTTCATCTCCGCGGACACCTTCTGTGTCGCCTACCCCGAACAAACTTTCAAAGGCCGTGGCCTGCTATCGCCGGTCCGACTCATCGAACTTCGTCACACCTCCACACACGTCGTTACGCTGATTCAGAAGTACCAGGCACGAGGCTTCGACATCCGCACTCGGCGTTACTCCTGGGATATGCAACCCGACATACCGTGCCCAGGCGATGCGACTTGTCCCCGTCAACGCCGCTTCTTCGGGGACCGCTACTGCGTAGTGGGCACGTTGTCTCGCGAGTACGAGGATTGCGGCTTCGCTCGAGGGTTGCCATCGGCATCGACGGTATGTTGGTGGGGAGGAGGTGACGCGTGTGGGGAGGAATGCGAGTTTGGGGGAAGGTTGCCGGAAAGAGCTTTCCCTTCGGCGGTGACGGTGGAGGAGAGTTCCATCGCGCAGGAGTTGTGATGTATGTCAATCGAGATCGGTCCCCCCATGTACCTTGCTCGCTTTCGAAGCGATTAGGTGCCAGCTTCACATCGGCCCTGTCAATGTGGTGTGAAGGACGTCAGAAAGGGTAAGTTGAAATATGAGGTCGTCCGCGTCCCGTACTCTGCCTCAACACGAACCTCTACCCCCACCCCCCACGGAACTCCCTTCCCCACAGACGCCGTGCGCACGCCTCTCCGCCCATCTGATCTGCAACACCGCGGCCGTCACAGGCGCTCTCTAGATGGCACATACGTTAGGCAACATTCGAGTGGAATACGCCGTTCCCCTCGCAGTGCGACAGTAAGCCGACGACTTGGTACCCATTTAACCGTAGCGGCTGACCAGGGTGAAGAACTGTGCAGGAGCAACTTCGGCACGCCATTACGCTCTCCACGTTACCGATGCAAACA